CTACACATAATAGATACCCTTAAAAAGATTCATAGAAAACACCGACCTTACCTAACCTTGTTAGTATCTTAAGATAAGCAACTTATTGCTTCGTAATTACAATTATTACTTAACCTATACCTATTATAGGTTAGGTAATAATTGTAATTACGAAGCAATAAGATGCTTATCTTAACATACTAAGTAGGTTAGGTAAGGTCGGTGTTTTCTATGAATCTTTTTAAGGGTATCTATTATGTTAAGTATGTCACCTATGCACATATTTAATAAGTCAATATTGACTTATTAAATTTGCGAGAACGGGTTGAATGCTTTGTTAACACAAACTTGTTGCACTATGTACTGTACAGTGTGTGTTTATACTGACTTGTGTCTCTCTTATCTTTGGTGTTATTACTATGAATAAACACACTTTATATAAATATCTTTACAACCTCAGTGTATTGCTGTACTCAAGTAATATAAAAAAGTCTTGAGCCTGCTATTCACAAAATATATTTATATATATAATATTTATAGATTTATATACACACTCAGAAAAGCGAGTCTTTTATAAAACCAATAAAACTACTGTCTTTGGAAATTGTTAGATTAACCCTTTAGTCAACTAAAGTTTATTCAATTTAAATGCTAACTGGTATTAAACTGACAGTACAAAGTGAGCACTAAATTACAGTGGTACCACAGATTACGAGCATTCCTGTTTACGAGTTTTTCGGGTTACGAGCAGGATTTGCTCGGAAAATTTACATCAGAATACGAACGTTGCCTCAGAATACAAGGGTGTTGATATGCGTACAGGTCGACCTAGCGCGTGGTGGCATGGCGATCGCCCCTCAGTTTACCAGAGCCTTGTGCCCAGTGACTATCCCACAAGGATTTACAGTTTTTTGTCGGATTTTTGGCCATTTGAGCATAAAAATTGTTATTATATATCTTGCCATGGGTCCCAAGAAAGCCAGTGGTAAGGTTCAACCTAAGAAAATAGTTGTGAGTAGAGGCAGTAAAGGATGTCCCTTCCTCATCAAGAAAATGTGTGAAGTATGGGAAGAACTACAAAGTTTTGTTGAAAAAACTCGCCCAGATAAAGCTGTAGCAGGCCGTTGCATTGACCGTTTGACAATGTGATGTCTAACTACAGACAAGTGTTGCAAAGAAAGGAAAAACTATCTTCAACGGATCATTTCGTTGAGAAAATCGAGCAGTGAGCCACAACCAGGACCTAGTGGTAGGCCGGCAAAACATGCCAGAGTGCACTCTAGAAAAATCTTTAATAACCTGATGTTATAATGGAAGGGGACTCCCCTTCAAAACAGTAACACCTCTCCTCCCCCCCACTCCTCACCATCTTCCATACGCCAACAGGAGTCATCAGCAAGGGTAAGTAATAACTTGAACATACTTTGGTAGTGTAGATTTGGATGAATTAGGTATAAAATTTAGTTTGAAGTAAGGTTTTTGGGTAGTCAGGAACGTATTAATTCATTTCCCATTATTTCTATGGGGAATTAGCTTCGGAAATTACGCTTCGGATTACGAGCTGTCTCCAGGAACGGATTAAACTCTTAAACCGAGGTACTCCTGTACATATTAACCCTTAAACTGCACAACACGTCATATGACGTGTTGAGTAACTTACCCAAAAGTGCGCATCACGACATATGACATGTTGGAGTACTACGCAAGATTTAAATGGTCCGTGGATACACGGAGTTCACCTCACCTTCATTAGGGCTCTTTGTAAACAGACGCCATTTTTTTTTTTTTAAATCGTGGGTAACATTCCCCAGTGTGAGGGCCTCGGTACTGAGTGAGCCACCAAGGCTGGCGCATGCAGCATGAGCTTACAGCACTGCTGTTCAGCTTGTGACCACAGCATCGCCTAAAATGTCATAATAAATACGTACATGCTATTATTTAGCGATGATAATATTACAGAAGACCCCTGACTGTGATAAAAATGACCAGGATTCTGATAATAACAGGATTGTTGTGATAATTAGTGCTGTAGTGGGAGGAGTAATCTTGGTGGGGAGGGAGGTAGCGTTGTCTGCTGACTGTGTGACCACCTTTTACTGTCTGGACTCACTATACCAGCTTAGTTGTTCGCTATAGTGAACAAAACATGCAGATACATATATATAGCGTCTGTATATAGTGAATAAAAGCAAAAACAGTATGGTGGGAGAAGAATGTTGGCAAGTCAGGTGAGGTGAGGGAGGGAGTGGCAGCCAGTGGCAGGTTGCCACTGGCTGCCACTGCCACTCAGCATACCAACTTAGTGGTTCGTTATGGTGAACACAAATGTAGATACTTATATATAACGTGTATATATAGTGTAATAACAGCAAATGGAGTGTTGGGAGAAGTCATTTTGGTGAGAGGTGGCGACATCTGCACGACTCGTCATACTGGCTAAGGATGGCCACTATGCTCTTTGTGCACTATACCAGCTTAGATGAACAGTTATAGTGAACAGCACATATAGATACTTATATATAACATCTGTATATAGTGAATAAAAGCAAAAACAGTATGGTGGGAGGAGGATTTGAGCGAGTGAGGAGTCATTGAGGGAGGGAATGGCAGATATGGAGGCCACTCCTAGTTGCTATTTGACTTGCAATATCAGCTTAGTGGTTCGTTATGATGAACAAAACATGCAGATACTTATATATAACCTGTGTATATAGTGTAATAACCGACAAAGTATTTGTTTGTTTTATGAACACCACAATTGAATCAATAACATGCACACCATAATTTTGAGTACAGTGATGATTCACACATTTTATTATATAAATATATCACACTACACACTATTGAATAATACTACAGCAAAAAAAAAAGAAAAAATCAATCAGACATATTGAAATAATTAGGTAATTATATCTTTGTGGCAACTCCCGCCTGACAGCTGGGGCCGAGCAGACCACCTCGGACGCTTGCTGAGTTGGCGCCTCTTTTTTGCCAGATTTTCCCGCCCTATTGCGGCCAAAATATGCCACTTTCGATTTTTTTTATTATTTTTCCCATGATCAAGGAACACAAATTATAAAGAGAAAAAAAAATGTTTTTTTTTTTTTATGTGCAGGTTAAATAAGAAAAAGTATATATATAAATTTTTCCTTTTAAACTGTTATGAAGTACTCGCCTGTGGGTGAGCAAAGGCCAAATAGCCCCTTAGCAGTGCATTCCATTTATTAACTACTCTGACCCTGAAAAAATTCTTTCTAACGTCTCTGTGGCTCATCTGGGTAATCCTTGATCCACAGAATGAGTCTGGTCTGGAAATCTAACCCCAAGACGGATTGAAATAGAAATCAAAATGGTTTTTCAAGATGCCTTTGATTGACCAATTTCCTTGATCAGAGAAGAGGAAGAGCCTGCCTCTGAGGTTCACAGACTGAAGCCAGCCCTAGCCTAGAGACGGATGTTAATTTAAATGGAGCTTACCCATCTATCTAGAGGAGAACAAGGTTTGCCCACTCTGAGGAAGGAGGAACAAGGCTCTACAGAGACTACGATCTAAGACTCCTCAAAGGACAAAGAAGGCATCTCACTACCACCATCTATCCCCCACACCAGTAAGTGTGTAAGTGAAGACCAGAGTTCAAAGCTGAAGGAGTGTGGAAACCCAGGTGCTTGGTAATTACCTTGATCTAAAGGATCTAAATCTAAATCTATAGGATCTAAAGGAACTGAAGCTGTTGTGGCAGAAAGCAGAGCTCTTCCGGTCTTCTCCTACAAAAACTGGGAATTGAAAGTGCCAATGCTAACAAATTTGAGTGACCTTGGAGCAGCACAAGACCAACAGGGAATATGAAAGGACAAGTTATGCCTGGCAGTGTCATACTACTACATATATTATTCTTTTTGTGTTGCCCGAGTTTTTCCAATCACCACAGTGTTGTACCAGAATGCCTAACACCAGGGATTAAGGACAAAGGTTGCATGAGCATCAGGTATTCAACCTGACAAAGTTTGCGAAGGTAGCCTGGCTGCCAAGGCACAAGTGCAATGACTGACAGCATCACACCAAAGACAAGAAGACACTATTAATAAAGCAAGCACACACAAGGCAAGGCATGTCATCATACTGCTCATATTCGGTGCACCAAAATTATGGGGTGGGTGAGAGGACATTGGTAGTAGCAGTGGTGGAGTGGAGGTGTAGGTGTTTGGCCCGGCAACCAAACCCCATGATGGGTCGGTCAAAAGGGGACCAAGGAACCTTTTAAAAAAAAAAAAAACATGAATATCACATCCCTTCTATCATTAAAGAAGAGAGTCTGGCCTTGGAACACAACACACCCAAAATGGGCAAAATGGAACTAAAGGAACCTGTTTAACCCAAACACATTAAAGGATCCAAATTGGGTTCCACATCCATGGACACCACCTAGTTGGCAACAGTGCAGAAAATTCTGCCTACCAGAACCTTCTCTGCTGATAGCCTAGGTCAGAGGAGGGCAACCTTTTTAAGTGTTCGTGCCAAAATCGCCAAATCACTTATGCAAAATTCCTACATGCCAACCAAAATTTTGGGGAACTAAGTACAGTATTGGGAAAACTTTTACAAATAATCAAAATAACACTGAACATGGTAAAATTAAAGAAAATTCTAAGGGCGATTATTTTAAATCGTGTAAGATTGAATGAATGTAAAATTTAGTGACAATTTTTACTTAAAGGTCATTCTACCCCACTGATAGCATAGATATTTTTTACTTGCTATACTTAAGTTTAAATAGAGCAAGTTTGCTCTACTTAACATTTTATTTTATCAAGTTAAAACACACAACTCAGCAAAGAAGCCAGATATTTAATTATATTTTAATCAAGGTATTTATTGGGTACAATTATTATTAAACAATAATTGTACCCAAAATGTATAAGTAGTGAACAAATATAATTACTGTCCCAAAATAGGCAATTGATGAAAAAACTAACGTTATTTAATTGTCATGCTGTTTTAGGCAAAATTTAACTTCTTCAATGTCTTGGATATATAAATAACTTAATCTTACCTGTAACCAGATTTATCAGGAAGATCTTCAAGGGGCGACTCCTTGATTGTTGGCCGCTCAGTGTTGGTAGTGCGTCGAAACAAGGCAGTCATTGTTTGCGAGATGCTACGTCGCTTCCCTTCACCTGTTAGTAAAGCACACCTTACTGATCAGTGGTGAGCAAAGCCCAAACTCTTTCACTATTCAAATATATTACAAATGATCCAACATCATTTGGTTATTAACTTGCATAAATGTTCTAAAGTATACCTGTGTATGATTGCTGATTACTTATAATGTCAATATTGTATTAGTTCACATTTGGTTATTCTAGTTATGACTGATAAAATCACACTGCACCTATGTCATCACTTTATATTTTGTTATTGTTATATGCACTAAAGATATTACTTGTACAATGTTCAACAAATATTGCAATATTTTTATATTATTCTATGTCTTAGATATTACTTAGCATACTGCAACAATGTTCATACTTTTTGTAGAAACCATATGTAGCTTACATCTGTATTCTAATTTTATTAACTCCATCCAGGTGTCAGCTGGAAAATAAAGAGTTTAGCAGCCACGAGTGACCGTCTTACTTTACCACAATGTATGTACTGTACTTAAAAGGTTTTATAATAGGAACATAATATTATAATATAATATTATAATATAATATTATAACATAATATAATATTATAATATAATATTATAATATATTATAATATAGTATTATAATATAGTATTATAATATAATAATATCGGTGGTTATTATAGGAACTGCCTCATATGGGCCAATAGGCCCTCTGCAGTTCCTACTACTAGCCCCTCTACTACACCTTACTTTGCTCCTCATCTCTCGTGCCTATTTATTGCCTGTCTCTACTTCCTCATCACAATCGACTTGAGAATGGTCCAGGACGGACCGAAACGTCGTCGTCCCTTCACATTCTAGTGTGTGGTCTGGTCAACATTGTTTTCTGTATATGTTTTCTGTATTGAATATGTATCCATATTCATCTAAAACTGATGATTATGATTTATACAGCACCAGTTTAAATGTTTTACTTCCCATGTCTCCACTTACAACAACATTCCAAGTTCCCAGTGGCATTATTTCTTATTTAACATTAACACATTAACCCTTCAACTGAACATCACATTCAGGGATGTTTTACTGGTGGTCCATATCTTAAGCTTATATTGAGATGATTTCAGGGCTTAGTATCCCCGCGGCCTGGCCCTTGACCAGGTCTCCACCTCCAGGAAGCAGCCCATGACAGCTGACTTAACTCCCAGGTACCTATTTACTGCTAGGTAACAGGAGCATCAGGGTGAAAGAAACTCTGCCCATTGTTTCTCGCCGGCATCCGGGATCGAACCCAGGACCACAGGATCATGCGCTCAGTGTTCTGTCCACTCAGCCACCGGCTGCCTCCACATCACATCCTGATATTTGTTTAGGTACCTGTACCACAAAACATTTGAAACTCCTGTGGGTACACAGGAGTTTCACTTCCACATCCACTTCTGCAAGCCTCCAGTGAAGAGACACCATCTTGGAAAAAAATTCCTGGGCACCATTCCTGGTTTTGAGGGCCTCATTACTAAAACATCAATCATGAGTGAACACATGAGTTGAGACATGGGACCAAAACGCCAAAGCTCAACCCCCACAAGCACAACTAGGCGAGTACATGCAGCATTAGCTCAAAGTCCCACCATGCAGCTTGTGCCCACAGCATCAATGATGATGAAATAAATAACTGAAAAAATTTAACAATAAGTGATATAGAAGATCCTGATAGTGATAAAGACCATGTTCTAGCAACACGAGACAGAACACAAAACAATGGGTATAAATTGGTCAAGTTTAGATTTAAGAAAGACCTTGGTAAATACTGGTTTGGTAACAGGGTTGTTGATTTGTGGAACCAATTACTGTGTAATGTGATGGAGGCGGGGTCCCTCGATTGTTTCAAGCATGGGTTGGACATGTATATGAGTGGGATTGGGTGATTATAAATAGGAGCTGCCTCGTATGGGCCAATAGACCCCTCTGCAGTTATTTATTCTTATGTTCTTATGTTGAAGATGCCGATATTGGTGAACCCAATGCAGGTGGCGATGTTCACAGCACAAGGCACACCACAGTTTGGTTCATCTACACCTCATGCAATGGGACCTCATGTTCCTTTAGAAAAAAACAATCAAGATTCTGATAGCAACAGTATTCTGACTACTGGTAGAGGTGTGTGCTGTATATCGAGCAGCACTTTGCTTTGTCATGTGCTGTTGGGACCTGATGAGTGAATGTAATACCAAGATGGCATACTTATGAACATAGTGGGCCCAAGGGTAGACCACAGGATGGCTACACTTGACACAGCAGACAACTTGAGAAATATGAACCTTTGAACAGGGCACCAAGGAAACTAACAAAGTGTTCACCAGGGCAGAACCAATGGCCTGCAGGTAGTGGCAAAGACATTATTTGTGCTGCCATGGGGGACAAATAATCCAACCAAGCATCAATCTCAATCACTAAAGGACCACCCCGGAATCAAGCAAAGTCATTCTTTGCCAGTAAGGAAGAAGGCTGGAAAAGAACAAAATGAGACCAAAGACCGAAGAGACCAAAGCAGCAGAATCTTCGACTACAGAAAAGAGCATGACACTCGCCCCATATGGCAGCCGAAGGCAAGAGCCAACAAGAACACCGCCATCAGGAACATCACAAGCTGAATGGGTAACTGTAAACTGAGGGTAAGGAGAGAATTCACAACACTGTCAAAAGACCAGGATGGCTCAGGAGGAACATGAGCAGGCCAGTGATGAAATATGCACGAGACAATTTGCAAAATGTGTGTCGATGTATTAATGCGAAATGAAAGCAATAGCAATTCTACCAATGCTGAACGATAAGAGACAACAGTATTAGGCATGATATATCTAAGGGCAGAGACCCAGTGAGAACAAATCTCTCAGGACTCAGGGTCGTAGGTGTAACCAACTCAACAGTCAATATGGCATAGACAAAAGGAATGATCACAGTTCGGCAGCAATGGGGACGAACATCCAACAAACTTGCACACCGCACATGAGGACTTTATGGGTCACAGACCTGCAGGGAAATTGCCATGGCGTGAAGATAAATAGGCAAGCAGGACCCCCAGGCACAGGAGTCGCTCCCAGGATGAACAGACACGAAAAGCAGCCCAAAATACTAGGCTGCAAATGGCAGCTGTGGTGTGTCATGTAAGCAAGCACACAAGCCCCTGCACACCCCCAGCCAAGGGTCCAAACAGAGCAGCCCAAAGCAAGGCTTTCCACCCATCGCCAGGTCTCTGGGGGGAAGAGGGAGGGGGGAGTACTCCCGAACACACTAGAGAAGGGGGGGAGCAGGAGTAAAACTAAAGAGCACCAAGGTAAAGAACCTTGAACACCTGCAGCTCAAAGCTCAAATAAGCCAAGCCAGGAGTAAAACATGCATGTGAAGCAAATACTGTACCAAAATATGAAAACAATACACTATCAAAATGGACCCTGAAGGACGAAGTCCAAAGGATGGCCGGCACTTAGCATGAAATAGGAGGGTTGTCACGACTGTCCATTCAAAATACTTTCCATTCAACAGCATTTTTAAGAACCAGCATCCACACATTCCAGTAAATCGTCCAAAACAGCATGAGAATAAAGTTAACTGCAGAAAGCATATCAGACTATACGAGGCAGTTGCTATTTACAGTATATCCACCAAAACTCACTCATATATATGTCTAACCTATGATTGAAACAATCTAGTGATCCCATGCATATTATGTTACCCTGGAATTTTGTCCATAAAAACAACAACTACAGTATTTACAAACCAGTATGTACCCAGACATTTCCAGAATATAAACTTCTTCCATTTGTATTCATTGAATATACACCCACTGTATATACTGGTATATCACAGGCCACTGCACACCAGAAAACAATCATTCACAAGATAAAACAAGTTACTCAACAAGCAGTTTTTCAAGCCACGTGAGTATTCAGTATGGCTTTAGTCTTTATGTACTGTATATATACCTCTGACAGTCATTCTGAGTTAGACTGAACATTTCTCCAGGGCAGAGATCTTGTAAGTTGCCGGGGAGGCAACTTACAAGATCCCTGCAGAGATGTCTGAGGTCTCAGCAGCACCAGTTCCTTGAATGTCATTTTGCCCGGCTGGGCCATGTATTTAGTTAATCAAATAAATTCTTACGTTAAGAGAGCAACAATGTGATAGATCCGATATACTGTATAGTCAAATATTAAAGATATATATATATAGTACAGTACTGTAATAACTTGGAAAACATTTAATTCAGGGAATAAATCACAACAACATGGCTGAAACAAATAACCCAACCCACACATGAAAGGTGACATTTCAGTCTGTCTTAGACTCTTAGACGTATGTGACTCATACGTCAGGCTGCGAGCAGCCGCGTCCAAGAGCCTGGTTGATCAGTCCGGCAACCAGGAGGCCTGGTCGACGACCGGGCAGCGGGGACGCTAAGCCCCGGAAGCACCTCAAGATAACCTCAAGGTAAGGTAGACCCTCATCAATTCATGACAAAATACAGCGGATGTGAAAGTCATACAACGCAACAGGGACTGGGAAGTTAAAGGAGATGAGGGGGGTAAGAAGGGATGTAAAGCATGAAAACCAAGCCAGCATAATAACAAAACAATTAATATTACCTCTGACAAGAGGGGTGTCCGTTGAAGATGAAGACACTGAACGCGTGCGAGGAGTGGAAGGAGAAAATCGTGGAACAATCAATCTCCTAACAAACCATGTTCTGGCTTCTGCTAGTAGAGGTGTATCTTCAGAAGTAAGAAGGCTATCAATTCTCTGTTTCAAGCCACTTATCACCTATATAAAATTAGATACATTAATTATTTGATACAGACTCAGTTACAGAGCATAATCCATTAGTCAAAATAGCCAACACTGTACAGTTACAAATACTTTTTAAATCCATTGTAAGTGGGAGATCTTTGATCAATACACTTTTGACCTTGCAATAAAATTCACACACTTTCAGAATATCAACTGTCTTCTTTATACCTATACATGTATTTTTTAAGAGATATAAGGAACAGATACACTTGTCAACCCACCAACCCTAGTTTGCTAAATTATTGCACCTATTTAAATTCAATTTTTTTTATAATTTTTAAATTCAGTTAGGGAAAGTATTCCCAAGATTTGAATTGGCTGCTTCTGTATCTATTGCACACTACTTAACCAAAATCTTACTAGCTTTGGCTTCCACACTATATCTTTATGACGGGGCAACTTTATGTAGAATCTTCTACAGATATTTAAGCCACAGTAACTAAGCACTGACTGACTGTGTGGGTCAGATGTCCAAGTGCCAACATCATCGCAGTTTGAGTGTCTACATGAAGAACATCACATCAAAGAAGGGAAAGGATAATACTGTACAAAATTTATTTAAGACATACTCATGCATAATACTTAACATCCATGTCACCAGTGGTTTATCTATCAATCAATGATTAGTTTTCTAACCCTTACACTACTTTGGTTGCATTCTGCTATTTCCTCCAGTGCTCCAATAGCCATATACGACGTTTCCCATTTGATTTGTTTATTTTAGACGTGCATGTCCGTATATTACCTTTAAATAGCTGCGTTTTTTAGGGTATTCAAATTTATATATCCAAACAAAATTATACATGCACATCTTAACATACATGCCAGCATACAACAATTTCCACTTAGAGGCAATTATATTGTATACACAATTATATTGTGTATACTTAATTTTTGGCCAGAAGTAGTGCCAGATCAACTGGCCTGTGGTGGATATGTGGGCCTGCGGGCCGCTCCAAGCAACAGCCTGGTGGACCAAACTCTCACAAGTCAAGCCTGGCCTTGGGCCGGGCTTGGGGAGTAGAAGAACTCCCAAAACTCACAATTTAAAATTTTAAAATATCTAAACAAATATTATTTACTAACCTGTACTAATGATCGAACAGAAGGTTGGAAGACAATAGACGTGTCAAGTAACAACGAAGAGAGGAGTGGCGTTGGGTACGTGGCCAGGCGACTCATTATTGTCATCACCAGTAGGTTGACATGAATGCTGGACGACAACATCTGATCTATTCGTAACATCAGTGCTTCCAAGAATGGTCCTGTCAAAGAAAAAAAACATAAAACACCTACCAGTGCAAAACATCTAACACTCATGTGTTTTCGAGAATGACACATTCAACACGCGCACAATTCACACTGTAGCAGGACTAGATACTAATTGTTGCCAACTGAACATTTAATTGTTCTGTCCAATCTCACATTAATGCCATTCCACATTTTTTCATAAATTTGCTAGATTTTTGCACGAATTTATTAAATGTGCGATTCCATTCAATAACATTCTCACAATATTATTCCTGCTGATATCACACAAGCAATCGTAACAGGTTTGCTTTGAGTCTGCAGCATTAGACAAATTTTTATGACTGAGGGCTAAAACCAATTGTTCAAGAAATGGCCACATAAGAACAAAATAAGTACCATGTTATGGGAAATAATGAAAAAAAAAATCATTATTATTACCCCATTCTCCTACTTTCATGGAGTGGAGAAAGCGTCAACCTGGTGGGAAAAAGGCGAAAGACGAGGCTGTAGTGAAAGACGCCAATTTAAAAAAAAAAAAAAAAGTTCTGGCCATTATATCATCAAAGATTTGGAAATATCTTCAGACATAAATGTCCTCATACTCTATACAAATTCACATTACAAAAATTAAGTAGCTATGCAAATCTAGCTAAAGTCATTTATTTATCAGAAAAAGTCTAACCCAAAACCTGTTACAAGTACAGCAAGCAGTGAAAGTGATGAAGCTGACCCAGCAATCACAGTCACATCACACACTATCTCCTTAACTAACATTTTACTTCCTAATCTTCCAGTAATTATACTTTTATCTCCTTAAGAATCACCCCCCCCCAAGAGTTTTTATTTATATATACTGTATATCCCATTTATAGCAATGCACCAATGGGATATCTGATTTTGAGAACCGAACCAATGACTTGCAAATACTGTTCTGTAGTTAGATTTGCAGTCCATTCAGAAGTTGGGATCTTGCAAATTTACCTAATATAATACACATGCATATCAGATTGACCATTTCTAATGCTCTACTTATTGAGAAAACCTTTGGAACAGGGTAGTGGAATTGAACCAAAATCCTGGCTCACCTAAAATTAAACTGTTTCTTAAAGTAACACAACCTTCAGATCCGGAGGAGAAGTTCCGGATCAGCCGGGCTGTGGTGGGTATGTGGCCCTGCGGGCCACTCCAAGCAACAGCCTGGTGGACCAAACTCTCATAAGTCGAGCCTGCCCTTGGGCCGGGCTTGGGGAGTAGAACAACTCCCAGAACCCCCATCAAGCGGGTATAACCTGGAGTCTGCCCGAACTCATGGGGAAGTTGGAGGCACTGAATTGATACCCAATTCAATTTTTACATGTTTTAAATGCAGAACATTTCATACTACAGACAAAATCAAATGATCCACCATAGGAGACAAAGATCCCTTCTTATACAAGTGACATTATACCTATTGTTGGCCGTGGCTGTGACTCTGAAGCAGCGGCCTTCTCTGTTACTTCTGGCGACGGTTCATGACTGTGCCATGGAGGACCCACCCACTCCCCTTCATCTCCTGTTATCTCCAGACGATACACCTGAAAGCACACTTAATGAAATGGCAGCGTATCTTTGGATAACAACAACAGACCTCTCTCAAATACAGACAATAATCAGTAATTATCATGACACAAAGGAAAAATTTGTTATAAAGTTATTACTTATTTGTAGTTACAAGTAGAGTTATTTATGCTCAATGTGACCCATCTTCCTTTTATAGTTGATCATAATTACTGTACTGTAGTTTTCTAGCTTCCAGTGGCACAGACCACGGGAGATTATTCCAGTCATCCACCACTCCTATTATTTTTTCAATATCCATTTCATTAGATGTTTTAAACTGTGACCTCTGTTGGCACTGTTGGCACACTTTTATCTTTTTTACAAATTTACATACCCATCATGAACCATCTTTAATTCTTATAAATAATTGTAAATATTCCATGGGCTTGTCTGGATTTCGTCTAGTGATCTGAGCTTCATTTTATGGGTTCAAGTTGGTGGGTGTGAAGATAACATACCCAGACTAGCTCTCCATCATGCTGAAGCTGACCACAGTAGGCAAGTAACAGGCTCCCTGTACACAGTAGCTCCCTGTAGCTCAGAGTCTGTAGCTCCCTAAGCTACAGGCTCAGTCTTGTGTCAGCTTTCTTCATTGTCAGTTGCGTGTGAAGGTAAGCAGGTTTTCCTTTCTTGATTGTGTAGTCATATCAATTGTTTGTCAATCTTGTTGCCTCAGTTTGTTTCCTGCCTGTGTCATAGTTTTATGCTTCATGGCTTTGGCAAATTAGGCCCGTTCTGTTCGGTCCAAAATGGGCCTGTTCTGAATCCATTAGTCCTCAACTTTTTTTTTTTCCAAAGCATGATTTTCTCCCAGACAATTCTTAAGCCTTTATCATGCATTGCCATTGTTTACTGGTCCCAGTGAGGCTAGGCTCCCACAATGTTCTTCACATGATGACTAAACCACCACGTGAAACCCACATTTCTCCTCTTTGTGTGTCTGCAAGCAGGTAGAACAAACATCTGGGCGCCTGACAGCTGGGTGGACAGCGCTTTGGATTCGTAGTCCTGAGGTTCCGGGTTCGATCCCCGGTGGAGGCAGAGACAAATGGGCAAAATGTTTCGTTCACTCTGATGCTCCTGTTACCTAGCAGTAAATAGGTACCTGGGAGTTAGACAGCTGCTACGGGCTGCTTCCTGGGGGTGGAGGCCTGGTCGAGGACTGGGCCGCGGGGACACTAAGCCCCGAAATCATCTCAAGATAACCTCAAGATAGGTAGCATGCAAAGGCAGGAAGGACTTTATGGTACAGTACTACTATACTTTCCACTCAGGGGTGGTGTCTCCTTATCAAATGATTACAGCACTTCACTCTACTACTAACACATTGTGACAACTGTACTTTATGGGATAACAAAAATGGCAAAATTGTGTTATCCAGCCTTCTCACTAGATTAAATATACTCTAGCATACATTAATCTAAGTTACAAGGTAATGAAAAATTAATTATTTTCTGTAAATTTTCAAAGGATGCTTTAATAAGTAGCATCAAAATGTGGGCATAATTGTTGGTATGCTGCATATTGCTAGGAGTATATTATCATATATGGGCTGTCTTTACCAAAAATCTACTAAAGACAATATATTTTTAATTAAAAAAATAATCTCAAAACATATAAAGAACATGTTGTATTCATGGCTTCATATTCTGGTTAATGATATACTGAACTATACATCAGACTAGTTGTCTTATTTAGTTAATACTTAGAATCTCTCTCATTTACATAAAATAATAAATTACTAAATATGAACAGAAAAATTAAGAAAAGCTCTTACCTTATTGTAGGACTTAGACAAGCTGACATCATATATCTTAAAAGAAGTAAAAGCTTGGTCTATTTCACGCAACGTTTCCTCAAGCCCAGCAAGCTCTGTAGGAGTTGATGATCTTTGTAGAGAATCAATAAATTCCTGATCATCTTCATTTGACATATATGAATCTTTTTTCTCTATAGACTCACTGGTGGCACACACACTAGATGACCCTTGATTAACTATTTGACTTCTAGGTGACCCATCTGAGCTATTGACTGGAGAAGAATCCCTTGATGCTCTAATATTAAAACTTTCATAGCCACTGCTCTCCCCAAGTGAGTCAAGATTCTCTTCTTCCCCACCTTGGCCCATTATCCTCTCTCCTCTCCCTCCAAACGTTCCAGATTGAGCTGATCTGTTCACATTATGTTCAATATCACATACACCATTGAGCACTGGTTTTATATCAATCTTACTAGTTCTGACATCAGAAGGCAAACTGGTGCTACGAATTCTGGCCTCTGCTTGTGATGCATCCGATGACTGTGAAGTTGTAGGATCCGAGTGAGAACGAAGCTTAGGATATAACACCGGTGGGTTAAGACGAGCAGCATCCAACATCTCCACAGCTTGAGTAGGTGATGGGTTAAGGCCATCATATCGCCATGCCCAACATGAGCACGCACCTTTACAAGCTGCTATGCTCATTTGAGCTTCATTAAGGTAATATGAGTATGTTGTTGGTTGGTCTAAAGACATAAGATCACTTTCTGATGAACAGGTAGATGCATTGGATAGCGATCGTTGATGGCGTGGCACAAGGAACGTAGTTGGTGATGACTGAGGTGTAGTTGATGAATACTGTGTGCGTGAAGGCTCTAACACTTCTGGCTGCTTTTGGGAGTTCTCTGCCTGTGATAAAATTACAATATGTTATAAATGATCTAGTTAATAACACTGTATAAACACATTTCATCAGTGTATTACCTAGACTTGTCAAGTCATATTTTATTTATTGAGTTTGAAACGCTTATTTGCAAACTTTGATTGCAATTGACCAAGTCATCCTTCGTCCCCCAAAGAAATGATATCGAGGGCTAGGTAAAAGGGAGTATTTCAGCGCTTATTTACGGCACTTTACTTTAGGTATGCTCCCCTTGTACAGCTCCCTCCCTCCCTCCCTTGTAGTGCTCCCTCTCACACTGTAGCTCCCCTTGCTGGTGTGGTCCCCTGTTGCTATCAACATCAGACCTTCATTGAATACTGTTTGCTAATCCAGTACCTAGCTTTTTCACCTGTTCTCTTACAATTTTTTTTTTGTGCACAAAATGACAAAACTGCTAATAAGTATATTAAGAACAGTTTAAATACAAGTAAGTAATTATCAAAAGAAGGCTCCAAACTGGGAAGGCTATGTAAGTTTAAATACAAGTCATAAAATGTAAACATTTCACTTGTACCGAGTACAATGCTGACTGAAAATAACTCTTAGAACCACCTTTTCTTGCTTTTTATTGTTTATATTAATGCATGCTGTATTTGCAGAGATAATCCTGTTTTTTTGCATACATATTTGTCTGTCAATTCAAGCAGAAAGGAAATACTTAATGTGATATAGTCTATCCTTTGCATTATAAGGAACTTTTTTTTATGGCAGATGAGCATTCCCCCAACTTTGACCAATCCTAAGCTGCCCCAACTTTGACCAATCCTGAGGTGCCCCTTGTCTGCAGGCTGCTCATACCACTTTTCAAATCATCTTGAACACCCTGGACTGTATAGCTACACAGTATTAACTGATAAGTTGGTAACATACATATTTTGTTATGCTTAATATATGAAGTGTTAGTAAGCAATTTACAGTGTTCTAAATTAAATGACAGTGCCACTCAAAAAATTGCAATTAATCTAGTATAAAAATGGATAATTTTAAAATTCTAATTTAAAATGATTGACTTCATAAAAACAAGGGTAAGGTATTAACCTGACACACATCAGGGATAAGATGAACAAGCCTAAGAGAAGACTTGGCTGCAGGGTCCGGAGGCTGAGTGAGACGAGAGCGTTGGGAGAGCATCACGTGCGTGCAAGGTGTCAGGTATTGAAAGACAAGTGCCACCATTAAGTCTTCACAATTTAGCTCAACCAATGTCCAAAACAGACTCAATGTAACTAGGCAAAGTTGCTGTAAAGAAAAAATAAGAATGTTAACAATTTTGAAAAATATCATTATCACTACCCCATTTCCCACTTCCATTGAGTAAGGAGGCCCTTGGGGGCAGATTCACGAAGCAGTTATGCAATCACTTACAAACGTGTACATCTTTCCTCAATCTTTGACACCTTTGGTTACATTTATTAACAGTTTACAAGTGTGAAAACTTCCCAATCAACTGTTGTGATTGTTATAAACAGCCTCCTGGTGCTTCGGAGCTCATTAACTGTTTAATACTGTCTCCACTCGATCATCCGGACTATATGGGAAGGACCCCCAGCCGGATTATCACATTTTTCGGATAATGGTACTTTTTCACCTACGAGTCCAAAAGTGACAATTTCCAATTACTTTTATACTACAAACAACATAATTTGAATTGCCTTGCCACATATAATTATTAAATATTCAACTAGAAACCTCAACTTACCTTGTTGTTGTTCGTCTTCTTGATTGATGCCACACATCTTGAAGTTAAGAATTCTTAACAATTTACGTAACTTATACTAACACAACACTAAAATTAACACTTAAAATTACTGTACAGTTCATTAAGCAAAGTTAGTTTTGACTGCCAGCTGCTGAAGCCTCACTGGTTGAAGGCATTTGGGTTGCCTGTGAGGCCTCACTTGTTGAAGACGCTTGCATGCCCTCATTTGTTGAAGGCGCTTGGCTTGCCTGTGAAGCCTCACTTGTTGAAGGCGCTTGGCTTGCCTGTGAAGCCTCACTTGTTGAAGGCGCTTGGCTTGCCTGTGAAGCCTCACTTGTTGAAGGCATTTGGCTTGCTTGTGACGCCTCACTTGTTGAAGGCGCTTGCTTGCTTGCGCATCACTTGTTAAAGGCGCTTGGCTTGCCTGTGGCGCCTCACTTGTTAAAGGCATTTGGCTGCCTGTGACGCCTCACTGGTTGAACAACACATAACTTGTCTTTGTTAGGACAACTTTCTTCCTCTTAACACCTCCAGAACGATTGATGCTGCTACCAGACATAATCTTGGCCAAAAAGGTTCAAAGTTACTATGAAAATAAAAAAGTTATTTAAAAAAATATTTCACTAATGGCGCAGCACTGTGTATAACACGAGGGACGGATGCACATGGGTTGACCAGTGTTGGACAGGTCTACTTGGGGTGGGGCAGCTATAGCGCGTTACGTAGGCCGCCAGGAGGAAAAAACTCAATATTTTTTAAGGAAACTTCAGCCTGTGCACATTAATTTTAGGAAACTTATTTATTTGTTATTACATAATTACTAGTACTCATTTCATTTGTTTTTGGCTATGATTAAGTGTTCTAAAATTAATGGTAATTCCTGTACCTAGGTGGTCCCTTCCGACGCACCCCTCCCACCCTCCCGACACAACCCACCCACCGCACCCCTTCCTCCACCATGCGTCTAGAGCCACAGACGGGATTAATACGGTATGGCCGAATATTCATCCGGCCAAACCAGCTTTTATCCGGTTCCTGTGGCCATTTTGGCCGGATATTGTGATAACTTTATCCGATCACGATTTTGGCCGTATAAGGGCGTTTTCCGGATGTTTGAATCCCGGATAATCGCGGGGTTACAGTAATTGTAAACAAAGCCGCCAAAGATTGAGAAAAGATGTACAGGTTCGTAAGTGCTTGCGTAACCGCTTCGTGAATCTGGCCCTTAGTCTTTAGTCAGAGGAAGTGTATTTTCCATTCCAGACTTCCTCACATGGAAGGTAGGAGTATTTGACCCACCATGGGCGGAGGGGTTGTTGTTACATCCCCGTGTGGCTTGTATGATGTATCTATTCTACAGAATGAGCAATCACTACCCTATTGAATTAATAGTTGTATGCACTGACAAATTATACAATTTTAAATTTGTTTATAAAAAATATAAAACAAAACATACTAAGGGGAAAATAAATTAATTCCCAAACAGCTTCCTTAACTTATATGGATGCTCAATGCAATAAATGAACTATTCGTATTACGATACAGTACTTGGCAATACTGTGTCAATGTAATGAAACGTCTCTTTCTGGTAAAGCCTCGGTGGTTTCCTGAAGTTATCTCGCTGAGATGGCGAGATATCAACTAATGATGCCCCATTAAGGGGCACATCAGTTGTAGGAGTCCTCTTTGGCCTACCAGGTACCAGGGCCAGAACCTAACCCATCCCAAGGGTTAGGCACAAGGAGCAGGGGACTATTATTGTCACCCCTCACCGGGAAAGCATCTAGAAAGTCGGCGAAACTTTACAGTCGACTGCAAGGTTTATACTAAACAACACATCGAAACTGCCAAATGACTGCAAATGATTCAGAAGCAACAATTTGTTCACAAAATGGAGGCCTGGTCGAGGACCGGGCCGAGGGGATGCTAACCCCCGAAATCATCAAGATATCAGCATCAATGACCCAAACAGGCAGCACAGTGGAGGCAGAGAGAATGATTGCTGGCCTGTAGCAGGACCAACAACCAACCTTCAAACTTGCTCATAGTAAGTGCAGACTCAATGGGTCACTCACAAGCCATGCCTGAGAGTTGCTGATGAATTACCAGGGCCTGGAGGTATCTAGCCAGTCCCCAGGGCACCCAGGCACTAGGGATGCTCTCCAAAAGAACAGACACCAAAACACAGCCTTCAATAACATGGCTATGAAGGATGTCTGTGGCATGTCTTATAAAGAAGCATGCATGTACCCTAGCACACCTAGGGTACATGCCCTAGGCAATATTCCCCATCCTGGTGGTCAGGTCTCATAGGGACGACCTTAATTCTCAAACATATCAGAGAAACGTCTGTCAGTTCAGGGGCATCACTAGACGACCACCCATGCAAGGGCCATCCTGAGTGTATGCAGCTAGAAGCGTAAAATTTGTTAGGTCCATACAAAATTGCAAGGAAGTAAACACACACACACGTGAAGCAAATACTGAAAGAAACGAACGATACACAAGCAAATCGCCCCTGCAGAACAAAGTCCACAAGATAGCTGGCACTTAGCTGAGAAGCAGTGGGATCAGCTGTGATAGTGGATCCAAGGAGCTCATGTGCTGTCATCCACAACAACAGTACTGACCTTCACTGCCAGCTGTGGGCAGGGGCTTCCAGCTGCCTGGTGGCAGCTATTAGTACTAACTGGTTTGGGCTGGTTGGGGTGAGCCAACCGTTGTTTCTGAATCATTGCAGACTCGTTTGGCAGCTTCAATGTTTTATTTTCTATGAACATTGCAACTGTCTGTAACGGAAATGCTGACATTCTGCATGCTTTCCCAATGAGGGTGGTGGTGATACAGTAATCCCTTGCTCTTCTGTGATGGAGAGTGGCCAGGCTCTGCTCTGGTTCTCAGTAGGCCAAAGAGGACCCCTGGGACAGACAAGTGACTCGGTAGGGGGAAGCTTAGCGAAATAGCTTCAGGAAGCTCCCCAGGGGCTCCTCCTAGAAAACACTGCTGAACATAATGTGTGGCTTGGCTTAGTATGAATAAAGGGAAAGAAAAGTTAAAAATGTGAAGACAATTACAAAAGACCAGTGAAAAAGAACCCCATGAAAGAAACTGGAAAATTGATTCCCAAATTATGCAAATGCATGGCATATATAACAGTATTATTTTTTCAAAGATATTTCCATACCAAAGGAGATACACCCACATACAGACTATCATTAACATAGAAGCATAGCTAGCATCCTCACTGATAATATAATACACAAACCAGTGTCTGCTCGACTTACCGTGTTAGGCGAGTGTAGTCTTGAAATAAGAATAGAAATAATGGGAGGCTCCAAAGCAGGACTGTTGGGAGAGACGAGTAGGAAGGCCAGGAACACTCTGCGCAACTCTGGCTCTGTCACGGTACGTAAACACAACTCCACGTATGCTGTAGCTGCAACGACCTCCCCAACCACTGACTGGTATCAAGAGTGTCTCGACTTAATGAGATGGAATATAATGCGCTAACAAAGTTTATATCATGAAATGCATAACAATTATTTAACTTAATTACATACTACTAATACCCAGTTAGAAACCTAATTGATATAACTAATGAATAGCACAATACCCCCCCCCCCAAAAAAAAAATTGAAGTATGTACTGTATATTAAAATTTAAGTATAGCATTATAAATACTATATGCAATAAAAATAATTATGATGACTAAACACAAAACTATAAACTCACATTATATGTAGATCAGTGTATAGTTATTGTCTTAAGAAGTACACGGCATTAGCCCACTGCACATGAAAATATGTTGATTTACAGGAAAGAGCTTAAGTAAGGATGAAAGTAAGGATGGAAACAAGGCATGCACTTATCAGTCTCAAGCCTGCTCATCCATTCTGGCACATACCAGGAAAATTGTAATAATAACTTAAAGGCCTGGGACCTGGGGCCAGATTCACGAAAGCACTTACGCAAATACTTACGAACGTGTACATCTTTCCTCAATCTTTGACGGCTTTGGTAACATTTATTAAACAGTTTACCAGCATGAAAACTTGCCAATCAACTGTTGTTATTGTTATAAACAGCCTCCGGGTGCTTCGGAGCTCATTAACTGTTTAATAATTGTAAACAAAGCCGCCAAAGATTGAGAAAAGATGTACAGGTTCGTAAGTACTTGCATAAGTACTTTCGTGAATCTGGCCCCAGGTGTTGCCAGCTGGTGGTTGTCGGTGTAAGTGACCAGACGGTAAACCACCATTTTGATCAATACATTACTCAGTAAGGCCGTGGTGCTAGATAATTAATGATAAGGCTCTGAGTGCTTATGAGTGAGCTTACTGCACACTTGTTATCCTAGAAGGGATAAGAATTTTCTCCTTTGCCTCTCTGGCACCAGTATAACCTCCCAAGGATGTCTAAGATGATTTCAATCAAGATCCTATCCAGTGGAACTTTCAGTGAGCTAGCCTTAAAGACCATCTAAATAAAATAGCCAAAAAATCAAGCATTGAAGGTAATGAAACGCCTCTTTCTTGTGGCCAGGAGCCACTAAGGGGGTCATTCATTAAGATAATTATAGTATAGTATATCTTGAGGTTATCTTGAGACGATTTCGGGGCTTTTAGTGTCCCCGCGGCCCGGTCCTCGACCAGGTCTCCTTTTTGTTACACACCCCCAGGAAGCAGTGTGTAGCAGCTGTCTAAACTCCCAGGTACCTATTTACTGCTAGTTAAAAGGAGCATCAGGGTGAAAGAAACTCTGCCCAGGAAGCAGCCCGTGACAGCTGACTAACACCCAGGTACCTATTTTACTACTAGGTAACAGGGGCATAGGGTGAAAGAAACTCTGCCCATTGTTTCTCGCCGGCGCCCGGGATCGAACCCAGGACCACAGGATCACAAGTCCAGCGTGCTGTCCGTTCGGCCGACCGACTCCCCATATATACAAATATAAAATGGAGAACTTGATTTTTTAACAGCACAGCCCAGCTGCAGCAGTACTTTCAACTCCATAGCTGAAGCCTGTTCAAAATATGACAGTTTTTAGTTACAACTAACTTGCATCTATGTTAGTACGCAGTACTGTACTAAGGAGTATTTTTTATTATAGAATTCTTAATGCTAACTTTCTTTACACTGTACTGTATTAATATTCTGAAATGACTTTCAGCAATTCTTAATAAATTATTTAACTTTCAGCAGAGATAGTAATGTAAAATTACTTATACAGATATTAACAATATATTTATTTATTTTATTTATATACAAGAGTTCTTACATTCTTGTAAAGCCCTACATAGAGCATTAAGCCACAGAGCACGCATAGCATTTCGGGCAGATCCTTAATCCTAATTTTCCCTGGAATATGACTTGCAAAATTGTTTAACAACCAGGTACCCATTTATTACTGGATGAACAGAGGCCACAGCTAAGGATTGGTGTTCGGTCAATCCTCCCTGGCCGGGATACAAACCCAGGCCAAATTGCTCGCGAAGAGCTGGGCGAGCATTTTACCACTGCGCCACGGGGACTGTTGATATGGCTATAACAATGTTGACCTTGCTTATAAAACACCCACCAGCATCTTTCTTAATAAAGAACTTTTTTGCTTTCATATTTTTATCATGGTGCAAAAAATATGATATTCATAATTTAAGACTACGTATGATTCAACAGCAAAATGGCAACCAAGAAAGGACTACTGGGCCAGCATATCTCAGGCTACAAACAGGATGGTGTATATTTGATGTGCGGGAGCTGCGAGGGATGTGCGGAAGCCGCGAGGGATGTGCGGAAGCCGCGAGGGATGTGCGGAAGCCGCGAGGGATGTGTGGAAGCCGCGAGGGATGTGCGGAAGCCGCGAGGGATGTGTGGAAGCCGCGAGGGATGTGTGGAAGCCGCGAGGGATGTGCGAAAGCGAGGGATGTGCAGTAGCTGCGAGGGATGTGCGGCAGCTGCGAGTAGACAGCCCAAATACAAACAAAATATAATCCCGTGAAATTTACAAGGTATCATTACTAGCGATACCTTATTATTAATGGTAGCCATTCTTTACATGGTACACACAGATATACACAGTACATAAAATATACAACAACAAGTCTGGTCTAACTCTTAAAATGCAGAATTCTATATAAAGCAATACTTTTATAAGCACAAAAAAATTACACCTGGCAAAAACCAAGAGTTAATACGTACTGTATATGCAAATCATCACAACAGAATTAAGACATTGTATTTGATTTCAGTACACAGTAAAGTACATATTTTCAATATTAATTCCATTCAAATAGATTCATTTGGTCTAATATTGTAACTGTGATTATCCTAAATAAATAAGACACATCATGCTTCAATTTAACCACATAAAACATTACATAGGTCAAGCTTAATTTAAATTACTGTAAAAAATGCTAGCAGTATCTAGCAAATGACTAGTCCTACTCTATAGACAGTTCACATGTTGAATCTTTACAATGACACGTAGGGATCGCAAACTGCATTTAGAAGTTATACGTAAGACAGAATGTGCAGACCAGCAGCCAGGTTATACTGACCAGGAAAACAGGAGTGTTGTGTGCTTCAATATCCCCATTGACTGCATCACCCTGTGACCGCCAACAGTTGGTACCAAGTCATGTAAAGGTCCAAGAAAGCAAATAAGAGAGAGGCCCAGTCACATAACCCCACACACACACACACAAAAACAAAAGTGGCTGAATGAAATATTGGAAAATAATACCACTACAAGTTCTAACAAGACCGTGAAGGGAAAGCCAGAAATATAATCCCTTGAATGTAACATTGAGACTCTACACTACCTCTTTAGCAGACTAAGCATGGCAAAGTCAACTGGGGAGGGGGGGGGGGGGGGGACAAAATTTACAAACTGAACAAAAATCATTTTAAATCACTTGTATTTACTATTGGGAACAAAAAATGATCAAAATTAATTGGTATAAAGTACTCTTAAATGTTCAAGAGTCTGGCAAAAATAAATGAACACTAAGAGCCTACAGCAGGTGTCAAAGACATCTTCAATATTCATAACATATAACAATGATGGCAGTAAAACCTCATTTTACCATAATTCTTGTGGCATAATTCTTACATGAACAAATTTTATCATTTATTTAATTTGTAATTGAACTGATGTTGCATCACCAACATCACAGGAGCAAATAAACCCTGAAGTTGAAAATAAATTTGGATGAATAACCTGTATGCCTTCACCTTTCCCCATAGACAAGGATGATGAATCTTATCTTGAGGTTATCTTGAAATGATTTCGGGGCTTAGCGTCCCCGCGGCCCGGTCCTCGACCAGGCCTCCTTTTTGTTACACATTCCCAGGAAGCAGTGTGTGTAGCAACTGTCTAAACTCCCAGGTACCTATTTACTGCTAGGTAAAAGGGGCATCAGGGTGAAAGAAACTCTGTCCATTTGTTTCTGCCTCCACCGGGGATCGAACCCGGAACCTCAGAGCTACGACTCGAAAGTGCTGTCCACTCAGTTGTCAAGCAATACATGTAGTCTCTTCCTTGCTAAATTCCACATATAAATCTTCAACAGTTCTTTCATTCAATAAATCACTCTTACATCTCACTCTTGATTTCTCTCACTTGTGTCTGTTGCATCAGGCTCACTTGTGGCTGTTTCATCAGGAGCATTTCTGTCTGTTCCATCAGGCACATCTGCATCTACACATTGTTTACATCCATCCCACAAACTAAGACTACTACTACATAACTCTTGCAGACCTCACCTACAGTGTGTTACTAAGCAAGCCATACAGTGGGTTGCAAGTTAACCGGATTTCTTTTTTCACATATCTCGGGATGAATGGGTTCCAAATCAGATCCAAACATGTACTTTAGTAATCTGGAGCAGAGAGACCAGGATGTAGGAGGGAAAATACACAGCTAACATGGGACCGGATCATAGGAGCACATTGGCATACACGTGTGAAAAAAACAAACATATCCCAATATTAATTTTGTGTACAATTTGTAGAATAAAACTGCTGGAGCTTTCATGTGGAAGAAAGCATAAATACAATGAAACCATGTTTGTAATTGGAAAAACTTTTGTTTAAATTGTGTCAATTATTAAAGAAAATGAGGTTTTACTGCATTTTAACAAAAAGCAGACTAGCATACCCAGCTTAATCTATGCACTAAATACAATATTTATATGGAATAATTTGAATCTGACCTGATGCAGTGCTGGACCCAAGACAGGAACAAGGAATCCTTGATACAAGAACTCCACTAACTGCTTCCTTACTAGAGGATGGGCAACCTGAAATGGCAAGAATTTGACCAGACCACACACTAAAAGGTGAAGGGACGACGAAGTTTCAGTCTGTCCTGGACCATTCTCAAGTCGATTGAGAATAGTCCGTGGCTCAACTTACTTTAGCTACGTTACTGTGACTCATCGCCTGCACATGGCAAGAATTTCTTGACACATTAGCCATGGTATAAAAACTTATTAATACTAACATCAGCTGTGCAGCTTAGTGGGCCCTCAATCTGTGCGAAGAAAACGTTACAGGAAAACTTCGCGCAGAACAAATCCAAAGTGGAAAATAAAATTTTATATGGTAAAAACGGTACATTCCAAAAGTCTCCAATAGCCAGTATTTTTTCTACTCTCAATAAAACACCTTTTCGCATGCTATATTAAATATGTACAGTAGTAGCAGTAATATTAAAACTTATTAAAAGTAGATCCTTTCTACTTGGTTGAATTGTAGAATCATCATTGTTGGGTTTAAATGACAGGGGTGATTACAACAATTGTTGGGACCAGTTTTGCCTACTGATTGGTTGCTGGCTGGTGATTGGAACAAAGGGGCCAAGAGCTGAAAATTATTGTGAACAGTATTGACACTGCAAACATAAATGGCATGCAGATAATGCCTGGCAAAGCATACGATGTACAGCCAGCCAGACAAATCACAAGTCAATGACCAAGGAACCCCTCCAGAAAGCAGAAGACTCATTATCACCTAAACAAAGAAGGCTGGAGAAAGAGGAAACATGAGTTCAAAGAAGAAAAACCTGGCAAAAGATATAAAGCTCACAAATCCAAATTCCGAGAGAGAGAGAAAAAGCCAACTAAATAGGTACTCTAGAGAAACGTCAAAACATTATCCAATAACCAAGTATATTCCAGAGAAATGTGAGCTGGATGAAGGTGAATGAGCACCCCTAGACACTAAGAAAGAGGAGAGAAGAAAGAACACCCAAAAAAGCAAGCAAGAGTGACTGCTAAAGCCAAATGGTAAGAGGCAACATTACTGTATTAGGCATCAGATGGTAATCAACAGAGCCAGTAAAGTAAAGACACGACCAGAGCCACTGAAACTGAAGGGAAAGAAAAAGGCAGCAGGCACACCACAGTGGAAATGGCACGAAAGTGTTAAGGAGAGAGACAACGTGACACCAAATGTAAAGACACAGATTCTACAGGAAAGTGACGGTTGGGTTGACTGTGTACCTGGGCCTTAAAAAAAAAAAAAAAAAAAAAAAAAAACTTTTGACAGTCCCACACAACTAGTTATTTTGGAAATCAAAACATGCTGGATGGGTGAGACACTTCTGACATGGATGAAAATTTTTCTAACTGACACACAGATGAGGAGAGTAATCAGAGAATGTATCTGACTGGAGAAGTGTTACTAGCAGAATACCACAGAGTTCAGTTCTTGCGCCAGTAATCTACCAGAAGGAATACAGAACATGAACATGTTTACGGATGATGCCTTGATGATGTGGATGATATTCATGATACTGGGGAAGATAGGAGACGCAGATGATTGTAATGCCTTTCAAACTGATTTAGATAAAACAAGTGTTTGGAGCTACATGTGGCAAATGGAATTCAATGTGAATAAATGGTAAATAGAATTCAATGTGAATAAATGCCATGTTTTGGAATGTGGAATCAGAGAAAATTAGATCACACACAACTTACAAATTATGTAGAAAGGAATTACAGAACTCTAATAAAGAACGAGACCTAGGGGTGGTTTTGGATAGTAAGCTGTCGCCAGAGGAAAACACAGAACATTTGTAAGAGGAGCGTATGCATCACTTTCCAACTTCAGATTTGCTTTTAATTACATGGTGAAATTCTAAAGAAACTGTTCATGCCTTTTGAAAAAAAAAAAAAACTGGAATATGCAGCAGTTGTATGGTGCCCATATCTCAAGAGGCACCCAGCAAACTGGAAAAGGTGCAAAGGCATGCTACAAAATGACTTACAGAACTGAAAAACATGAGTTATAAGGAGAGGTTAGAGGCATTAAATCTTCCAAAACTAGAAGATAGAAGACAGAAGAAAAAGGTGATATTTTGTAAGTGGTGATCATAATAGGAATTTATCAAATTGACAAAGAGGAATTCCTGAAACCAGCAACTTCAAGAACATGAGGAAACAGATTCAAGCTAAGGAAACAAAGGTGCCGAAAAATATTAGAATTTTTTCTTTCGCAAGCAGAGCGGTAGACAGTAGAAACAAGTTAATTGAGAAGGTGGTGGAGGCTAGAACCTTCCATACTGTAGTTTCAAAGTGCTATATAACAAAGGGTTATCTTGAGGTTATCTTGAGATGATTTCGGGGCTTTTTTTTTAGTGTCCCCGCAGCCTGGTCCTCGACCAGGCCTCCACCCCCAGGAAGCAGTCCGTGACAGCTGACTAACACCCAGGTACCTATTTTACTGCTAGGTAACAGCGGCATAGGGTGAAAGAAACTCTGCCCATTGTTTCTCGCCGCCCTGGGATCGAACCCAGGACCACAGGATCACAAGCCCAGCGTGCTGTCCGCTCGGCCGACCGGCTCCCCGGTCATGTCTCATGATCATGTCATATAGGAACCAGAACAACACAAACTACAAAGGTCTCCAACCTGGACAAGATGGGAAGAAGCAGCTGGATTGGTGAAGTGTTAAAGGAACTCTCTCTGGTTCTAGTCCAGGTGAACACGTTCACCAAAAAGGCCTCGCAATCGAGGAAGTTTATCATTTAAGAGGTAGCCGATGGTTCCAGGCCAAGGCCAAAATATCCATGTGCATATCCATCCATTCATTTGGTAAAAGACAGAAATGGCAGAGATGGCCATCAAGTTTGAAACACCCCAAATGTGAACTGCGCTGAAAATTCAACTTCAAGAATCTATAACTATGACTATAATGCGAATCCACCATTACAGGCAAAGGGATCAGGTGAACCCAGCCCTGTTGAGGAACATGAGGGGTGACAAAGGTATAATATACCAAAATAATGTACCATTATGTACCAAATTAACAGCTTACTGTACCATGAAACTCATGCCAACTCACTTATGGGTGAGTGTTCCAAACTTCTTGTAGAAAGTTTCAGCTGAAAGACCAATGGCCATTTTCAGTCATTGTTACAAAGCTAACTCTAGTTGTGTGTAGAATTTGAGTGTTGCCAAGATGTACTCGCCTAGTTGTGCTTACAGGGGGTCGAGCTTCGGCTCTTTGGTTTGGCCTCTTAACTGTCAATCAACTGGTGTACAGGCTCCTGAGTCTATTGGGCTCTATCATATCAAGATTTGAAACTGTGTATGGAGTCTGCCTCCACCACATCACTGCCTAGTGTATTCCATTTGTTAACTACCCTGACACTGAAAAAAATATTTCTAATGTCTCTATAGCTCATTCGAGCACTAAGTTTCCACCTGTGCCCCCCCCCCTACTGTTCTTGTTCTGTCCATGCTAAATAGTTTGTCTTTGTCCACCCCTGCCAATTTCTGAGAATTTTGCAGGTACTGTATGTTGACCACCCATTGTGGATGACATCACAAAAAGGCATCTTTGTCTCATTTTGAAGACATGCTGACCTAGAGCTGCATGGCACCTTGGTGGAACATTTATGTAGGCACGCTTCCATCAGCATCCATAACGCTCTTCTTGATGAACTTCGTAAGTGTGTATCTAATTAGCATACATAGAGTGGCCTCAAAACTTTGTATGTAACAGTGCATGTACAGTACCTAGCTCTGGAATGGCCCAACATGAGAACATCCTCATGTATTAACAATTTTGGTGCCAAATCAAATTCTCACAGGTGTAAATTTTCCTTTTCTGAACTTGCACAGAGTGAGAGCCAACTACACCCTACAACACTGTCCAACTATGCAAGGTGAAACACTTCATGCCTCTAACTTAAAAAATGTAAAGCTTAGATTAGTCAACTTTAAGATTACTTAAAACAATCATTAAAACTTTTTATTTTAACTGGGATTACCTTAAGTATCAAAAATAAATGGTTAATCAAAATATTTATACAAATTGGGTTTATAATCTTTAAGACTGTCATTCTATATATAGAATGTTTCCGAAGAGTGTTTTCACAAAATGGGCTACTAATACAAATGAAGTAAATATGGTAAACATCAAATCCCATGGTTATAAATACATCCATGTAATTAATAAAACTCTGACCTGAACAACTGCATTGCAGAATTCTAAGGAATTCAAAAACAGCTGGAGTTGAGAAATATCAGCTATGTCTTCCATACACAGGCGATGCCACCCATCTGACTCAACAGACAGCGAGCGTGGCAGCATAGAATACAAACCACTAAGGCCTGCTGCCAATACCTGGAAACACCAGAAAATAAATAGGCAATCTTTACATTCTGAATGGTATTGTATAAACAAATACTGAGCTTTACATTCTGAATAGTATTGTATAAACAAATACTGAGCTTTACATTCTGAATGGTACTGTATAAAGAAATACTGTCATACAGAGTAGGGTCTAAGACCTGAGAAAAGTTTGCCTTGCCTACCTATAATGAAAATACTGTACAAGATAAAACACATTATGTATTGTGTTTTATATATAATGTGCACAAGGTGTGTGACATCACTAGAGGGTGCTTTATCAAGTTCTCTCTTGAACACTGAGATGTCACACAGTTGTGTCCCAAATGATTAGGAGTGTTGAAAAGTCTTGGGTCCCTGATGTTGATAGAATTCTCTCAGTAAACCTATTGAACCTCTACTTTCAAAAGGGCTATTTTGCACTTCCTACCATTCCTTCTTGGCTCATGTGGAGTTATTTCTGTGAGCAGATTTAGAACCAGTCCCTCTAATATTTTCCAACTGCAAATTATTATGTCTCTCTTCCACCTACACTCTAGGGAATACAGATTTAAACATCTTGAGCTGTACAATAATTTATGTTTTAACGAGTCATGACTGCTAATTTATTGCATTCTTTAAAAATACAGTATAGTCTTCTGACAATGATACTCTCAAATTTGTTATACAGTATTACTTTTTCTTCTTCAATGCGTGTGATTTAACTGCATTTTATATATAGTTTCCATTTGAATATTTTTAGTTTTTCCACAGCACGGGAGCTGGAACTTTATTAAACAACATAATATTTTCTGTGGCCAATTGAAAGACCTGATTTACTTCAATTTGGAAGTTTGCTGTATACTCTATATTGTCTACTTTCATAAAACTTTTAGTGTCATCTGCAAAGGATGATACTGTAGTATGGTTTGTGTTGTTGTCTATGTCCAGTATGTAGATGAAAACATTACTGGAGTAAGTTCAATACCCTGGGAGTATGAGCTTTTCAGGGTGGATGATCTGAATTTTACTTTGTTGACTACTGCACACTGGGTTCTGTTCATTAGGAAATTGAAGATCAATCCTCTTACTTGGCCAGTATTTACTTTTGTGCATATTTTTCTGATCCCATGTCCTCTGTGATCTTACTTCTTAGCACCCTTTCAAAGATTTTTATGATGTGTGATGTTAGTGCTATCAGTCTATAATTTTTTCCTGTTTTATTTCCTCCTTTATGGAGTGGCTCCACCATTTTAAGTATATAGAGGATAGCACCAGTATCTAGTTTCAATCTTCAAAAAATGTTGAGCCTAGGATAAGATTTTTTTTAATTTTTGATGAGCATGGAATTCCAGGTATCAGGGCCTGGTGCAGAGTGCATGGGCATACTGTCTATGGCTACTTCAAAGTCCAGTGGGATTAGGATGACATCTGATATACGATTTGATGTTGGCAATACATTCATGAAGAATTTGTGTGCATTATTGATCTTCAGTGTGTTCAGGGGTTCACTAAAAACAGTCATACTATATCCTCAGTACTACAATTATTTCTTTGTTGTCATCTGTGAAAGTTCCATCTCCCTTGTGCAGGGGCCCAATGCTAGGTGTAGTTTTTGTTCTCAAGTTTGCAAAGGAGAAAGTATTTTGGATTCCTCTCTATTTCAATGGTGACCTTTTGCTCTCTTTGCCTCTCCCAGGTTTCTTAAGATTCTTGTAGCTTTAGCTTAATCATATTTATTTCTCTATAGAGCTTTCCTTGTCATTTTTGTGATAGGGAGGGGCAGTCAAGTTGTGCCGCAATTTGTTTTCTTGACCTATAAAGGGAAGGCTGTTCTCGGTCCAATTTGCATATTTTTCTTAGTTTTTTCTTAGTGGTATGTGACGAACATATTTCTAGTGCTAAGCCTACTTTTACCAGGAACCGATTCCTGGTAAATCAGGAATCAGTCCTGATTTACCAGGAATCGGTAAATTCCTGATAAATCTGGGCATTCTGGGTCTTTCCTTACCCAAGAATGCAAATTCTGATTATGGGAAATTTTGTCATTTTATCTTCTCATTTTTTTCTGGGCATTCCTTACCCAAAACTCATTCTAAACAAAACCTAAATCCTAAGAAATGACACGGATATCAACTAGCAATTAATCAGTATCAAGTGTGATTACATAAATATAATAAAGGCGCAATTTTGCTTAATGTTCAGACATCACTAAATGAAGGCGATGAGTCACAATAACGTGGCTGAAGTATTTCCTGGAGAATGGTCCAGGACGGACCGAAACGTCGTCGTCCCTTCAATTTCTAGTGTGTGGTCTGGTCAACATCACTAAATGAATTATGGTATTCACTGAGCACACTATACATTACAATACAAATCTGTGACACTTACAGGACAAAAGTTTGAGTGTTGAGCAATGTACTGGCCAACAGAGGTGTGTGATGCAGACAGTGCCATACAAAGAAGCAATGCATCCCTGGCTTGCTGCCCAATGCCCCCCTCCCGGTGAACAAATGGCAGTAAGAGAGAGAAGATCACGAACCTGGAAAATAAATACTAATATATACATTTATGTATATTGTGTTACTGAACTAGTGACCTGCACCCAACCAGATCATACCCAAACATCTCAGATCCAAGAGTACCCAGGTATCCACAGAAATTTGAGAGCATGGTTGGGCAGTCAGTCTGGCCCCATTCCCACAGCTACCATATTCTTCAATAGCTGCCACACTCTCCAATAGCTGCCACATTCTCCAATAGCTGCCACATTCTCCAATAGCTGCCACATTCTCCAATAGCTGCCACATTCTCCAATAGCTGCCACATTCTCCAATAGCTGCCACATTCTCCAATAGCTGCCACATTCCCCAATAGCTACCACATTCTCCAATAGCTGCCACATTCTCCAATAGCTGCCACATTCCCCAATAGCTGCCACATTCCCCAATAGCTACCACATTCTCCAATAGCTGCCACATTCTCCAATAACTACCACATTCCCCAATAACTACCACATTCTCCAATAGCTATCACATTCCCCAATAGCTACCACATTCTCCAATAGCTGCCACATTCTCCAATAGCTGCCACATTCCCCAATAGCTGCCACATTCCCCAATAGCTACCACATTCTCCAATAGCTGCCACATTCTCCAATAACTACCACATTCCCCAATAACTACCACATTCCCCAATAACTACCACATTCTCCAATAGCTATCACATAGTCTTGGTCAATACACTCAAACTTTATTACATACTTTTCAAAGTCTATAAATGATATGTATACCTAACAAAGCTCTCTTACATGCCATCCACATAAGCTCTCTCAATATACAGGCTCATTTTCACCACAGAACCTATCTTGTTCATCACTGATCAATTTCTCTAATTTCTTGTGATTTTCCATTTAGTTTTACCTGCTACAGTTGGTTTTCTCCACAGCACTTAATCATAACCTCATATCTCGTCAATGCCTGCAGCTGTAAAACAATTCAGCTTAAGTGAAGTATTTACTTCTTCCACAGAGATATCAGCTGTCAAATGATCTTTCACTCTTCTTAAACAATTCATGATCACAATAGCATCTCTTGTGTCATCTCCACCTATTACTTTCAAAAGTATTCTCTCCACTTCTCATAATGTTAAAAAGAAAGACTTACTTGGTAGGACCTTGATCATTGGAGAACTGAAAGAAGAAATCCAGTAAATGGTGGTTATGCATGAGTGACACACACAGTTGATTGAGAAGCACAACAAGACGTTTCTCAACCTCCACAGGAACGCAACCACCACATGACGCCAAGAGTCGCAGTAGAGGACGGATGATGGGCTTGTACACAAGTATTTCTTGTCTTGAGTGACTCAAAAGTTGTTCATGTACCTGAAATCATCATAATATTACATACAAACAATGTACAATAATTACAGGTACAGTATTATTATTTTGGGTCCTATGAGGTGTATTTAAGTCTTTTTGTTGCATCCTAAAAGAACTAAAGCTATATAGCGGTATATCCATTATACTGTAATCATGTCACACCCACATGGCTGTTTACTTGTGGCTGTGGGGATCAACCGATGCTACCCTCTTGTTAAGTCTGCAGCATTGGTTCTGAATTATGAGTTGTCTTGAGATGAGATGATTTCGAGGCTTTAGTGACCCCGCGGCCCGGTCCTCGACCAGGCCTCCACCCCCAGGAAGCAGCCTGTGACAGCTGACTAACACCCAGGTACCTATTTTACTGCTAGGTAACAGGGGCATAGGGTGAAACAAACTCTGCCCATTGTTTCTCGCCGGCACCCGGGATCGAACCCAGGACCCACCTCCTGCTCTCCTGGGTCAGCCCCCTTTCTCCTTGAGTATATCTTGATCCTACCCACTCTTGCATATGCTGATAATCACTGGTAATTTTCTTATTCACATCTCTTCCCCATCAACTCTCAAACTGGCAGCAAGTGTAGCGAGTTGGCAAGTGTAGTGTAACTGGCAAACTTAAGTGCCTCTAAATGGCTCTTTATGTGGTCCTTTGGTGGCACTTTTCTATCTAGAAGCACCTATAGATTCTCCCCATACAAGTTACTTAGCATCTTTTCACTTATAGGCTGAATGAAGCCTACTTTCACCTGTATTGCATTTCATTAAATGACATTTATTCATGTTGAACTATACAGAATTCTGACAGTGCTTGCAAACTCAGATCTAGGATCAATCTTGAGGCCTATCTCTGAACCTTCTCTGAATCTTTTTGTAACAATACCACCCTTCCCTAACAACTAATACCACTCCACCAAGCATATTTTATCTAGAAAATTTTGAAGGGCATGCCAGTCATCAAGGTACATGTGTATACACATGTGTGCATGCATGCATGTGTTTGTGTGTAAGCACATGTACGAGTTTTGGCATACAAGTAATATGTGAATTTAGGAATTTCAGCATGTATATTTTTTTTTTTTTTTGCCATTGTTTCACTTATCACTAAACAAAGAATTAAATATAACATTTGTAAAACTTGTATACAAATTTATTACTGTTTTTTTCTAGTTAGTCAACACAAACCTTCAGTTGTTCCAGTTTTAAGGCATTCACAAACTCTCCAGTGTTGAGGCTCCACGTCAAAATAGTGTCAAGGATTTCTTCACCAACGAAGTGATCAAAGATTGGAGTGTGAGGAGGATCTTCTGCCGGCAGAGACGAGTGCTGGCTGTTGACTTCCTGTATATCTTCTAAGGGATTACCTATGGTCGCGTCCCTCCCATTGACTCCCGTAGAAACTTTCTGTGGTATGCCATTTTGATTTCGTGCACTGTGAGTCTTTATCTGCTTCAGGTCCACCAAAAGCAACGTGACCATCTGGGCCAGGTGATTTATCACGGCTGTCACGTCATCAGCACTCACCTGAAAGAGGTTACTACATTTCAATGAACTCTTACATCAAAAAATTTGTTCCAAATAAAAATGAAAGGAAACCTCTCTTCGGTGACCTGTTTCCTTTGAGAACTTTATTTCCCAATCACATGCCCTAGTGTATATCTTTCACTTTACAGTTGACAGACTTGACATAAAAAAAGACAAATTAATTGAAGAAAATAATTACTGTATTTAACAGTAATAATTAATTGTGTCGGGAAATAGGAAGCCAGTGTGTATTCACACACATTAGGCTTATAACGAGGTAATTTATTTCTAATAAATTATGCATAACAGTGATGAATATACAAATGTATGATTAGCAACTGGATATCATGGTTTAGAGTCATTGGAACATTTACTGTTGAAGTACAGGTACATATAATGCATTTTAGCGTCATCAGAATGTGAAAGTGTTTATAGAACTTGATCTATAAAGTGACACCATGACCTTGTCTGTGGATACAAGACATTACTGAAATATTCACCAAAATTTACAGGTTAAACTTCTGATGCACACTAAGTACAGTATATGGCAACCAGAGTGCCACCGCTTGGCCAGGTACTTACTGTAAATCACCCATTTGTATAGGAATTTTACTAATATAAACACTATATCAATGTTCCTCTGAGATGTTTTTAGCAACTGGCAATCATATCTTCTTATCACTTGTGTAGATTTTAACCCTTGGAAACCATCCAGTGCTAAAATCTGATATTAATGTGCAAGATAGCATGGTGTGTTAGTATGCTTTGGTGGCACTTAATTGATTTGGAGAAACTTTAGTGACTGGGCCTCTGTGGCACCAGTGACTACCCATGTGTCTTTTTCAATTGAAAAAAATGAGAAGATAAAATGACAAAATTATTAGGAATGAATTAGTCATGGATACACCAATAGTTCTAATTCTTCTTCCAACCATTTCTTTTGATCTCTCTCTCTCTCTCTCTCTCATACTTCAACATGGTACGATAGTAAAGGCAAGTATACATTGTGAATGTCAGTAGGAGGCATCTTCTATCTTGAGGTTATCTTGAGATGATTTTGGGGCTTTTTAGTGTCCCCGCGGCCCGGTCCTCGACCAGGCCTCCACCCCCAGGAAGCAGCCCGTGACAGCTGACTAACACCCAGGTACCTATTTTACTGCTAGGTAACAGGGGCATAGGGTGAAAGAAACTCTGCCCACTGTTTCTCGCCGGCGCCTGGGATCGAACCAGGGTCCACAGGATCACAAGTCCAGCGTGCTGTCCGCTCGGCCGACCGGCTCCCCAAATATCATGAGGAGGATTCAAACTGGCACACTGGGTACTCCCAGGCATGTGCCTTAAATCACTGTTAGTGGATGCCTCAGAAACCCTAGAGAATTCACTTGAATACCAGGTTACAGTTAATGACTTTTAGCGTATTATGGTTCAGTGGTTCAAGGTGTGTGCTTGGGGGGTACCCAGTGTGCAGGTTCAAATCCTCCTCACAGCTCCTACTGATTTTCTCATTGATAAATCACATTAATGTGATTTCTTTTTACACTGCATATTAAGCTGATATCATTAGGGGTTCAGTTTTATCTATGTAGGTACAGCTGGATTTGTTTTTGTTGTGGGTGGGCGAGACCCACCACCCTATTTAAGAAAGAAATACTGTACTGTAGTTACACCAACTAAAAATTAATTAGAAAAAATCAAGCTATGTTCTCACCTCACCCCTTAACCGAGTTCTTGAAAAAATTTCACAGGTTTGTTGCCAATGTTTAATGAATGAGTGAAAGGCAGCAGCAGGGTCAACATCGTGCAGAGGTGAAGGTGCACGACGTCGCCCAAGCGACACGCGCAGTGGTGAGTCTCTCAGCCAACTGGTCATCCCGCACTCATCACTGAAAAAATAAAAATAAAATGTTTATTCAGGTAAGGTACATACATACAAAGAGATTTTACATAATTTGATCGATTTATAGATGGAGCTAGTACATACTAAAGCCACTATTACGCAAAGCGTTTCGGGGAAAATGAAATGAAAATGAACACCTATGTATTTAGTTTCTTAATTTAATAAATATTAAATGATACCTCAACAAAGCTGACAAAGGCTAATCAAAGTAAAAATTAATATAGAATATACCTAAACTATTTATAATAAACAACAAATAAGTGAACATTTGTACACTGTCATCAACACCGCACAAGTATACCTACTATACAATTTATAATACTACTTGTATACAATGTACAATAAGATTAAAGAATACTTAACACATGCCAATACAATACCAGGAAACCCCTTGAGCAAGTTTCTTAAGGGAAGCATAGCGTAGGGATTGCAGCCAAAAACCTTAGAAATTGGTTACGTAGATGCACTAGTTAATTCAACACCCCTGCAGTGTAGCCTCATGAAAAAGGAAAGTAGAAAAATCTGAAGATGATAAATGCCTGGAAAGGTGGCACGTTTGCTGGGAGCTTTATGATGGGAACAAGGAAACGGTACTTTTCCTTTGGATTCTCCAATGCTGTATTCATTTCTTCTTCACTCGGTAACTTCCCTTAAAGGGAAGGATAAATCATGTTAACTAGAAGCAGAGTTAACTGGATTTACCCTTTCTTAGTTGACCTTGCATTCACTATTTTAAGCGATTCCCGATCATTTCCCAAGCACCTACTCAATGTTTTCCATATACAGTATCAACTGCTTCAGCAATTGTGAAGCTATTACTTTGTAGGTTGTTAAGTGCTTTAGCTATTGGCTCTAGTTGAACTAGCAGCTCCTATGCAGATCTTTTCAATTCAAGTTTGACCACCTTGTGCCTGACTGGAGCATTCCCTAACTTGTCAACGTCACTTACCGTATTTTCATTAAGATTGGACAATTGCAAATTTAAACCTTCAATCTGACATGGTGTTCCATCTGACACATTGGGGCAAAACAAGGCACTGATCTTCCTGACAATACCTTGCAAACTTATTATTTCTCAAGAATTTAACCACATACAAAATTAATTTAACTTATCAATTGTGCAACACAACCAAGCATGGTCTCACTAATTACCTTTAAGCTGCACTATCTGATCACGGATATTTTAACATACTATCTTGAGGTTATCTTGAGATGATTTCGAGGCTTTTTAGTGTCCCCGCGGCCCGGTCCTCGACCAGGCCTCCACCCCCAGGAAGCAGTCCGTGACAGCTGACTAACACCCAGGTACCTATTTTACTGCTAGGTAACAGGGGCATTGGGTGAAAGAAACTCTGCCCATTGTTTCTCGCCGGCGCCTGGGATCGAACCCAGGACCACAGGATCACAAGTCCAGCGTGCTGTCCGCTCGGCCAACCGGCTCCCTTACTAGGTAAGAATTAAAGTGCCCTCAGGTAGACAGGGCTCACATCTTTTCTTTAGCCTCCAGTAAACAAATGCAATCTTGGAAAAAAAAATTGTGGGCACCCCTCCTGGGGTGCGAAGTCCTCAGTACTGATAGGCAACCATCAGTAAGGCATACAGCAACAATTCAGAGCACTGCCATACAGCTCATACCACAGCATCACTTAATAACGATGAAATAAACAACTGATTATAAACAACCGATTAATGACGGTAGTGTCAGAAGGTCCTGACTGTGATAAAAACTATGTACAAGGTTCAGATATCAGTGAACCCAATACTGTTATGATGTTCACAGTACAAGACAGACATCCACAGCATCCAGTTGTGGTTTAGTGCATCTACACATGTAATGGGACCTCATGTTCCTTAGCAAATAAACTTGAGGGAAAATTATTCATATTCAGATTTTATTGACCAGGCTTCTGATGATAATAGCAGTGTTGCAGCTATAGTTAGTAATGTGCATAGTATATTGGGAGGAATTTTGCTGTGTCAGGGTGGAAGCAACAATTTACTAGCTTGTGGCACTATGCTCTGCTTGAACTACCCTATTACCACAACCAACAGAGCTGCTTATTGGTTTGACTATGGTGTATAAAATGTAGTTACCGTATATTTAACATGTGTATACTGTGTAATAACAGGAAAACAGTATGTTTTATTGTTCAAGGAATATAATATTGTGCGTATATTAGTGACAATATATCTCTGAACATACCTATTTTCTACATGTTCTGTAATACAAAAAACATTATTGACAGTCCAATATAATGTATTCAATACATGCAGTTACAACTCTGAGCAAAACATGCGGGGCTAGGCTGACCTCTGATAATTGGTTACAAGATTATTACCCGCCAGAACTGTTTAGTGGTTTATAATTGTGCATGAAAATGCAGATAGTTATATATGAAGTATGCGTACAATGTAATAACATAAAAAATGGTTCAACAGTTTGTTCTATTGTTCTAAGAATATAATATGGTGCCATATTAGTGACAAATGTATATGAGTATTCAAATGTTCTACATATTTAATTATATACAGTAAATTTCTCAAATGACATACTATTTAATATTACAGCAAAACCCCAGAGAAAAGAGAGAGATTTTGAGATATATATGTAAAAATATCTTTGCAGCAACTCCCACCCCACACCTGGTCTGGGGTGACCACAGTGGGGCGATGGCTCCATGAACGTTCATGAATGTTCATGAATCATCATGTTATTACAGGATTTCCTCTCTTCGTCATGGTCAAAGTCAGCCACACTTTTTTCCCCTCTTTTTTTTCCACTTACATTTTTTTTCATTTTGCCAAAGGATTAAACAAAATTTGTAGTTTACAATTTAATCAAAATATACCCAAAAATATTATTTAACAAGTAATTAAGCCACAACTTGAATTACTTTATGGAAACATTTTATATGCAATAGAAATAAATCAGACTTAAATAAAAAAAAAAATATATATTTTTAAAACAACCCTGCCACATGGCAGCTTGTTACACATGGGTTCAGCCTGCCTGCCAGCCTCCACACTCACTAACCTAAAGATGCACCCAATCCCCAAGGCAAAGAAAGACAGCTACTGAGCTCACCCAGAATGAGTGCTTCATTATATCAGCAATGATTTCTGGAGTGGCAATAAGTAGATCTCTGGTGCATACTAATGGTACCAGAGAGGAAACTGTCTTAAGGTGAAAGAAACAAGTAAAGCCACCGACAAAAATGGAGGGGAAGGGGGTGACTTGTGGGGCAAAAAGACAGGGTTTCGGCAAGAAAGAAAACTTAAGTGACTGGAAAGGCCACTCCAAGAGCCTCACAGGAGCCACAGGGAATATTTAACAGGTAACAATCAGCCAACACAGGTCAAACTGCTCTGAACCCAGAGTTCAAATATTAGCAAAGAAGGCAGAAATAACAGGACACATTTCAATCAAGAGCATATGGAAAGAGTATTCAGGCATTTTATACCATACCCCAAAGTCTGTAAAGAACAGGGTGAAATGCAAGCGAGAAGTCAAAGTTTGCAATGGGAAAAAACGAGAAAAACATTACAAAGGACACTTACATATATTCATTGCACTCTGCTGGTAGTAAGTGCCCTACATAGAACCATTCGGGACAACACGGATTTACAGCAGGGTGATCCTGCTTCTCACAACTGCTGCACGACTACAACAAGATCTCGGAGGCACTGCAAGATAAGTAAAATGCTAACGTAATATACAAAGACTTCACAAAAACAATTAACAATTTTGTCATGTTACTACACCCCTTATAAAAAAATACTAATAGAATGTGTTAAAACTAAGGCAGTGGACTTTTTAATTTTATGAAAAACCAAACACAAAAAGCAATAGCCTGGTGGACGAAATCCAACTACCATCATAAAAAGTTTGATTTCTTATTAAACTCTGCGATGGATGGAAAGCTCTCAGGCTTTTCATAAATGCAAGTGCTGTGCATGAAGCTCCAAGCCATCTTACTATTTCCAATACTCATATCTAACATTGATACGAAAAAGCTTTACATCATATCCTTCAGATGACAAGTGCAAGTATCAATCAACTACAGTACAGTACAAGTATCAATCGTATCTTCCAGTGGGCTGCAAAGCACAAGTTCCTTGTTGATATTCAACAAGGTAAAATTAAAAAAGTTCCACAGAAAAACTAAAAAAAAATTCAAAGCAAAATTGAATATTGGACCATACAGATTATACCATAAAACAGTGTATACCAAAGCTAGGAGTAGTGATGCCTCAAGAATTACGTCCGAGAGGATTGCAGTATCCAATCACAATTGCAACAAAATGACAGGATCGACAATGAGAACTTTACAAATATGAGATACTACGTCAATAATATACTATTCAAAGCTTTTATCTTTTAAGTTGGAAAATTGCTGTATTATGGAAGCTCACTATACAACTAATGAAATTGCTAACCTAGAAAATATATGAAAATGCCACATCTACATTCATTTAAAAACACAATGGACTGGGAACAATTTACTAGTATTCGTTGGAATGCAGGAAAAAGCTATGCAGGTTTCATCACATGCAATATACAAAAAGAAATCTATATATATATACAGCATATACTGTATATAGAAAGATCGTTTCCAAATACAGTATACAACGTACACCAAAAATTTTACAGAAATAGGAGTCAATTGAATGTACAATATAGTTCTAATGAAAAGTAGAGGTTGAATATAGACAATAAGATAATTCAGAAATATCAGAGGACCCTTGGTTCCTCAATGACCTAAAAAAAATCCAGCATTGAATGGCCTGTAATGAAAACTGTTTCTGGTGGGTCTCTCACCTCTGTGAGCTACCCTCCTGGAACCTTCCAACTGTTAGGTATCACACCAGACTCAAACAAATCTTAAGCATGTACCGAAGACCAGGACCAGAATCTGGCCCCACCTCAAGCAAGAAGAAGAGTCTGGGGATACTAGATCACCACAGTACCAATGGAAAGGCCACCAAAAAGGTAGAGCACAAAAAATAAAAAGCAACTTCTCAGACAGCATTTGCTACCCTGATACGAACTTTGTACCCACTTGCTCTCTAAAGCCAACTGCTAATTAGCACTAATCCTTCACCATTAGATGGCATCACGGTCGATCTGAAGTTCCCGGCATTACCCACAACCCGTGAACATCATGGTAAGGTGGGCAAGGTGAGGATGGGAAACCGCCAAGGAACCCAGCACGAGAAATTTTATTACATTTAACATTTTGTACCCACACCATAGCTTCGAATCCTAATCATGGCTCACACTGTGTCTGGCACCTGTTAATGCCTTGTGCTTGACTTTTAACACTTCCTGTTTTATCCTCGGATGTTTCACTGGTTGTTTTATCACTTTTTTTATTTACATCCACAGATAGCTATTATATACATATTTGCATCACACATGTAAAACTCAGACAATAATTGCTTAAATTGTCATATGACAGACTGTATTACCCTACTAACATTCGTGACGATAACTGCTTTCGTACCATGAAATGGTAGCAGGATTTTTTTCATGGGTCAAGGTAAACTCCTTTACATCCACATAGACCTATTATATCCATATTTGCATCATACATGTAAAACCCAGACAATTGTTTAACTCTTCATATGATAACTGTATTACCCTGTGAATCAACAATTGACGATTTCTGCTGCCTAATTTCTTGCTTATGCGATTTAAATTATGTGATTTAAAGATAAATTCATTTTTTACAATTGAACACATTTTATCTCCTCAATAATAACAAATAACTGACCAATAAACATTTTAATACCAGCAGATTTTTTTATTTGTTTATTATTTTAAAGTATAAACTCTTATAGAATGGTTAATAAAAAATAAAAATATATATAAAAATATCTTTGTTCACAAGCTGGCATGACCGCCTTTGCCAGGTACTGTACTGTAACAGGATTAACAAAGACTCAGAAGCCCCTCAAAGTACACCTTGAGCCACTACCTGTTCAACATGATTCTAGAGCAAACAATATTTAACAAGTAAAAATATATATATACAGTACTGTATTACACTAACTGAATACATTACCAGTTACTATTAAATATTCTAAATATATGGTAAATTAAATTGCATCTAAACTTGAAATTAAACAGTATTAGCATATAATTACAATACAGTATTGTCATTATTTACTTTTCATGGTTTAATTTAGTCAGTTCAATTTGTATTCACATTTGCCATTTCCTGAAGTTCTGCTTCCCATGAGAATTGGCGATGAGCAGCTTGTGCAACCACTATCTGTCCTGTGTTGGGCCAGTGTCTGGGTTTGGTTCAGAGGCAGGCACATTCCTCAATACAGACAAGAGGCTTGTCTGTTGTGAAGTGTATTTCCTTCACCAGTTTGAGCTTGATATCTTATTTGTCCTATCCAGGTGGGGTTTGCTATTCCTGGTTGATACCTGCTTGATGGGGTTCTGGGAGTTCTTCTACTTCCCAAGCCCGACCCGAGGCCAGGCTTGACTTGTGAGTTTGATCCACTAGGCTGTTGCTTGGAGCGGCCCGCAGGCCCACATACCCACCACAGCCCGGTTGGTCCGGCACTCCTTGGAGGAATAAATCTAGTTTTCTCTTGATGTCCACGGTTGTTCCGGCAATATTTCTTATGCTCGCTGGGAGGGTGTTGAACAACCGTGGACCTCTGATGTTTATACAGTGTTCTCTGATTGTGCCTATGGCACCTCTGCTCTTCACTGGTTCTATTCTGCATTTTCTTCTATATCGTTCACTCTAGTACATTGTTATTTTACTGTGTAGATTTGGTACTTGGCCCTCCAGTATCTTCCAGGTATATATTATTTGATATCTCTCTCCCAAACCAGGAAGGTGGGTATTGGATGAGCTTGAATTTTGCAAGTTATCTAAATTCTACCTTCTGCTGAGGCTCTGCCAAATTTATTGTTATTCCTGCTAAAGGGGGCTGCACAGAGGAATGTACATACTGTACATTGAATTTATATGTATTCTACAGTATGGTGTCCAAAATTGAACTATATATCTGGATTGTAACTGGATGGGATTCTGGGAGTTTTTCTACTCACAATGCCCTGCAGGCTGTTGCTTGGAGCTGCCCATTATAGCCTGGTTAATCCAGCACTTCCTGTAGAAAACTGTCCAATTTTTTCTTGAACTCCACTTTTGTTCTAGCAATATTTCTTATACTGTACTTGCTTGGAGGATAATAAATAACTGTGGACCTCTGATGTTTATACAGAGTTCTCTAATTGTGCCTATGGCACCCCTGCACTTTTAATGGCCGTGTTCCAATTCCCTTCCGTATTTTTCACTCCAGCACTTTGTTATTTTACTGTGCAAATTTGGGACCTGGTCCTCCAGTGTTTTCCATGTATATATTATTAGATATCTCTCTCCTCTCCTTTTTTTACGAGTACATTTTGAGAGCTTTGAGACAATCCTAATAATTTAGGTGCTTTATCAACCCAAATTATCTACGAGTGTTAAATTTACTATATCTACAAATTATCTAAACTACCTAAATATCTGTCATAGATATTTATTATCAATGCTTGCCATAAACAAGGCCTAACAAGATAACATTAAAGTTGAAGAATAACATAAGAAGTCTTCTTGGTAATATTTCTAGATATGAAATTCCAATATCCCATTTGCCTTATTTTAAACACACAGACTGTATGGTACGGTCAATTGATTTATTGTTAAACCAATGTTAAGTCAGGTTAACTTTAACCGACAAAATAGCCATACCAATTTGATATGTCCAATTTACTCTGAATGTACGCTTTACCTAACCAAACATCCCCTGGTCATACTCAAGTTAACATACAGAAATGTAATGTAAAGTAATGGCTTGTAATGCAGAAAAGTATTACAAACCGGAAGGGTCAAGTACTAAAGGAATGACTCATTCTAATACTCATAACTCAAGATCAAAGACATCACACTGCTTCTCAATACTAATTTGGTTTTCATAAAAATCCATTATATTTGTTACATTACTATGTGCAAGTTTAGATTCAGAAAAGCCCTGGGTAAATACTGATTTGGGACTAGTTTTATAGATTTATAGAAGAACTTGCTAACAATATACTGTACATGGGATTGCAGGATTTCAAATTGAAAGATATTTATGGACAAGTTTAGTTGGGTATAAGTGGCTACTGTTTGGACTTGTGCAGTTTCTTTAATTCTTACTTTTATGTTCAAGCAGTGCAATGTTTCATTGGTTTTTCTCAATAACACAACGTTGAATCAACCTGTATCAAAAATACTCAGAACCCTGATGTCAAGTGTTCTCTAAATTTGCATATTACTTCATAACTTAAAATACAAAATACGCACATATAGTCTATGACTGTATTAAGAGTGCTGGGAAGACGGGACACCACGAACGTAGCTCTCATCCTGTTTCTACACTTGGGTAATTACACTTAGGAGGAAATTACTGTACTGCGGGTTGGTCACTACAATGACGTCACGGGCCGGGTTTAAAACACTGAAATCGCTATGTATTCTAAAGATACAAATGTCAATTCAACTTACGCCTCACAATAAAAGCGTATCGTAGACCTCATTAACCTCGAGGGATACATACTTGAGACTCCGGAAAGCCTACGCAGGTAGCCTTATCTTCCTGCCCCAATAGATATTTTTACGACGAAAAAAAATGTGAAAATGAAGACCTACGACTTAAATTTCCGCGTTCCCCACAACTACCGCATGTCTGTAGCCTCCCATCATGTCAGCACAGTTCCTGCCATTACACTACAAGTGGGGAAGACTGAAATAAGCGTGTGTGACGTACTTATGACGAGGTTACCAAGTGATATCAAGCTGACAGCTCTGATATCTCGGTCACAACACAAACAAGTTGCCCACAACTGATCCAAAGGTTCTCATTGCTAATTGTGAAAGTTATCATATAATTAAATTTTGATCCAGGTTACCTATACGGTATTTATATTGAGCTTAGATATCAATAATAAATACAACCTTTAAGTTACAAAATTTTACTTAATTTCTAATAATAATATATGGTTATAATTAAAGGCTAGATATTTCACTAGTTTTAACTGTTGCAGCGTCTACACATATTAACAATAATTTTATATAAGGTATTCTAGTAATATAATTAGTGTAGAGTGGTAAACTTTCTTTGTTTAGGTTCTTCTCTACAAAATAAGTTTGTTTACACAAGATGGCAGCGTCCGGGTCAGGCTCAGCGGTGAGTCTCTATTGTTGTCTTCTCACATTTCTTGCCGGCCCTCTTACCATGGTGCTGCTCTGTCACGTCTCTCATGGTGGCCCTCTTACCATGGTGCTGCTGTCACGTCTCTCATGGTGGCCCTCTTACCACAATCGTGCTGCCCTATCACACTTCTCTTGCTTGCTACCCTCACTCCTTCCTAACCACTTGGACTGGATGGCATCGCTTCTTGCAGGTCGCCGTTCAATCCCCAACAGTTCAAGTGGTTGGGCATCATTCCTTTCCCCCGTCCCATCCCAAACCCTTATTGTGATCCCTTTCAAGAGCTATAGTTGCAGTAGCGTAACATTTTCTGCTGCTAGTTCCCTTGCCTTCTCACTCTTTCCTTACTGGCCCTAACTCGTTGATCCGTTCGAAGAGCTCCCTATTGGAGAACCAGAAATCACATTATTTACATTCTCTAGAAAGAGAGTAAAGGGTGATATGATTTAAGTACATAAATTTATAAAATAAAATATATGTATTTTTATATTTATTTCAACTGAGGTGCCTCTTCATCTAGTAGTAAATAGTTACATAGGAGTTAAGCAACTGCTGTGGGAGGGGGAGGTTTGCGTCCTGGGGAAGATCAGTAGGCCAACATTGGGGGACATTGATACAAGTCTAATGTATGTATGTATAAATACATATGGTCTCCTGAATGGTCCCAAGGTTCTACTGGTTAAATACTTGTAAATTCCAAATGCCCTGGCTGAGATTAGAACCTTTGTATGCATGATGCAAAACAGAGTGCTGTACCACTGTACCACCAAACCACAAAAGGAAGAGTGTATTTATCAACTCATTCAACCCTTTGCCTGGGTGCATTTGGGTTATGTGGTCAACTATTTCATCTAATCTAGGTTAGACCATGGAACATAAGTCATCATTATGATGGCAGGACCAAGAATAGTAGTACAGTAGCAGTGTTATATAACCTTCCACTCAATGATAAGACCCAAGCAAGATTATGACAGAAACAAAATGGCAGTTACCACTATCATTAAAATGGGCAGCCTCTATTGCCTATAGAAATCAACCACATCTGCTTATCATGGGAGACTTCAACCATGGAAAGATAGACTAGGTGAATAAAGAACCACACGGGTACAGAAACATGAAGAGCTAAACTAATGAGAATGGCAATAAGAAACGTTTTAAGCCAGCAGTGTCAGAGGGACCCACAAGAATGAGTCAATGATGAACCAGCTAGACTTGACCTGGTATTCACTTTGAATGATTCAGACATAAAGGAAATCAACTTCGAACACCTCCATGAGAATGAGTGATCACAGTGTATCGATGTTTGAGTATCGGGTAGAAGTAGGGATTAGGAAAAATGGTTGCGTGCATTTCCTATCATCTAATGCCCCTGTCCACCTAGCAGTAAATAGGTACCCAGGAGTTAGTCAGCTTGTTGTGGGGGTTGCTGCCTGGATGGGGTCAGTAATTCAACCCTGAGGAGGACCTCAGTATAAGGCTAACATGTACTGGCTGCCTGTACCCCCAACCCAATGAATTATTATAATTATGAATTACATATATAGAAGAGGTACCCAGTTGCAGCCAGGTCTCATCCCCTTTTTACCCCATCTCTCTCTTCACTCCCTTGTCCCCCATCTTCACTCTTCACCCCATCTCCCTCTTCACTACTTTGTCCCCCATCCTTTTGGTGCACATTCTCTCAGAACCCACGGTGAAACTCCTGTACAGGTGTCTGAGGAGTCTAGAGATGCGAGTTCAATCCCATTGCATAGCTTCAATATTTTCTCATAGATATATCACATTTTTGTGATTTTATTGTGTATTACTAAGATTACAGTATTTAGAATCTTGGAAGAATGCCTCCCTCTCCCTCTGAGAATATGCCTCACCCTCTATACATTACAGTATTATGATACATAAACACTTTTTTTTAAGAATTTGCATATTTGCAACTCTTATCTCTGCAATTTCTATGAATTGTGGTAAGTAGCTTATTGTGCATGTATTATTATTATTATCAGGAATTACTGTAAGCAGGAACTATTTTATTGCATATAAAATGATACTTATTCAAACATGTGCTGTATTTATATAAGAAATCATTGTATGATTTGAACAGTTTACTCAGGAGTAGTTTAGTAGGCACATCTAAATCGTGACTGTTATTGATAGTCATGAAATGGATTATTTCTCAGCAAAAATTAAACAAAAAATGCCTTCTCAATTACCTGACCAATTTATTTCCCCATCTACCTGGTGGAAGGTACAAACATCCAAGTGAATTGTATTATGCTGTCCATACAGAGAAATGAGCTTGGTGCAATAGATTAGCAGTGCTAATTAACTAGCTACAGCATCTTATTTTGTTTTGCAGACAGGGCCAGAATTCAGGCGGAAATGGGACCGAGATGAGTACGAGTCCATTGCTCAGCAGCGCTTACGTGCAGAGAGGGATGCCACCCAAGGTATGTTGAATGTCTTTAATTCTTGCACTGTGCACCACAACCAGGGTTAATCACAGAAATCACAATAGTGTGATGTATCAAATGAACAAATCCAAATGGGCTGTGACGAGGATTCGAACCTACGTCCGAGATAATCCCAGACGCTGCTTTAATCGACTGAGCTACATGGTCAAAAAGAGTTGAAACCAGAAGTTGTTCCTAACTTACTTGGATCCTGCAGCCTCTCCAAGACACAAACCAGGGTTTTACACAACTCCCCCATGCACTTGAGCTATGTAAATAGATCGTTCTACCTCTTCGCCTTTACTTCATTACACACAGAAATCACAATAGCGTGATGCATCAAATGAACAAATCCACAAGGACCGTGAAGAGGATTCGAACCTACGTCCTCGTAAGTTCCGCGAATCGAATCCTCGTCACGTTCCTTTTGGACTTGTTTACAACCAGAGTTGTTTCATTGATGTGTGCACCACACCCAGGGTCGTTTCATTGATATGTGCACCACACCCAGGGTCGTTTCATTGATGTGTGCACCACAACCAGGGTTGCTTAGGCCTATCATAAAATTTAAAACTCCTAAGCACACAAGGGGCTCATTTTTGGTTCCTCAGGCCTCCAGTAACCATCCCCCTTCTTGAAAAATAATAACAGTAATTAATAAATGGTGTAATAATAATAATTTATAAAAGAGTCTTAAGTTTGTTGGCATAGGATTGCTTCCAATTACTTAAACACAATAGCCAACATGCATTCATATTTTTACACACGTCTATATCTGCATGCATTCTGTCATGTTTTTCCTAGAACACAATCCACCAATTTATATATATTATATATAATTTATATAGTATAATTTATAAAGTACTGTAGAATACTGTTTCTGTATACTGTACACATAATTTATGTACAGTATACAGAAATGTATACTGTACAATTTTATAGTGTACAGTATAGAAATGTATACTGTACACTATAAAAAAAAAAAACTGCACATAGCTTTGAATCCTTCAGTTTTGCAGGTGTAAAATAGATTTAACCTTCCTTCCAACAGAACCCTCCACACATTTAAACTTTAATGATTTTGCTTTCCATAAAAGTACTAAGCTTGTACTACTGTTGTTTACCAACAAATTAGTTAAAAATGACTAGAATAAATTCCAGGAAAAATATTCTTAGGTGTAATAAAAAAAAAAAACAGGTTTTCAAATTGTTTATTTCATTGAGGAAACAGAAAGACACACGCCACTTATAATCTCTCGTCTCATAGCTCAAAACCAGAAAGCTGTTCCTGTAAAGCGTGAGCTACTGAAGCAGCGTGACTACAAAGTTGATATTGATTCCAAGCTCGGCAAGAGTCAAGTTATAACCAAGACCACACCTGCATCGCAGTCAGGAGGGTAAAGTTTTCCCTTTCATTGTATACCACTGTACTCTTGTTTGTGAAATGACTGAGGGTTATATTTAAACTACTAGTATATCAACTAAGGAATACAGTAAAACAGTTTTCTTCTTCAGGTACTACTGCAACGTGTGTGATTGTGTCGTCAAGGATTCCATCAACTTCTTAGATCATATCAATGGCAAAAAACGTACGTTATTTGCACTGTATAAATCAATTAACCACTTATTTGAGCTAATGCACGTTATCATTAGGTTTTACCAAAAATATTTTGGTGAGTAATCAAGACTGTAATTGGATGACATTGTGCTTAAAACTTTGGTGCTGTTACAACTCTTGAAATCTTAAATTTTTGTTTTTAGTCTTTGTGAAATCAAATACATATTAAAAGGTAATACAGTACTGTACTCTATATTGTTGGTCACAGGTCAAATGTGGCATGATAAAAAAAAAACAAATACAGTAATTTATTTAATTATTATGGAGGCATATGAAAAACAAAATCATGTACAGTATTATAATATTAAAAACATTTTGTCCTAAACAGATCAGAGAAATTTGGGCATGTCCATGCGTGTCGAACGGTCATCTTTGGATCAGGTAAAAAAGCGATTTGATTTAAATAAGAAAAAATTGGAAGAAAAGAGAAAAGATTATGACATAGAACAGCGAATGCAAGAGTTAAAGGAAGAAGTAAGTACTGTACTGTAGTTTCTTTGATTTTCAGTTTTATTTAATGTTCATTATTGCTACTTAAGTGAAAATGGGCTTAGGTTTGGTTTCCCATAGTAGGGGACAGGAGTCTCTCCTAGTTAATAACCAACCCTAATTTGAAACCAACATTTACCCAGATCCTGTTAGAGTCTCGGCTTATCTAATTTGAATTCATTGTTTTGTGTTGATATATTATTTAGCATATTATTAATATCTATTTGATCCATTTGTATATACAGTACTACAATAATGTTTCACCTTTACTCTTTTATTTCTATTCAATAACATTGGGACTAGGTGGATTGTTGGCTCAAAGAAATAATCAATTATTTGTAAAAAAAAAAAAAGTGGTTTTCAATATGGCTTCCTTCAATTCACCAGAATAGGAAATGGGAAAAATTATTAGACCATGTAATTGGCTAACCACAATTAACTCATGGACATCTGGCTAACCACAATTAACTCATGGACATCTGTTTGAAAAGAAACTGGCTCCATTGTTCAGCTTAGTCACACAACTGAGTGCCCTTATTTTGGGCTGATTAAAAAATAGCTTCCCAACAGAACTTTAAAATAAATTGTTTCAATAACGTCAATAAATCAGACCTCCTTAATGTAAATAAATGTCTTTCTGCTCCAACAGTATATTAGTATTTTACACAACATGTAGGTTACTACGGTAATTAATTTGTAAATGACATAATCCATAATGTACTGGTTTAGTTATTATTTCTGGCAGAGCCATTTGTGGCTCTCTGAAGCTGCTATATCTGATATAGTGCCAGACTACAGGGTACAATCAGTCATGGAGTTGTATTTGGCTTATCAGGGACCATGAGACAGAACCTGGCCCCCCTTCAGAAAGGTGCAAGAAGCAGTGACACATTATTTATTTTATAAAAATTTATTCATGTCTGCCACCCAGAAAGTCAGTGAAACAAAACAGACCACTGCTTGGTTGAAAATGAAACTGCAGCCTCAAAACAGCCACAAGAACTCTCCTAACAATGTAAACAAACAGTCAAAAATTCATGAAACTAGCATGAGCTGGTTTGCCCCCACCTGCCCCCCTCATTTGAGGGGAGGAAGGAGGCAGAACGGCTGACCTGGTCTGCCTCCGTCCTTCCCCAAAATGAGGGGGAAGGGGGAGGTGGGTGCGAACTAGCTCACACTAGTTTCATGAATTTTAATTGGTTTATATTGTTGAGAGAGATCTTTTGCCTGTTTTGAGGCTGTGGTCTTGTTTCACGCCGGACTTGTGATCCTGTGGTCCCAGGTTCGATTCTGGGGCGCCGGCGAGAAACAATGAGCAGAGTTTCTTTCACCCTATGCCCCTGTTACCTAGCAGTAAATAGGTACCTGGGTGTTAGTCAGCTGTCTCGGGCTGCTTCCTGGGGGTGGAGGCCTGGTCGAGGACCGGGCCGCGGGGACACTAAAGTCCCGAAATCATCTCAATATAACCTCTCTGAGGGGGCCAGTATCTGGTTCATGGTCCCTGGTAAGACAAATACAACTTCAAAACTGATGGCACCTCATAGTCTGGCACTATAACGGATATAGTTCCTTCAGGGAGTCACCAGGGCTCACCCAAAAATTGGCATTTCATTACATTCAGTGGTGTTATACTTAACAGGAAGAAAAATTGAAGGAGTACAGACGAGAGAAAAGAAAGGAACGGAAACGTAAAGCAGATTCTTCACTTGATGACGACATGGGCTCGGGTGGAATGGACCCAGAAATGGCAAAAATAATGGGATTTACCGGATTTTCATCATCTAAAAAATAACTAGAATGTTATGATTGGTATCCACACACATTATTTGACTATTTCCACTTTCAAATAGTCAGAACCTGCATTATTGTTATTAATTAATTACTTAAATTTGTCTTGTGCATAAACTTTCATCACTATTTCATTATGGAAGAATATAGAGGAGAGATTTGTGATTTTCACAAATTACAAATGAATATTCAAACAAGCCATACATACACAGTGTTTATTGATATAAAGTGTATAGTATTTGTGTCCTATAAGTCTAGTACTGTTTTACAAATAAATTATTTTGTCAAATTAGGTCTTCCTATCCTTCCAAATGCTCCTTGTTGAAATATAAATATATTACATACTTCATCTGTGCTTGGAGTAACTGCCCCATGTGCTAATGATCTTTTTTATTTCATTAACATAAATATACTATTTTTCAGACATTTTCATCATTATAACCTAATTTCCTGTTTTCAAGGGATGGGCCTTGAGAAAAGGAAGGCACTATACAGTAGATTAGAAATACAGAAATAAATTAAGATAGGAAAATAGATATTTCAAATAAGTAGCACTCATACAATTCCTGCTTTATATTACCCACACTTCAAAGAGACCAAAGCCGTTAGGTGAACTCTCCCCAACAATGTAAACAAACTATTGAATCTCAAAATAAGCACACACTCATTTGCCCCACCCTTCCTACCCATTGGGGGGCTCATGCTGTGCACATGGTGTAGCTTCACTTTCACCATAACTGCTGGGTGCAGGGACTACATTTGCCCTTTGCCAACTTCCTCTTCTGGCTTTTGGGGGTTAAATTCCCTTACCCTTTCCTTCCCCTTACTTGACACCTTGTCTCTGTGTTGGGGCTATGTGACCAGTTCTTACCAGGCCGCTGAGGGTCATTAGTCCCCCCATTTCATCAGGGACACAGTACAGTGCAGGAGTTTATGGTTGTGTGGCATGCCCTGAGATGGAATAAGATTCCTTCTTGGGCTCCATGCTCCAGATCCATTTTATCTGTAACCCAGTCGTTAATTGGACCAGGAAGGCTCTCTTCAGTCCATTGTCCTTTGGAGCTGGACACTGCAAGTAACTGTTTTGCTGGTTTTTCGTTGCAATTCACGTTTGGGGAGTGTCCAATGCTCTCGCAGACACTCTCCTGGTTCCTTCCCATCTCCAATGCCACATTTGCCTTTACGAAACATTTCTAAACCCCGATTCAAGCATCAGCTTGAAAATCAGTGCCTTCCTCTTTATGCGGTGTTATTCAACATTTGCAAGGCCCTTGAGGTAGATGTCTTTCAATTGGACTAGTCGCTGTGGGGGTTCCTGTAAAGCTATTTTTCCCAGTACAGCTGTTGCTGTGGGTCCTGGTCAGGTTGGAATCCATAGTGGCCAGCTCAGCCTTTGTTTCAGGCGCTGCTTGCTCGATATCCAGACTCTTTTTATGTGGCTCCACCTTTCAGAAAAACATGATAATGAAATGCCAATTTTTGGGTGAGCTCTGGTAGCTCCCTGATCCACACTGTCTTCCAGGTTGTCAGTTGGAGTGTTTAGTGTGTGCATCTGTTCTAGAACTGATTGTTCTATAGGGAGAGTGTCAGCCTTCCCCCTCCCTCCCTAAACTAGTGGGAGGAGTGGGGCGAACAAGTGCACACTCGTTTCCAGATTCGATCATTTGTTTACATTATTGGGAGAGTTCATTCAGAGGGTCGAGACTTTTTTTTTTTTTTATTAACCCAGTTGCGGACTGTATTAGTTCACTGACTTTCGAGCCATTCCAGGGCTATTTTGAGCCACCTGCTTCCTATTCCTCTGTAAGGGAGCCAGGTTCTGGTCCCAAGTAGGCTGTGATCCAGTAGTTGGGTGCCATCTCAGAGATAGCTTCTGGGAGCCACCAGAAATTGATGTTTTATTACATTCAGTGCTAGTTTCTTCTGAGTACTGTACAAAAATTTTGGGCTGTTGCTTGGAGCGGCCCACAGGCCCACATATCCACCACAGCCCGGTTGGTCAGGCACTCCTTGGAGGTCTCGCCCATAATTCACTCCTTCCTCACACCCCCTCATTCATCCCTAGCACACCTGAGTCCACAGTCCAGACACTTCACTCATCCCTCCATGCCTCACTCACCTTATCCATCTCTCACATACCTCACCCATTCTTCACACATCACTCATCCCTCACATACCTTCCATATCCCTCGTACATCTCACATACCTCACAAACTTAGCAGCCCAAAAACAACATGAAAGCTTAAGATCTAGACAGCTTCTTTATGAATGATATCCAAACCACCCGACAACATAACTGGTAACAACACGAGCACAGCAGACTTCAGAAGATAAATTGACAACTTGCCCATGCACTCAGGGAATAGGTTACCTTTTGCACTCAGGGAATAGGTTACCTTTTATGAGTACAAAGTTTGTTACCTGTAACACCAGGCCAACAATCACAGATTAAGGAATGAATGAGTGTAGAAATCTGAAGAAATAATTTTGGGGGGAATAAGACTTGCAGATGGCCTCCTGATCAGCAGTGTCCGCATGTTCATTTCAGACAATATCAGTGACTTTGAACCCAGCAAAACTCGACTACTAGATATGAAAAAGCCAATATTAGATTTCGACCACAATAGGATGCAGTGTTAAATAACTTCGAGCTGAGGGCACTGTGAGTCGACCAATAGCAAAGGAATATTGCCGTTGGAAAAGCAGTCTATGAAAAACATGCAAAAATGCATAAAGTTCTGCCAGGAAGATGCTAGTTGTAAAGGGTAGGCATAGGTATATTCAGGAAGGATAATAAGAGTAGCAAACACCATTTGCAGACTTAGGCCAAACTATGAATGGGGCAATGGAGTACAAGTGCAAAGAAAAATGTTCATGGAACAGGCATTTATTTCAACAGTAGGAGGCAAAAGCCTTTACAATGTGAGTCAAGGTCTTGCAAAACTTTGCAGGAGGGACTCTCCGTGGGGGTCAAGGCTGGAATGACACGAGGAGAAATACTAACACGAGTCAAGAGGGAATCTTGCAAGTGACATTCTTGTAGAAAGAGGAAGGTGTTGAAAGGGAACGTGGGCCACCCGAGAGGAGTGTTAAAGCGCAACACAAGCAAGAGTGAGAATGTTGCAGAAACCACGTGAAGTAGCAAAGGTCGTAAAGTTCTGCATAGGGGATGAGTGAAAAGCACCAAAGCCGAGGCTTAACCTAGTATGATGTAGAGCATCTAGACGAGGAAGAGTTAAAAGGTAAATAAGGCAGCCAAAAGTGTTTAGTTTTAGACAGTAGTGCAAATAGACAATTGTGCATCCATCAGTTTCAGAGGGAACATGGGACAAGACTTAAGGTAAGGGCCTTAAGAGCCTTCAACTAGACACATGCGATGACCAACACAGCCAATTCTTATTTTCACTTCTGCCCAGCATTTAAGATAATGCTTTATTAGGTTCCATTAAATTTGCCAAACTTTTAATTGAAGGTGGCTGTACAGGTGCATTGTCAATGCTAATCTGAACTTGTAAGGTTGTAGAGAGATTAATATGCATTTATCAAAAACAGTTTTCCTTAGTTTTACGACTAATCTGTATAGCCCCTTCCCCTTTAATGCTAGATTTGGCAATTCAGTTACCTTCATGAGTCTGGAAAAGTTCTTTATCATTCTGCAGATGTGACCTTACTTAATTTTTTTTTTATGCTTCATAAAAGCAAGGAAACCTTCATTGCTTTATTTGAATAACTACAGAAAGTGAACTAAAAAGCAATTCTTAGGCTGCTTGTTATGAGCAGTACACGCCCAAATATCAGACTCCTCAAGCCACTCTTGCAAAAATTTGCCAAGCCTACCTGTTCTAACATTTATTTTTGCTGGAAGTAGTATTAACAGTCGTCTGCCAATGATGCGTCCATACAATATTGACACCATGTACTTTGTGCGTCCATACAATATTGACACCATGTACTTTGCAGCATGCATTTAAAAGAGCTTTCAGACTATCCCAATAATTTAGGTACTTTTTACATTGGAAAATTTCAGTGTATCTGCACGTTTTCCCCATTTTAAATGAATTTAAACAACAGTGCCATTGAGAATTTCGTAGCAGTTTCATTCTTTCCATGGTATCTGGAGTAATTAATAAAAGCTGTACCTTGCAAATGGTTAAAAAATCTGGCAAATGCTACACTTAATTCAATATCTTATGGAATTTAGTGTCAAATTCCTTGAGAGTTGTCTATTAAATGACAAATCCTAGGTCATAATTGGCTGCCTGCACAGATTTTAATCAGTTCCAAAGATACCAAACACATCTATCCTTTTAATAATATAGGTCCTTTTAAGAAAAATACTAGGTTAACCCAGCAAAATTTTATTTGATTTCACTTATGCACGGGAAGTGACACTGACTTGCCATACTCGAATCTTGCTATCACTATAACCAGCAAACAATGTCTGGCCATCAGCTGACCAGGCCATGGAAAGACATTGTGGAGGTTCAGCCTTGGGGTTCTGAGTGATCACATCAGGCTTCAATTCATCAACCATGTTCTTACCCTCGAGATCCTGCAATAACAAAAGCATTTAATACACGGTACACGACTGAATGGGCCTTTATGAATAAAAAAATAAATAAAGCCAACTAGAAATTATTCGGTCTCAAAAGGCTATTATTGATATTCCAAATTTCATATACAGCATTCATTACACTTTTTTAAATTATTAATAAAAGTTACTGGCAATATAATGTTACATATTTTAAAACTAAACTAAAGAAAGCAGGCATGTTTACTATTTAGAAAAGGAAGTAGGTAGTGTATAGGAAAATAAAATTAATGCAAATGCAAATTATTAAAATATTTCTACTTTAGTGCAATTATTCATGGTCCAACACTTTTCTAATGAACATGTATACAAATGAGCTATATCACTAATAAAAAGTATACAAATAGACTGCCTCTGTTATATACCAGTTTCCCCTAAATTAACAACACCTTAAATTAAAGTATTTACCCAAATCTTAATGGAAGGTCCTGTGGCAGCACACAGCCAATAACGGTTGGGACTGAAGCACAGCGAGTTTATGGTATCGGTGTGGTCCAAGGTGTAAAGGTGCTTATCATCATTAAGGTCCCAGAGCATGGCCTTGGCATCCTGAAAATCAAAAATATCAAATTAACCAAGGTAACATGATTTTTCTGCAAATTAGTTGGGTTATGTCAATTTAATGAACTACATTAGTGATAATTTACTGCAGCTTGTAAGCTACCAATTACACATAGTGCCATAGAGCAAATGTACTAAGCACAATTATTCATTGCATCTACGAAAATGACAAAATTACAAAGCTGAAAAATTTTGTAATGGTTTCTTACCTTGCCACCTGAAGCGCACAGAGAGCCATCAGGTGATACTGTTACTGTATTCAAGTATCCAGCATGACCATAGTGGTTAGTCTTGAGTTTGCAGTTTGTCAAACTCCATACCTGAGGATTAGGCAACACTTAACAAAAATGAAGAAACATGGTTTATAAAATAAAATGAGTAATAATTTCAGCCTCATATCCGCATAATAAAACATCAAGATTCAGTAAAAGTTTTCATCACATTTGTTCATCCTTCCATCCATCTCGCAAAATGAAAATGGTACAAACCTTTACTGCCTTATCCCATCCACAGGAAACAATAATAGGGTTGCTATTTGATGGGGAGAATCTCACACAAGACACCCAATCTGAATGACCATCTTCTTGGATGGTGTACTTGCACTGAGCAAGGGTGTTCCATAGCTGAAAAATGTACAATACAAAGGCTTATATACAGTATCATTTCAAGTCTGCAACACTCATTACCTAAATTAAATCACTGAAAAGAATGTGAGAAATGTAAGCAAGTAATTATCAAAAGAAGGCACCAAACCGGGAAGGCTCTGTAGCACCATCAAAGTGCGAAATAATTAGAGGGCGCTAAATATCAAGAATACCAATATGAGAACAGAAATGCACAAGGCGAATGATATCAAGTCTCCGATTCACCAAGAATTCTATCGAGGGACAAGTGACCGCGAGGGATAGTCTGAAAGCAACACGAACGCTCTGGAAATCAGGACATTCAATAAGGATATGCACGACTGTAAGAGGGACAACGCAATTTGAACAGTAAGGAGCAGGGTGGCACTCCATTAAGTGACCGTGAGTTAAGCGAGTATGGCCAATCCACAATCTTGCTAGGGGCTGTTTCCCACCGCCAGTTACAGTGGCAGGAGGAAGGCCACAGGGGTACACTACGTTTGAGAGTACGCAGCTTGTTACCAACGACAGAAGACCAACAACCCTGCCAATGGGCAAGGATGGAGGAATGAGTAACTGGATAAGTCGAAATAAGGAATACCTTTACGGGAGATGGGACAAGAATGGATAGCTTCTCTAGCGGCAGCATCCGTACGCTCATTTAAAGAAACACCAATATGGCTGGGAACCCAGCAAAACTGTCTAAAATCTACTAGAGATAACCAGCCAATGTTGAATTTCGACTTCCACAGGATGGACTGGATTAAAGGACTCCAGCAGGCACTGCAAGAGTCAACTACAACAAAAGGAGGATTGACAGTGAGAAAGCAGTAAAAGAGCATACAATAGAATGACGTTCTGCCATAGTTCCCTTCCCTTCTGCCATGAAGATGCTCGTCTCCGGAGGCAGGCGACATACAAGTCGTCACGAAAACAGTGGCCTACACTGTCTGCAGAATTAGACCCCTAAGCCTATCAAGCTCAAACCTACATTTGAAGCTGTGCAGTCTGCCTCCATTTCAAGTACTCCCAATTGTTTATAACTGACATTGCATCATGTGGGTACATTCAACATTTTATATCTCAACATTCAACATTTTTATATCTATATCTTTTTTATAGGCCACCCATTCCAAATAGTCACGTCCTTGCCAGATGTCAATTTGAAAAGTCCTGAAATCATCTCAAGATAACCTATAACAATTTGTTACCAATCTCCAACTGTGTAAGCAATGCAGAAAACTACACTTTAAATAACTATTCTTAAGCCAATTTTTGTTTTCTGTAACATACCAATGAAATTTCAGTACCAATGTATGCTTTGCATTAAAAAAGTAAATATAACTCACCTTGATTGTCTTATCTCGAGAACCAGATACAATCTGACGATTGTCAGCACTGAAGGCAACGGACAGCACATCCTGTAATAAGAAATATTTATGGACCTGCATCCTAGATGTTATCTAAAGATCCAGATACAACTGAGCATATCCCAGTCAAAAGAATATAGAATAACATGCTAAGCAAGTATATTAAATAAACACATGGCCAACAATACACCCAAACATAATCCTTGCACGTATCATTGTTTACTTTAAATATAACTATTCTATAGTTAAAATGCTAGAAAGCAATATCTAGTTTCTTGCAGAGAAACATTAATGTACAGGATTATCTTCATAAACATGTTTACTAATGAATAATAAAACTTGACACTAACGGTGTATAAAAGCTCTATGCCTGGTGCCTTAACCCTTTCACTATGGTACTGTACCACTTTCTGCTCTATTTTGGTCAATATGGGACAAAAACCAAATACATCAGTTTTCTTTTTAAGCTTTAATATTCTTAACAAATTTAGATCTGACATTTTCCTCTGCTGCAGCCTAACAGCTAGTTACCTGGACCAAACTCCTGGGATGTCTTTGACATCTTCAGAGCACATGTTGAAACTGTTCATACTTGCCTATTTTTGTGAAGCACAAATTACCACTTAACAGTGAAAAGTGCCAAGAGACCAAGTTACTACGCTCTGGCCACACTGACAACACTAATATTAAGAGCTATATGGTAGAGATTCATTGTCTAAGTATTAGAGAAAGATCTTACAAGTTTGGTAAACCTTCATATAGCATTTATATATATTTATATATAAAGAACTACTCAGTATACTACGAATGGCTATCATGCAGTTAAGTTAGAACAAAAGCTTGAAATAGTAGTGTTGTTAATGTTGCTTAAGTGTAATAAACCAACTCTATGTCTCCTTGTGACATTAGACAGCCCATCCTCCCATTTTGGTAGTACTTACAGTAATGACAAAGACCATAGTACATATACCAACATTCAACGCAATTAGAAAGTAGAAATCAGTCATATTGAATTTGGACACTTAAAAGATTTATGTTGCAAAGACAAACTTAACCTTCCTAGGCCTAATATAGAAAATGTGTGCGCTATACTAGGCCTAGGAATATTTAAGTGTTTTTTAGTTTCATTTTTTCCAGCCTCTAAATTGAATAGTACAAAATTCTACTATATAATTCCTTAGTTTGTTATTGTTTGTACTATGGTGCAGTTACAAAAAGTACTATCTAAACAGGAGGATAAGTTGCATTAAAGGTGCAGTGCATTTTGAATCCTTAATGTTAATAAAACTAAACTTTTATTAACATATCAGGTAATTCAAAATAAAACAATTGTACACAAGGTTCACTTCTAGTGTGACACTGATAGGTTAAATATCGCTCTTCTGTGTCCAACGGCTTTAAACATGACCACTGCCCACTTAGTACAGAAAACGTACTCACCCAACCGAAGGCGTCCTCTTCTATCTACTTAAAAAAAGATTAAACAAAAAAGCTTCCTGTTATTTTTTTTTTTTTTTGAAGAATGGGGTTCTGGTCAGATCATAATGGCAGATTCAGACCTTAGTGTGGTCCTCAAAGCGCCTCGTGGTCTTGCCAGCAGCCAAATCCCAGAGCCGTAATGTCTTGTCCCACGAGCCCGACAGAGCGAAGTGTCCATCCAAAGACAAAACCTGAAAGTATTATTAAAAAACGACAATTAATAATAATCCTTTGCACACTAGAAACTAATAAATTAAGACAATGAGAGGTAATTTAGTGTACATACCACATCAGAGATGAAATGAGAATGCCCGTGAAGACGCTTCTGGGGAATACCATAGTGATTCTCCTCACGTGTCAGCTTCCACAAAATCAAAGACTTGTCTGAAATAAATAAAACATTTAGGATCATGCCAATTTCAGTTATATTAACCAAGTATCAGAATTGCCATGATTAATATAATACTATATTAACTAGCATTTACCAATTAACTTATTATATTGTGATAACTGCATTTTCTTGTCACAATGGTTACCACCAATAATAATTTGCCAATGTATATATATTTTAAACTAGTTAAATTGACAGCAAAGTTTAAAGGCATTTTCCAAAGACTTTTGCAAACTTTTTAATATACTGTAAACTTTCAAGAATGGTACAAGTTGGTTAAAAAATAAGAAGTTAATTAAAAAAAATCTAGTGTTATTTGAAAGCAAAGATTAGGATACTGTAACCTTAATTATGAGATGATTTGTCTAATTTATAATATTTTTGGGAAAAAGTGTAGCAATTTTAAAAATGTAAACCAATGCTTAACCTTTAGGAGGTGGGTGCCTTAATTCTGGATAGTATATTTTAGATTTAAGATTTATGTTTGTAAAAAAAACATTTCTTTCAATACAGTAGTTATAAACACTTATGCTTTCAAGTTTAAGGAATATAAATATGGTTGGAAGAAACTGGCTGTGACAAGATTTCACATTTTCTTCCCAACTATGGGTTGAAATGGGTATTAAAAATGCAATTACACTTCGAACATTCTAAATACAGCCCTTAAGATTCTGTACAATACATAAACTGTCAGGAAGGTTAGTGTGTTAACCTTCAAAGGAAGGTAACATGTAGACTTTTCCTAGTTATTCTCTGCACTTGGAACGCCAGCTTGATATAAAAATGCAACCTGGAGCTGTTGTGCAGTTAATTAAAATTTTAAAACATTTAACCATGACAAATGTATGCAAGATTGATGGAAATCCAACTAATAAACATGTTAGAAAGTTTGAATTTTTATATGCCCGTCCTGTAGAAAGTTAATCAAAAGTTACCTACTGGGCCACCCCTATTATTCAGATCTATATTACCCAGATTCTATGATTCAGACTAAAATATTTGGTTTCCTACACCCCCATTAACCAAACCATGGGGGATATCTTCTGTTAACCATGTGTCAGATTTGTCACGACATTATTTCTCCAAACAATTTCACTTACCTACATATGGGTGTTTTTATTAAATCTCCCCCTCCCCCACAAAATCAATTTAATGGAAATGCCAGAAATGTTTTTTTTTGGAAATTATGAAATCAAAGATATTTATACTGAATATATAAAATAGGAATAGATTTTATAATGGATATCAAATGGCAACCATCCACTAAATTCTAATTAGGCAGAGTTTACAGGAAAAAACTTGTATGGTTAAATTTATATTTGAGAATGAAGTTTTGAAAATTGACCCACATCCCGAATGCAATTCTTTATGTTACAAAAAAATTCAAGAAACATTAAACTGCAGTTAAAAGGCACATTAAGAAATCCAATGGCTGGTTTCAATCTCGGAACTGACACGTTCCAACATTTCGTGCAAGTGTTTATTTGAATTTTGTGCCTAGGTACAAATGTTATTCTGAATAAGGCTATCATAATCACACAAATTCTTTCCAGGTAGTGTTTTCAGATTGCTTATGCATCAAGAGTATAGAAAATTACTTATTCCCATCAGAAGTGCCTGTGACCTAGACCTTCTGATGCTCGAGTTACACATGCATGAGAATGAGGGACGGTCAGTCTAATTACTCAACTATCCAAAGTGTCTTAGCATTACGCAAGAAAGAAATACGACATTTACTAATTATAATGTTGGTGCCGAATGTATTACATGAAAACACATTCTTTACTCCAAGATAATATTTTATAAAGAAATTAGACTGAACTCTATTACCGGTGATCCCCTAGGAAATCTACTATCCAAGCAATGTGGTGCTACTTATCAAAGATTTTTGCCTGGAGGTTAGGTTACTTTAGGTACAGGAGGGTGATATGTCAGCAAACACTGCAGGCAACAATATATTTGATAAGTAGCACAACATTGTCGCAGGTCGTTGACTTCCTATGGCATCACCTGCTACAGCTTCTAATTTTGTTAGAAAGTATTATTTCCAAGTAATTAATATGTTTTCACGTTCTACACATTCATCAACATTATAGTGAGTAAATGTCATACTTCTGCATTACTAGTGTAATGCTAGTAGGATTTGGGTAGTAAATAGACGGACCCATGAGGGGTACCATGCATGATTTAATAGTCACGTATATACACAAAGCTCACGTGCACTTCCTCAGGCCTCCAGTAAACAAATGTCACGTTTGACAAAATCACGGGCACCCATCCTGGGTAAAGGCCTAATTACCAAGTGGGTACCCCATGAGTAGGGCCTTAAAATAGACGAGCTACTGCAGCTCACTGCACCGTGTGTGCCCCTTAACATCGCTTAATAATAACCAAATATGTTGTGATGCCACACGCACATCAGCCCCAGTTCAAGTGCCCTGGCCCACCACACATGGTCCAGGGCGTGTGTACACATACACACACATGGCTTGGTTCTTCATATATGCACTCTCCATAAGCATTTCAATGTGAAATCTAATTCTATTTTTCTGTTATATATACTTGCACTTTTGTTCAACAATAAGGTGCATAGCATGGTACTAGTGCTAGATCTGCCAAGATGAAGAGGAGCGTCTCATCCCTGATCCAGCACTTGGAGAAAGCATAAGTGATTTAATGTTAGTTATCAAGAATAGGTGCCTTGCCTAAGGGGATAATGGAGCATTGGGTATACAGATCAATAAAATAATAAGACTTAAGATGCATTTTTAAGAGTTACTTGTTGCTGTAGACTCCCTACTGTACATAAGGGCCCCAATCTCCCATACGGGCCCAAACATAAGGGCTCAAATCTCCAATAAGGCTCCCAACATAAGGGCCCCAATCTCCCATACGGGCCCAAACATAAGGGCTCAAATCTCCAATAAGGCTCCCAACATTAGGGCCCCAATCTACACTTGCTACAGCTTTACAGTTAATTATTAAAACAAGGCCTAACCCGGAAAGACTATGAAGGACTGCCCGCCAAAACAGCTTCCCCCCCCCCCCCCCACACACCAAAACAAAACAGCTACACAGGGTAACACTAAACACTCACCTCGTGACGCAGAGAGGATCATATCAGGGAAATTCCTGTTGGTAGCAATCTGCGTGACCCAGCCATTATGGCCCACCAAGGTCCCACGCAGCTGAAGGCTCTCGTTCATCCTGCACCCAGAGAATTACACCTTAATAACACACCATAACACAACACATTTTCCACCCGGCCCAAGATCAATACCACATATTTCAACCGATCATTCCCCCATTAACGCTACACATCCACCCCGGCCTGGTGAATGAGGCGGTTGGGCAGCCATCGGGTATATCCAGGAGCAGCGTAAGATGAGGGAGGATACTCACGTGAGGCGGATGGAGGGGGATTATTGGGGAGCGTGGAGGCAACGGCCGCACGGTGTGAGGGTCGCTGGTGAAGGGCTGCTCCGCCCCGGTCCCTTCACTCACTACACTATAATCAATACTGTCATCTTATTACAACAAAACATTATTATTATCAAATCAATTTGTGGGGATTTTTTTATATTATGTTCAGTTACATCTCTAGGTGAATAATACTCCAGGAATTATGTCTATGAGTGAGCGTGTGTGTAAGCCGGTACTCGAGCTTGGCGGGAAATATATTTAGGTTTGGATAATTTATATTTAAACACCTTTGATATGCATAGTTCTACATATATAATTGATTTAGATTACAAAATTCTGACGATATTATTCATTTATACAAAAGCAATTGATAATATACCTTATTACCCGGTATATATCATAATCTAGTTTACTGAATTGATCAAGTACATTATTCATTTATACAAGACAAAGATGACAATTATAGCCTAACACTGATAAATACAAATAATAAACTGTATAATAAACCCACAATTAAGGTCTATAACAAAATGATACAATTAGGCCAACGACTCCAACAACTACGCTACAAAATCAAGAAAAACTAATAAATTCATTTAAAATTACGAAGTGTCCTTACCTAGCAAGATATGTATGGTTGAGTGTGAGGCCAGAAACTTAATTTTATGCCAAATTGACAAACATAAAATTTACCTACAAATAAAGGGTCACAAAAACGGACAAAATTCAGTATTGACAATATTGACAAAAAAAGGAAAATCGGTAAGATACGAGTAATTTGAAGGATAACTAATATAGACTAAAAATCAAGCATTTACCTGATTTTAATTGTGGCCTCAATGAGGACAGGAAATCGGCGTCTTGTCGAAGATCCCCCCATTTGCCTTGATTATCTTTTCTAGCTGTATTTTAAATGTTAATTAACATAGTTTTGGCATTTACGACTTTGGCGGGTAGGCGGTTCCATAAGTGTTACCTGATTTACCTCGACTAGGACAGTAAAATGGTCGCTTGTCGAAGGTTTCTCCTATTTCCCTTGATGATCTTTTCCATGTGTATTTTAAAATTCAACAGAGTTTTGACAGTCACGGCATCGGCGGGTAGGCAGTTCCATGGGTTAATAACCCTATGGGTGAAAAAGCATCTCTTGTTCTCAGTCCTACATTGTGGCTTGTTGAGCTTGAAACCGTTGCTCCTTATTTGTGTTACACTTGACTTTTTGAAGAAATTGTTCGGATCAACAACATTTTTCCGGACTTATCAATATTTGCACGGCCTTTGCATGTTAACACAAACAAATCACACACCAAATTGCAGAAGTACAGTCGGATTCGAATCCCGGCCAGGACAGAAATGATTGGGCGCGTTTCCTATCACCTAATACACCTGTTCACCTAGCAGAAAATAGGTATTCAGGAGTTAGCCTAGTGTTGTGGAGTAGCATCCTAAGCGGGGTTTGTAATTCGGGTTTTTATTATTATTAAACATAGGTGTCTGGTAATATTCTTAGTGAACTTTGCTGAGTAATGAATAAATAATTAATATGAAAGTGTATATTCCTTTTTTTCGCATATAATCTGAGGAGAGCAGTAGTAGATGTGCTCTAGCGTCACGTCCCCGCGTGCTGCAGACGTCTCTTCCAATATTACTGAGCCTCATCATATAAGTGTAATACAGTTAATATCTTGAATACCTAATAGGCAAAGTTGCCTAACAAACCGAGTTTTCCTGAAATATTTGATTTTTCACAGTTTTTCTTATGGAATGATTAATCTTTACATTACATTATATACGATTTTTTTCTTTTTACAATTTGAGGTAAAACTAACATGGAAATTTGATAAAACCTAACTCAACCTCTCCTAACGTAGACTGTAGTGCCTCTTGTATAGACTGTAGTGCCTCTTGTATAGACTGTAGTGCCACTTGTATAGACTTTAGTGCCACTTGTATAGACTTTAGTGCCACTTGTATAGACTTTAGTGCCACTTGTATAGACTTTAGTGCCACTTGCATAGACTTTAGTGCCACTTGTATGAACTCCAATGTCTCTTGTGAAGACTACAGTGCTTCTTGTCTTGACTTTAATACCACTTTTATAGACTCCAGTGTTCCTTGCATAGACTCCAGTGTATCTTATATAGACTCCAGAGCCATTTGTATATCCTCTAGTAACGTTTGTATACACTCCAGTGCCATTTGTATACACTCCAGTGTCTCTTTTGTAGACTCCAGTGCCTTTTGTATAAACTCCAGTACCTCTTATAGACTTCAGTGCCTCTTGTTTAGACTCTATGAGTGCCTCTTGTTTAGACTCTATGAGTGCCTCTTGTTTAGACTCTATGAGTGCTTCTTGTTTAGACTCTATGAGTGCCTCTTGTATGCGTGAATGTAACGATGTTAATAGGCCTGCATTCTTTCCGTTTTCCTGTACTGAAATAGCGTTGTACAGATACTGATGTTGCTTCTAAACACCATTAGACGAGCAGTATGGAATGTTCAAATAAAAACTAGGAATCTGCCGGCTTCAGTCCAGTTTTACCAGTTTTTCTAATAGATATGTGAATAGCTGTTCTACAGTCCCGAGGGAAGCATGCGGTAATTTCTAAATATTATAGTGTTGATAATTAGGAAAATATTGAGGTTCTCTGTTATTTTAACATTTCATTATATATGATGTCAGGACCTTCACCTGATGTATGTTTTAATTTCAGTGGGAGTAGCCTATCCTGCAGGTTTCAAAAGTTAACGGTATTTCTATTTTGTTGTGTTCGTTAAATTAAGTCTATTACCTAGTGATTAGCTTTACTTATATTTAAGAAGTAGGTGAATGGCGCTTATGCTACACTTCTGCTATGCACATTTGTGTACAGTAGTCAGTGTACGAGGGTGTAGCCACAACACCGCAGAAGCTGCTTAAGATATTGTACGAAAACCAAAGCAAAATCTTTGCCGAGTGGCACGGATAACTTTCAATAGATGTTATGTATTTATTGCTGAAATGTTCGAATTTTATGTATCAAGTCAATGCGACGAGGCGTTCTACATACTGAACTACAACCTGTTTCAAATTAGGTAACCAAACCAGGGAAATCTAACCTGATTATTAATTATTACGTTAATTTATATTTAAATATATTGCAATGAGAATATTAAGGAAATAGTAATTTAATATGATTCCTTAAATTCCTTCCATATACGAGCCGGCATCCTAACTCTAAACGTATTCATAATAACATAATTAAATATTCTAAAATATCACCAATAAGCTTCAACTTCCAGCACATGACTTGCCAGCACAGTGACACCAACCCCTTCCTTACCCAGATTATTTTACCATTAAGACGTAAGCCATGATAAACACACTATGAACATAAATGTTGTCCAAGGCCAACTAGAAGACGTCGACAAAGAACGTGTTAGAGAGCAAGTCTTGAAGATCAGCCACACCCCACCATCCCCCAAGGTGAACATTTCAGTCGTCTTCCACTCCTGTACGTGGCTACCTCGCCCTGCTCGCTCCTCGTTACTGAAATCTCTCTTACATCTGAAATTTTGCGACAGTAGGCTGTAACTAAGAGAGAATTTTCACTGGTACGAGAGGTGAAATGCTGGACCTAGTGGTGTACTTAGTGTCGTGGTTTGTGGTGCCGCCGTGGAGCCTGGTGGGGTGGGCGTCTCTAGGGGCACTGGTGTGGGGCATCAACAGGTTCCGCTACCCCTGGTGGCGCTCTCCACAGTCCATGGATGGCAAGACCGTCGTCATCACTGGCGCCAATAAAGGTCAGCATTAATCATATTATTCATGCAAAAGACCATTGTTAATATACAGATGGCAGCGAATTTCATCTATTTAGATATTATAATAATTGTATAATGTTTTATTAGCTGTATTTGCGTGTCCTAGAGTTTATACTGCATAGTAGCCTCTTGAAGGGGTTGAGATAGGTATCCCTACCATGGAAATCTATAGGTAGGGATGCCTAACCATCTCACTCTCAGTCTTAAGTCGGCTACGGTGTACATGTTCCCCAGCCAATATACCGGCCTGTCAAACATACATTTGAAGCTGTGTATGGAGTCTGCCTTTATCCGTTCGCTCTCTGGCACTGAAACCTTTATTTACAATCTCTGTCAAGACGGTAATTTATATTTCAAATTTCTTCGCGTGTAGGATGGATTTTCACACAGTATTAGCTTCATTAGATGGATAATATTTGTATAAATAGACATCGAGAAACAAACTCAACCCGTAGTAGAGAAGTTGAACATTCCTGGGGTGGCCTCCACAGGCATCGGGTTGGAGACGGCTCGGGACCTTGTTGGTCGTGGCGCCACCGTCATCCTCGCCTGCAGGAGCACCACCAGGGCCCACGCTGCTAGAGGTGAGGTTCTCACCCTCATACACAACCTCATACCAAGCTAAGTAATTACTCACTTTTATTGAGCCTCACATATAGTATATATCAAGTGTACAATGGAAGTCATTTTCCAGAACTCATTTGAGTAAATATATGCTGGAGAGCCTGTCTGTTCTGTGTTATACAGAGCATGTTTCGCTGAAATATATACTTGTACACTTCCTTACAAGTATATAGTCTTCCTTACTACATACTATATAATAGTATTTCATTAAAAATACTCGAGTATCTGTGTTGCAGATGATATTATGAGTGGAGGGTGGCGAGGGAAGGTGGAGGTGGCTCAGCTGGACGTCTCCTCCATGGCCTCCGTCAGGCAGTTTGCCAAGAACCTGCATGAACGCAAGGTAGGCCTATGCTCCGACAACCTTATAGACACACACACACCCTCAACACATTGCTGCTGTAACCTTAGGATTATTATGCCACTAGTTAACCTTACTTTTGTTTTATTGGGCATAACTTTTAAATTGTAATATCCACAATTATTTGTAACAAGCTTGATTTCGTTTGGCGTTGGGACTATCAGTTTCACGAGGGTTATTAAGGCAGTGACATTAGTTTACTGACCAGCCAGTAAGTATACTTTAGATGTGAAGTTTGCCAGGACCAAACACCGATTAATGGGGTACACCTCTCAGTGTGTATATCCCTAGCATTAGGCTGTACATAATGTTGATTGTGTGATATTAATAACACATGCAAGCTATACAAATTCTTATTGTGATTTCAGAGTTTGTAATAGGTTAAATGATTCTTAAGTTAAATGATTGTCAGTTAGTGATAATGAATTGTGGGCAGGTGGATGTTCTGATCAACAACGCTGCAGTGGCTGACCTTCCTCAGCAGCTGACTAGTGACGGCCACGAGCTGACCATCGCAACCAACCATCTTGGACACTTCCTGCTCACACACCTGCTGATGCGTGAGTACCTTACTCCCCCCCCCCACCGTCCGCAGCATACACACACCTGTAGTTAACTTGTTTGGGCGTGAACCCACTCTTTGACTTCGGGCATGAACTCTTTTTATTTTTGGGGGGGGGGGGGACTCAGGAACCTTCCGGCCCACTCTTTGCTAGCCCGTCCTCCAAACAAAGACCCAAAAGTGATTCCATCCACCCGCCAAACCCCCAGGTGTTTATGAATGAAAAACGGTTTACACACGACTCACAACTGATGACACTCGGACACTTCCATAACAAGTGCTTCACTGAGGAATTTTGTTCGAATCACAACGCTGTAAATGCTTCACCCACGTACTACAAATACAAATAATTGCCAACAGAACCTAAACACCTAACCTATGCCTATATATGCACAGTATGCTAATATATTATAAAAATAATTTATATTTGAGAAGATTCCCGTTTTGAATGAACAGCAATTTATGAATGAGTCTGTGGGGTCGACCGCTGGATGTAATGAATTTGAGTCGAGGACGGGTTACCTTGCGGCATATTTTATGTGCAGCATTTCACTATTCCCCAGGATGCAACAGTCGACTAACACTCAGGTACCTAATCACTGCTTGGTGAACAGAGCAATGGGTGTAAGGAGACTTGTCCATACGTCTCCCCCTGCCTGGGATAAGACCCTTTACTCAGTCACATAAATGCCATAAACACATCCCTGCATGAATGCTTTCAGAGATACTCACCAGATGAAGCCTCTCCACCAGTTCTTCCCCCCATCCCACATTTGTTTAGGTCGAGCAGACCACACACTAGAAGGTGAAGGGACGACGACGTTTCGCTTCGTCCTGGACCATTCTCAATCGACTTGAGAATGGTCCAGGACGGACCGAAACGTCATCGTCCCTTCACCTTCTAGTGTGTGGTCTGGTCAACATACTTCAGCCACGTTATTGTGACTCATCGTCTGCGCTTGTTTAGGTCACTATTCCAGAAACTAAAAGTGTTACCGTCTCACAGAGAACCTTAAGGAGGCAGGCGGCCGTGTGGTGACCGTTACCTCAATAGGTCACATCTGGGTCAAGGACGTCAAAGGCTTGGACTTGGACGGTGACCTCAAATTTCAGTTGGATAGGCCACTGGGCACGCTGGAGATCTACGGTGCTTCTAAGGCCATGAATATTCTCTTTACGAAGGAACTTGACAGGAAACTTAGTGGAACAGGTTAGTCAGCCTTTGTCATGTGTGTCCTTTAAGCCCAGTGTTCAAATTTTGCGTTGTTTACAAATAATTTATTTAACAAATATATTGTTCGTCTTTATAAAAGAAGAAATGTGTAATTATATTGGAATCTAGGGAAACATTAGCACGTTTAAAACAATGTGACAAGTTAATGGTGACATATATAGATGTCTAGTAACAGTGTCAGACCACGGAGGAAAATTGAAACAGGAATTTCCTTAAGTACTTTCGTATATTAATACATCTTCAGAAGGAGTGATTTTACAGGTCAAGTATTGGACATAAATAGGCAGAAGAGAATGGTGGAGTGAGGTGATGTCTAGTGTAATAAAACAACGTTAAAAGATGCCTAGCCCTAGACTGTAGCGCAGCCTTGACCAACATATGTTGTCCCCAGCAGGAGTGACAGCCAACTGCCTCCACCCTGGGGTAGTCAACACTGACATCTTCAAGGTTTTCACGTCACGGGTCTGGTATGGTCTCTTCGTCAAACTCTTCGTTCGAACATATGCCAAGGTAACAATTATTTGTCCTTTTTTTATTTATTTTTATTAAAAATGTACCATCTTTTACATATATCATTTATAAATATTAAAATTCAAATTGTGAGGACGGGAGAGAATCCTAATTGAAAAAATCATTCAGCAGTGAACATTTTGTAAAATCAACGCAACTTGAGTTTGTTCAAAATACATTCTGCCTTACAAACCTGCTCAAAATTTTGGAAACTGTAGCCAACTATTTAGACAAAGGACTTAGCATAGATGTAGCTTACATGGACTTCGTTAAAGCTTTTGATAATTTACCACATAAAAGACTGACAAGGAAAGAACAATCACAGAATCATTGGAATATCCCTGGAAAAAAATGGTATAATACTAGAATGGATAAAACAATGGTTAAAACAAAGGAAGCAAAGGATCGTCCTAAACGGAAGTAAGTAATTATCAAAAAGGCACCAAGCCGGATCCTAAATGGAAATGAATCTGATTGGAGAAATGTGATACCACAAGGGTCGATTTTGGGGCCAACCCTTTTTGTAATTTACATTAAGGACGTATTACAAATCACATCATAAAATTTGCAGATGACACTAAGCTATAGTAGGAAGTGACAACGATGTTGAGACTTGTACAAAGATAGAGATCTACATGAACTCCACAAGTGATCGGAAGACTGGGAAAAGTTTTTGTATCGAAAAATGCAAGGTGTTGCATATGGGGAATAACAATGTGCACCACAGTTATCAAATCAACAACAGAACCTTGTTGCAGATTGATAAAGGACCTTTCAGAGTCGGAATCTACTAATCTCAAATAGTTGCACAGCAAATGGGGTGCTTTTCACCCATAGGGTTATAAACCCACAGAACCGCCTACCCGCTGAAGCCATAAATGTCAAAACACTGCTATATATTTAAGATCCATCCAACTTGATAAGATTAATACAAATCGAGAAATCTTTGACAATACACTGAGAGGTGTATTCTGCTTTATTCATGGTGTAAATACCCTGAGATTTGAACAAATTCAAAAGGGCCGTGATGAGGGTTCGAACCAACGCACAGGATGTTCCCAGCTGCGCCTTAGCCAACAGTACCACATGGTTAAAAAAAAATTGCAACCTGGAGTGCTACTGCCCTCATTAGGATCCCGAAGCTTCTCCGAAGGCCAATCGGGTTTTCACACAATTCCTCAGCCCGTCCTCCAAACAAAGACCCACAAGTGATTGCATCCACCCGCAAAACCCCCAGGTGTTATGAATGAAAATCGATTTACACACGACCCAACTGATGACGTTCCAACACTTCTGGAACAAGTGCTTCACTGACAAATTTTGTTCGAACCACAACGCTAACCTAAACACCAAACCTAACCCTATTTCTCCTGTGTATGCCCCACAATGCGTTTTAAACATTTACACAACAGCAGTGCTAATCTATCTTCTGAACCTAGATACAAACCCTCCCGTTTCCAATTAGGGTTTTTGACTTTGTACTGGTCGGTAGAGCGACGTCCCCCTTATTGCAGGGTAGGGGTACGATCCTTGTCATTTTAAAATGCTAGTACCCTCGACTTAATAGCCCTCCCTTAAAGGCTCTTTATTACTGTTATGCTCGAGATGCTTAGTAAACTTCTAATTATTCCAGAGCAGCACTGAAGGCGCCCAGACAAGTATAATGTTGGCGGCGTCAGATGAACTGAAGAACGTATCTGGCCAGTACTTCCAAGACTGCAAGGTTAGTTCAACTCGACACCATGGTGCCAAGGTGTGCAATATACTCTTGAGAGGTTCAGAGGATCTGACGTTCAAGGTACCTAACCCAAAATTAAAATGTGTTTACAGGACAAAGGACCATTTTTATTGTTAGATATTCTTTATGAATCTTTGAGAGGTTTAGGGACCGGTTGACCATGTACACGCCTTCAAGAATTGTGAACAATTAAGAGCACAAATTGTCTAGTGTATTTATATATTTAAGATGAAAGTACAGTATTTTATTTACTATTTGATGTTACACATACCCGCAAACCCATGAACAATTAGCGTTTAGGAAACTTATTGCAGCCCGTCCTCCAAGGTTTGTCAAGAAAACGGTAAATTTAAAAGGTGTATTCTAACCTACCAGAGAACCCGAAACAGAAAAGACAGTACGTCACTTTCGCGAGCCGCTTCCATTTTTAATTAAGAATTTTTGGCCTTATGTATTGCATACGATCGAAATGTGACGTTCTTTGTAAGATGACAGGCAAGTTCTTGAAGTTATACAGAGAATTTACAACAATTTGCAGATCAGTCAACATAAGAGGGCTTTCCGATTATAAATTAGGTAACTACTTGCATATATGTACTAGGGTAGAGCGTGATATATTTCAATTTTTAAATTAAAATTATTCATATACATAGATTAATATAAGCAAGTATAAAGATTGTGGCAAACATAATTGTAAAAAAAATTAGTCTAACAATGGCAAATAAATTCTAGTGTTCATTGGGTTCTTTTAGACTGAAAAACCTTTACGTTATAATATCGAGATACAAAGGTTTGTAAAAATAAATAACTATAAAGAGATCTCTAGTGACTTTAGAATACGTTTACAAGGTTGAGATTTGGAAAAAATATATAAACAAAATGTTACAGCCGATGTATTTTGAGAGTGGAGAGATTTATCCTTTAAGCAGATAGTTTATCCAATTATTCCAATGATTCAACAATTTCAGATTGCCGAGTGTTCTTCGTTGGTAAAGGACGAAGGTGTGGCCAAGAAGCTGTGGGAGATCAGTGAACGTCTGGTCCAGTTACAGCCTCATGAACGAACATTATAACTGCAGGACAGAAACCCGCACACCCTGCCATCTCATATAGGTTTAACACTTAAAAAGAGCCCAAACTACCGCCGTAATTTAATTTTACACAACCTATTAAAACCAAAATAGGCGCGAGATTATTGAATTGTTTCAAATATTAAGAGTACTCTCCTAATTGTTCTTGTGGGGAGGGGGAGCTACGGCCCCCAACTTTTGTACATCGAGCTCTTATCTATATTTGAAACTGCATGCTAATTAAATACAGTTAAAGTCTACTGAAGCTAAAGATAATTTTAAACATCGTAAAGTTGACAATACTAGCAATTTAAGTTATAATGGGAAACTCCTTGTTATAAATGCTCTAGTCGAGAAGGTACAATGTAAAATTATGGTACTGCACGGTCCCTTTTTACATTTGCGGGGTACAGACTAACCTTTCGTACTATCGCAGCTGTTGCTGGATATAAGAGAGATTTAGTTTTGCTAGATATGCTCAAAGGCAAAGTGAAAGTACTGTCCAATAAATTAGCCCTTAAAAGTAAAGAAGGCTTCAATACATGTTATGTAATATATTTTAATTACCTTGTTATATGGCAATTGCAACTAGTAGCTTTGTTTTCTTTCCAATTGCTACCGATAATAGATTTGTTTCCAAATATAAAGAGTTTGTTTAACCACAACTATTTTAACTATACAGGAATAGTAAAAAATATTCCCTCGTGTTTTGTCAAGAACAAAGTATAAAACCCAAGCAAATTAATTACAATCTTCGCTGCCCATATTTAGCCAATAGAAAATTTGCAAAAGTCTCGCATAGGTAATTTAGTTACCCTTGCTGTACAGAGTATCTAGCCATCATGAACAAGATTTTTCTTTAAAGTCCTTTCTATTGCACAGTACATGGTGCAATCCAATCTTTGCAAATACGCTGTATTTTTTCTGTAACTCTTCCGAAGAAATTTCATCAAAATACACTTGCTAAAACCAACCCATCATCCTGTTTAAATGGTAAACGTGTCAAATTGTATAACGGTATATGTAATATTGTTCTTATCTGCAAGTACTACAAAAACAGGAGGATGGGCTGGTAAAAAACACAATCAGGTTTATAGGATTGAGTTAAAAAATCTGAATGATTAAGAATTCCCCAAGGAACTATGATGCCCTAGGTAGTGTACAGTAGTTTCAAACCAAACTATGTTGACAATTAGACTTAAATCGTTTCTTAGTAAAGTACAGATTTTAGTAACTCAATCTATAGCATTATCAAAATCTTACCCAATGGTAGCTCTGCAAGAGCTAGCAGAAGACCAATAAAAACATGAATAATGAAACAAACTAAACCCTTTAAGATGTTTATTAAAATTTATGCAAAATGGGGGAAACTGAAGTATCGGCAACAGCATTCATCTGTAAAGAAATAAACATCAGACGTGATAAGATGCAGAGGAAATGGAAAGCAACAAGATGATTAACCCACAAGTGTCTACTAATCAAGTTGAAGCGGGATGGTATAAGAATCAGAAGGGAACAAGCCCAGACTACTATTGTAGGATATTAGAGAGCAATTCAACATTTGAAGTTAAATATAGTACCTTGCAAAGGGGTAAAAGGAAGTCTACTTTGACCTCGCCCTCATCTTCCTGCGCTTTCTCTTCAGCCTGCGCATACGCTTCTTCCTCCACTGTAAATAAGAAAAAAAACTTTAGCACATTAGGCCTAGGATAGGCAATTTTATTAGGAACATTTATTTTTCTAGTTCAAACCTAATACAAATGTACTTTCTGGTGGTTAATCATATCTGTACAACTGCAGTTACTTTAAGTACCGTCATCTTAGGAAGAGCAATGCACAGAATGTCCATAAATCAAAAATGCCAACTTTTTAAGCAACAGAACTGAACAGCAGCATTAAATAGCACTAAAATTTAAGGAATGGTGGCAAATAAGGGTTCCATGTCTAGTAAATGACAAGACCAAGATCTTTAGCAATACTCAATCCCAGACGGCAGAGTTGTTTTTGACACTACATGCACACTACTCAATATAAATGAAATGGAAAAAGCCTATTAGGAAGGTCAGCATGTTAGCCTCCCAAAAGGAGGAACATGTCAACTGCCTAGTTATTCTCTGCACTTGGAACGCCAGCTTGATAAAAAATCCAACCTGGAGCTGTTATGCAGTTAACAATGAAATATTTATCAGATTCAACCCAAGCATCTAACACTACAAATTATGAGGTTTTACACAACTGTACAACCATTTTTTTGTTACAACTGAAAAAAGGTCTAAATTGATATACATTTAAATAATGATCTTTACACAAGGGAGGAAGCAAAGCTTTGGGAAAGAATTATAGACCAGTCGCACTAACGTCCCACATAAAAAGTATTTTAGAGTGATTAGGAGTCGGGTCACTAGTTTCACAGAAACCATTGGCCTCCACAATCCAGGCCAACATGGAATTAGAGCGGAAGATCATGCCTCAGCTATTCTACCATTACAATAAAAATCACAGGCATTAGAAGAAAAAATGCAAATGTGGTATAGACAGATTTTGCAAAGGTATTCGATACATGTGACCATGGAGTGATGGCACACAAAATGAGGTCAATGCGAATAATTGGTAAAGCTGGATACTCATTGATAAATTCCAGGTACTCGGATACGGTAAAAATTAACTCATAATACAGGGTACAAAATCAAATCTGTCCATAGTAGGAAAGCAACATTTAAAGGATTTGGGAATAATGACTGCCAACAACCTAACGTTTAGGGAGCATAACCAAGCAAACATTATGGCAGCCAGAAAAATGATAGGATGGATTCCAAGAACTTTCAAATCTAGGGATCTTATCACAATGGTCGTACTCTTCAAATTACTTGTGCTGTCCCATCTTCATCCCATTGTACTGCTCAGTACTCGCTTCCCCCTTCAGAGCAGGAGATTGCCGAAATAAAGGGAGTGCAAAGAACACACACGGCATGCATAAGACGCGATAAAGCACCTAAATTATTGGGATCATCTCAAAGCTGTCCAAATGTACTCGCTAGAAAGAGAGATCAAATAATGTATGTGGAAAATACTGGAGGGCCACCCAAATCTGCTCAGTAAAATAACATACTGGAGTAAACGACATTGAAGAAAATGCAGAATAGAATCGGTGAAGAGCAGAAGCGCCATAGGCACAATCAGAACACTATGAACATCAAAGGTCAGTGGTTGTTCAACGTCCTCCCAGCGACTTAAGAAATATTGCCGGAACAACTGTGGACATCGAGAAAACTAGATTGTTTTTTTTAAGAGAAGTTCTGTATAACTTTTGTATAAAGAAATCTACGGTTGTTCAACATCCTTCCAGCGAGCATAAGAAATATTGCCAGAACTGTCGACATTTTCAAGAGAAAACTAGATAATGTCTTCCAAAGAGTGTTGGACCAACCGGGCTGTGGTGGGTATGTGGGCCACTGCAAGCAACAGCCTAGTGGACCGAACCCTCAAGCCTGGCCTTGGGAAGAACCCAGAACCCCCCATCAAGCAAGTATCGAGCAGATGATGCCTACTCATCCCAGACAATTTTTTTAGGCATTTCCTACATCCAATATTTTTTATAAATCATATTTAGCTTTGATACCTGAACTGCCATAATTTTTAATTTGAAATTCAAGCCCCCAGACTATGGACCATAAATATACAAAAATAAAGTTAAATAGGCCTTCTGCAGCATACAAGGCAGCTCCTATTTATACCCACCCAAACATTTGCATACCTACACAAACCTACTCTGTAAACAATCACATGATCTTACACTTATTATGTTAGCGGGCAATTTGTTCTACAAATCGACACCCTTCTTACTGAACCAGTATTTACCCCAGGTTTTCTAAACCTAATCTTATCCAATATATATCTATTGTTTAGTGTTCCATCACATCTCAACCTTAATACTGTACCTCATTAATATCCCCTTCTTATACTCACTCAAACACTTTAGCTTTGTAAAGCTTTGCTTGCATCGCCTAAAGCAAAAAGAGATTAATCCACTCTATTCTAGAGACCTAATGACCAACCATATTTAAACACTACCTATAGCAAGATGGACACTGGGCCAAACTACGGGTGGGTTGAAAAAATAAAATAAAAAGTAGGGGGAGGGGGCCCACCAAGATATAAAATAGACAAAGGTCTGAAACCTGCAACTTATAGTACAATAAGCCATTCAGACTAAGGAAACTGGAAAAAAGAAATCCCTCTGGAAATAGAACTTTGGATTTTATGCAACCAAGCGAGGTGAGGGAGGGTAAAGTCACACCAAAGTGCCACGAGACGTGAATAATCAAGATGAACTGCAAGCATAGCACTATCCTGTAACTACACCTTAGATACAGTAATTACAAGAGGTAACAAGATCCTTCATAATATGCATCCTAAACAAGTGAAGATACAACATTTGAAGCCCTGAACTGGACGAGTTTGATGATTTCATGACATGCATATCTATCTTGACCAAAGGGGAAGGGGTTACCTAGACTTTAGGAAGACCACGCAAAAGAGATTTAACAATGTATATATGAACATATATTATTAGCAATTTACCAGCAATAAACTAAAAGAGCAATTAGAATAATGGTGTTAGATCAGTTTCACCACGGATGCAGAAGAGGGACTAGACATCCCAGGATTGCCACATTTTATTAGTAAATTAATGTAAGGAGAAAGATCAGTGGAGTACCAGTCAGTACCGAGCCAGTTTCCATATATAAGTAAATTTCAAGAGATTTGTTCACTCAATTTGTCCACATTAATGCATAAAGTTAAGACAGGAAGAGCTGGAAACCCCCCCCCCCAACTATTTGCAACTAGAGTAAGCACATGTAAAACTAGGAAATAAATCCAAGGGAACGAGAGGCCAGAAAGGACGACAAATTCTCACTCCTGGAGCTCAAACAATTGTGGTCCATGCTAGGTTGGCCACACAGCTGCCTCAAGAAATATAAGGAAGCACTCTAGCCCCCATCACACCAATGTAATGTGTAGCTCTAGAGTTACAGCCCCACTCCTGTGCCCAGCAAGTTCACTACGGGCTCACCATAGCCCGTGCTACTTTGAACTTTTGTTCAGAGTAACCGAATCTAAAACAACGTGTAGCTCAAGCATACCCCTTCCCTAGTCACTACTGTACCGGGAAGAAACTCCAGGAGGCATGGTACAGAGGTACAAGTAAGGAACACCTGTAACACTACTATACCCACTGTAATCATCTCCAAAGTCTAAGAGATAATTACCATATACCAAGTCATCAAGGGTGTTTACAGGGCAATTATTTACAGTGGAAGCCAGACCCAAGACACAGGAATGATGTTAGGCTAATATTGTGACAAATGCACATGAAAAGGTAGACTTACAGTATTCAGGATACCACCTCTACCCTAATACAAAGTTCCTACCCCAAATAAAAATGTTTTCAATTATAAAAGGGGAAAGCGCCAAGCCATCACTATATAGCACTTGGAGGGGGGGGTCAGTAAGGATTTGAGATAGCACGGTGGGGGAGAAATGGTGCCCAACCACTTAAAAGCAAGAAGCCTAACAATGTTGATTTTACAATTAAAACAAAAAAGCTTTTTTTGAAACACTTTCCCCGTACCCACTATAAATAATTTAATTCTTGCAAAACCACTATAACGCATTAAACTCTTGCAAAACAGCTCAGCCACTACACCAGACTAACAATCACCAGCTTGCTACATGCTGCCGAGAGCCACCATAGCCCCAGACACCAGCCTCCCACCTCGCGTGTTGAAGCACATGCCGCACACAACCCTACCACGGAGACCCCATCTTAACTCTTAAATGCCACAATCTCACTTACCTTAGCACGCATCTTGCCGGGATATTAATCTGCAATGTGAAAGGACAACGATAAGTCTGGTTTTAACACGGAGAATATAACAGTATTTCAGATGACGAGAGATATAAGGAGAGGGAGTGGCGGAGGGGAGGTGCTCACCTGACGGGCCAGACGCTGGGAAGGACTCGCTCCTCGCCCGGACGTGACGTCATTACCTTCAACATGTATACTTACTCCACAAGCTTTACTACCTCTTAAAACTATACACTTTATGTAGTTTTTATTATACTAAATTACTGTAATTCATAATTCTTTTATATAATGGTTCAAGTATTTCTAAATATATATTTGTAACTGGTTATCGATTAACTTGCCATGTTTTATATATATATTGTTTATATTAATGCTTCTCATTGGAATATTTCTGATATCAACAAAAATTTGAATTATTGAATTTTGTTGCAATAAATCTATGACTGTTTTCTCTAAATAATATTCAGAATGCATCAATATAAATTACAAATTGATGTGGACATTACAAGTATTGAGTATCGGTTAGTCTCGCCTGGTGATGATTGTAAACATGTCAGACTCCGGAGGCCCAACTTACGCTAGCTTGACCCCAGCCAACCCAACCATCATCAATGGGTTGGCTGGGGTGGATTTACAGACGGGTCAGCAGCTGACGACGCACCAGGCCGTGATGAACAACACTGAACACACCATGGTGAACATGGTGAACACTGTAGGGGTGGCGACGGCAGGCGTCCAGACCCTCCCTCAGCACAATATGACTACTGTCATACCCGCTGTTGCTCACCAGCAACCCCTTCCTGACCTAACTCCAGACACCATGGTCAACCATGCTGTCCACGTCGACAGAAATACATTAGTGGCCGTTTTACAATTTTTGAAAAAGAATAATTTCAAGGTAGGAGTCAAAATATTAGCACTCGCCTGTAACTTATACTTTCCAGTTGACACGTCCACCATATTCAGCAATATGTGTGTGCATGTATATTATATATATCTGTCTGTTACAAGTTAATGAAAACCTTATTACAAATCAAAATCATAATATATATACTGTATATATGATGACACATGTTCACTAATGAATAGCACTGTCTTTAACAAAATTATGAAGAAGGAAAAGTGGTCTTAACTTTTCTTAAGTACTGTAACTATTTTATCTACATATCTTATCTTGTCTTATCTACATATCTTGTCTTGCAACAGAGAGCAGAAGAACTTGTGAGGCAGGAGGCAAATTTTTTTGAAACTGTAGAAGACTCCAAGCAGGGTATTGGTGGTGATGCTGAAGTGTCTAGTGTGCTTTCGGCATATAAGAGTGAGGGAGACCCAGCGGAGTATGAAGATGCATACAAGAGTCTTCAATCATTTATTGAAAAGAGCTTGGATGCATATAAGGTATGTAATGATAAATCCTAATGTTACTGTGTTGCAGTTGCATAGCAACACTGTTTCCTTGCATGAATGTCCTCACCATGCAGAAAATAAATATCCAGGAATTAGGCTGCTGTTTGGAGGTCAACTGCTGACGTAGGGTATATTGATTAGCTTAACTGGCTTCCTGTATCTGATATTGTAATGTAAAAGAATTTGGCAGTTTATAATTATAGGTGGTATTTAAGATAACATGTTGTGAGTGCATATACCCCCATTTTAGGTTAATTGGATTGTATTTTTTACTAAAAAATGGACTAAAAAAATCCAGCATTGAGTGTAATAATGTAATGAGCCTGTGTTTGGTGGTGGTGGTATATCTTTTGGCTTTTCCCTAGCTACCCACCTTGTTAGCTTCAAACCTAATGTTTCCCACCAGGCCATTGTCATGAGACGAGGGAGTCTGGGGATACTATACCAACCCAGGTCAAGAGGAAAATCGCCAGAAAGGTAGCACCCCTTTTAGCAATTAATGAGAAACCTAATGTTTCTAATTAAACCCAGGCCAAGAGGAAAATCACCAGAGAGGTAGCACCCCTAAAACAAGCAACTGCACTGAGAAACATTGGCAACCCGAAGAAAATACTAGTTACTAAACCCCCACCCACTAGATGGCAACCCAGGGCTTCAGGCGGCTGACCGTCTTGGACATGTGCCGCCCAAAGATGATCCCTGAAGGAAAGGGCAGGGATGGAGAGAGACAGAGGGGACCCACCAGAAAAAGTTTTATTACATCTAATGCTGGATTTCTGGTAGGGCTTCCTGCAATTTCTCTCCTTGTGATCTCACCATAGAGCACTAACAAAAAATAGGGCATATTGGGGAAGAGGGGAGGAGAATCTAGTACCCAAGGAGATACAACCTTGGCTGAACAGACAGAGACTTAAAAACCAAAGGGGGCCCCTCCAGCAACAAGCTGCCACAATCGGAGGAAAAAGAATGGTGATGGCTAAAGACAAAGAAAATATAGGAAAAAATATTTGCCCTATGACAAATATTGTCATAGGGCAAATAAATATGTAATTCAAATGTGTCAAATGTAATTCAAATATGTAAGATAAATATACTGTACTGTATATTGTTTGAACTGAATATAGTCTACTTTCATACATTAAATAATCCATTAATTTCTCCTTATTTCAGCATGAAGTCTCCCTGGTTTTGTACCCAGTGTTTGTACATATGTATTTAGAACTTGTGTATAATGGCCATGAAAAGGTGGCCAAATCATTCTTGGAGAAGATGGGTAATAGGCAAGAAGACTGCTATCGTGAGGATGTCCACAAGCTGTCTCTGGTAACATTGAGGGACCACATGACAGGATATCAGATTATGGATAATTTTAGGTGAGCCAAATGTTGGGTTTATCGTCCATTTCTTTATCGCGTTTTAATGTTTTGTCTGGGGGGAGGGGTCACTCTGTTGCACTATAAGTTGATAAAGTAAATAAGGCATCAGATCAATAAAGATGAAGTGCTTGTGTGGACTTCAAGCACTCGCTGGACTTGATTACCTGAATTTACCCGAGTCACTCTCCAGTGGCCTTGACGCAGTTTTGACACATTTATTACCACCAGTTTTGTCCTTAATTTTGAGGTGTTTTGTTATTATCATGGGCCAGTGTGATATGAATTTGTAGATGTAAGTAATGTATGCACAAGTGTTGAATAATGTGATACTGTGGTACTACGAAGTAAAGTTTTATCTATCTTGCCAATTCAAAGTGAATAAAGTTGAACTATAGATAAACTATGGTTGCCTATTTAAAAAAGTTAACTAAACAAATGTGCTAAATCATAGTAAATTTTCTTTAACACTTCTTGGCCCTTAACAACTTAGTAGTAGAAGTATGTGCATAATACTGTATTAATAAAATAGGATTTTTTTTCATTTAAATAAAAAAAATCTTTACATTGTGGTTAATATCAATGATATTGCTATTAACTTGCATTAATAAGAGCATTTGGTAGTGTTTAGGAAAATACAGTACTTGTTATAAATGTTTGCTTAATAGCCCCTCTGGTCTGCAGCTTGTAATTTCTCCAGTGTCCACTGATTTCATTAGTCTTGTGCTATATTATCCATAAACAAATGAAGGTAGGCTACTGTTTGAAATTCAACATGGATATCAATTGTCTGTTTTGTCTTTTGTTTACTAGGTCTAATTTACTTTTTATTTGTGGTAAATAAATTGTAATTTTAACATTATTTGGTTTTCACTAGTTCATGCTGTATATAAAATGCAGAAACTGTTTTAAAACTGTTGGTGAGAAAAGTTATCTTGATTCTGAAATTATAAAGAAGCAATGCATGAAAAAAAAATATATATATAATGGGAAGAGAGTCCTTGAATAGCTATGTGCACTTTTTCATTTTTATTCATCTAGGTTTAGACATGCATACAATACTACCTTGCTGTAGTATATTCCTTTGAATAGCTGTACCATGTAGGCATTAAGTAGGCTTCTGCTCTACTTTATTACTTGGGTGTTTTTTTATATATTAACTGTTCTAATTCTGACATTTCCAGGTCAAGTCAGTTTACAGTAAGGATGTCCCGGGATACATATTCACACTTGAAGCGGTATCTAACAGAATATGGTGGAGGGCCAGTGCCTCGGATAATTCACGATAGACTGTACTTGGATGTGTATGAAGGTGTTCCTCGAAGTCGCGCTCAAGTTCTGGCAACTGCAGGAGCACAAGAGGGGGAAGTGCCTAAACAAGGTTAGTACATTGTAATCTTGTTCTGTCTGACAAATTGACATTGATAAGGCAGAGGCACTTTTTCCATTGTACATTATCATGGGCTGGGCCATCTATTCCTCTTATCATTTCCTGCTCTTTTTGAGGTAGGGAGAATAATGGTATGTACAATTATTAAAGTGATTCATGCAAATATTGGTACTGTACTGTAATTTTCTTACCTTACCTGAGCCAAATACATTTATTTATTCTGGAAGTAGTGTATGGTACAACCTGGTAATATTGTCCTATTTAACCTGATATACACACACACATTGCACTTATTATGCACACATAGAGTAGTTAACAAATGGAAACCATTAGGCAGTAATGTGGTGGAAGCAGACTCCACAGTTTCAAATGTAGATTTAATAGAGCCCAATAGGCTCCAGAATCTGTGCACCAGTTGATTGACAGTCGAGAGGCTGGACCAAAGAGCAAAAGCTCAACCCCCGCAAGCACAACTAGGTGAGTATATGTACACTATATATATTACTGGGTATGTTACTAAGCAGTTTAATTTTATCATTAAACTCTCAAGTTTTGTTTAAAATTGTCATGAGATTTTATATGTATCTAGCAAGCTGTGCACGATTGATCCTTATCAGTTTCATGCTAATGTTCTTTCAGTTTTGGATAATTGTGCATAAATATGTAGTGTCATTGCATTGTTATAATTTTCTTGCAGTTAACAAATCCAAATTATACTATGGACTACTGAAGGAGCCAGAGCTGCCCAGCCTTCATATGGAGGAGGAGGAGGGAGAAGAAGAAGGGGACAAACCAAAGAAGAAAAAACCCAAAAAAGATGCACTTCAAAAGAGCAAGAAGAATGATCCTAATGCTCCACCTACCAATAGAATACCATTGCCAGAACTGTAAGACCTCGCATCATTACAAAAACAAATTCCTCGGTTAATTTTTCGTCAATGTCTATTTGATTTCAAATGTTGAACATAACCTAACACACGATAGTGTGACGAAATTAAAGTGACGGCTTTTCGGTTCATCCTGGATCCTTATTAAATCACATCACTTGATAAGGGTTCAGACCAAAATGTCCCTTTCATCTCGTGTGTGGGTTATTCATTTTTGGTCACATTATTGTAACTTATTCTCTGATTATTATGCATATTTCATTTTCAAATGTTCTGGGTTTTGCTGCAGGAGATTGGTTTACTTACAGTGATCTTAAGGAAACTGTAATTGAGGTACATTGAAATATCTTAATATTTATTTAAATTACTTGCATTATTTCAGACGTGAAATTGATTTTGTGGAAAAGGCCAAAGCATTCAGAGATGCTCTGAAGAGAGTGACGTTAAGTAAGGACACTCTTCCCTCAATATGCTTCTACACCTTCTTGAATGCGACAGGGAAGTAAGTGGTTTCCTCATGTTTATTCTCTACAGTACAAGTGATCTAAGAATAGAAAATGATATAATGTAAAAACCATTTTCACTATTCTACAGTATTTATTATGTACTGGCTTGCCATTTACTAGTGTATTATCCATACATATTAATTTTAGTATATGCAGAAAAATGAACGAGCACAAGCACTGGGAGTAGTGAGCTTCTTGCCTTATAAAAAAAAAAAAAAAATTCTTAGAGTTGAGTAAATATCAAAGATGGGAGGACTGTCTAGACATCCAGTATTAGACTAGCTGATACTTATTACACTACTTCTGACAATTTATCATTACTGTACCAAATTTCGTAGAAGAATGTTACTTCATTTTCAACATAATTTGATGCAGGTTTACTTGAAAAGTGGGTTCCATATAAGTAGTTTTGTATGTGAATCTGTATGATGCTTTAAAATAGGGAAGGTGCTGACACACTGAAGTTTGCAGTGTCAGGAAATGACAAATACATTTTCAGAGTAATGCAGGATTTGATCCATGATATAAAAGACCCAAATGCACTCATTGCATTCTGAAGATCAACCCAAAAATTGACCAGTTGTGGTAAAAGTTAGTTTAATTCACACGTACCTTTTGGAATTGAGAAGTTTTTGGATTCTAATTCTTATTCTTTTAATAAAGGGATGGAAGGAGAGAGTAGGCCTTGAATATGATGGACCATAGGTCAAGTTTTTGCCTTCTGAAAATGTATATTCTAAAGTATACCATTTGATGCTCTGTTAATGAAGGTCTTGCTGTTCCCATGGACAAGAATGTGCAGCCAGAGGAGGTTGACACACTGCACCAACGTAATAGAGTGTTACGGTCACTATGGACCAGTAACCGGGTTCTTGACAGATGAACCTTGTTTGTAGTATCCGACCCCAAGTCGGTAGTGCGCTTTCAAGATTTGGCTATACAGTATAGTGCAATGAATAAAGAATGGGGGGGGGATGAACAAAACACTGTTCCCTTCACAAATATATTTACACTTAACCCTTAAACTATAATAAATATATTATTACTACACTTGTGTACCTCGGTATCTCGATCACTCGGGACACCGGGCGCTCACATGCAGTGTTCGCCAACCCCAGTGTTTCCTTCATTGCCCAATACCTTATCCAACTGTACTGGGTAACACTGGTGAGTTCACCTTTTACATGGACCAGTCACAAAACCGATAAAGGGGTAGTGAATCCCTGGCAGCAGCTTCTAGTGACCGGCTAGCAGCACTTCTCAACAGGCACCTCATTGTCGTCCGTTTCTCTAAGCCGATCCCGGGGTACGCCGATCTCTTACAAAACTACGCAATCAGCAGATGACACAATGCCTCAGATAGGCAGCGGCGTACTTAGTCGTCTTCCAGGACCAAGTCGAGAGAACGTGGACTGCCCAAGGTAAACTGCCTTCCTCACTACAACTTCCTCCACATATCACCTCTGTGGACATGAAACATCATCAGTTAAATGGACAGTACACTGTGGAAACCAGGAGGTAACACTTACTCATTAGGGAGTTGACATTATGCACGTAACACAACCTAGGTGGCGCAGATCTTGATCTGCCACCTCACCAGAGATCATCCACAATGACCTCTCTGGCTGGCCAAGGCATGAAACTGGAGCCATTTGCCGCTGTCACGCCACCACCAATAGATAGCGTTGTCTACGTAGCGTCCAATTCCAGGGGAGTTTGAGTGCAGACTCAAAGATGGTGCTGAAACTGCCACTCTACACTCTGACGAAGGTGAAGAGTCCGTAACATAGGGATCTATACAAATGTGTGTTGGGTCATACATTGGAGAATACTCTAGCCAACTGGAACTGATGTGTAGATGGTTCATTTATATAAACTGAGCCCTTGAAAACTTAACTTTGCATGACTGGGACTGGCAAGCACCTCTCTTGTTAGTTGGCCAGCCTGGCTACTATCACCCTTTGACAACCATCAGGGTGGAAGTGCACTGAAATAAACATCATTTCCTGACTGTTTACCTAACATTCTTCAGTTAGGTCAACAGAAAAAACATTTTTTTCATTAAGAAACATTAAACATTCCACTTCAGGCTTCTTATGTTATTAATTTCTTCTGCTCTAACTCATTTTTTCATGCTCATATCACATCATCATCATCTTGCATCTATACAGATGAATTGAGACTACAGTACCACTCTTTTATACATATCTTGATGGATGTATTTCCTTGATTTTTTACCTAACCAAAGCTATCATTGCACTAGCCACCTTTCTTCAATGACTGAGACTACTATGAACTTTAAAAGCAGAAATTTTTCATTTTAGCATTTGTGCATCCCGGGTATTTGAACAGTTTGACCATTGGCAGCATGCTCCCTTCACATTTATTTCTCACATAATTTTGTTCTTTATCACCTTAACTTTTACCTTTGTCCACAATTAGATTTCAATTGTCTCGTACACGTATATAACAAATGTAATGAATATACTGTATAGCTCTCTCACTCTGCTAAAATAACTAATATCTGCATACATGAATTTGTACATATGAATTTATTTCCCTACTTTCCCTGTGCTTTGGAAGGGATTCTTGTCACATAAAATGTGAGGTGAACAGTCATAATTTTTTTTATTTCATGGTGGTATGCATAGGGTGGTGGTATGAATGGTGGTATGTATGTGAGGGTGGTCAGGTGAAGGAGCCTGGCTGGCCAACGTAATAATGAGTGCTGATTAGCGGTCCCTGTCATGCCCAGTAGCTTGGAATGGCTCAAGTTTTGTATGCAAATAAACTTTTTAGAGGTCATTCTGAATATTTTCAGGTCTCTCTTGCACTAGTATGACATGACGGGAGCATTTTGAAAAGAGGCCCGTTGCTCCGGTGCAGAATGTCGATCATGCTCTGATTGGGCAACAGACCACCAAGGCATTGCCTAATGGAGCAACCAAATATCTTGCTTGGAAAATGTGTTTCATTTACAGTATACTGTACAGTACTGTAAATGAAATATATTCAAATGTCATTTCATTTACAGTGTACCTGTACAATACTTTTTTTTTTTAACCCCCCCTTTCCCCTTTTATTTAAACATAATAATTTTCCCTTTATTGTATATGTTCCTGTATCATGATAGTGGATTTTTTTATATTTACCGGTAACTGGTGTTTTTGTTCCAGCATTACAGCTGTAGACATATCTGACGACTCCAGTCTCCTAGCATACTGTACATCAGACTCACAAGTGCGAGTGCAAAGCATCACGCCTAGTAAATTGCGCTGTATGAAATCTGCAGAGCAGTTGAATGACATTGACAAGGATGCTGGTATGACTTTCTGGACACGTTTGTTTAATTTTACTTTGCTGTAGTTATTAATAACAATTTTAAAATTTGTACTGTAATTTTCTTGTCATTTCACTTTAGTTTAGCCTAAGCCTCGGCACAACACCTAAACTGTACTTTCTAGATAAAAAGACATTTACATGTTTTATACTTTTGGAAAGTTTGGAATGACTTGTTGTATAGACCCATACCACTTGAAAACATGTATATTTATGGGAGAGCTATGTCAGTAGCTACACAAGCCAAGTGCTGGCCCAATAATAATTTGGGTACATGCACCAGGTCTCTAGACCGACCCTTGTTTACTGCAAATCAGGACCAGAAGGTGACACTCTTAAATGATATGGTAACTTTGGAGATCCAGATATAATCCAAAAACAGAAATAAAAATTACTTTAGAAGCAACTGCGTCAAGAAAATCAGGTGGTCTGTAGGCAACGAGGCAAATGATTGTTGCTTCTGGGTTAACCCCCTACCTGTGATGCGCACAGGTTGTATAGGGTTCCAGGTAGTCTACCGTCGGAACCGTGCCTAACCCCTTGACCCAAAGGAAGACGGGAGCAGAGTGGAGATGGGGAACTACTGAACTAAGAGACCCTTATAACAAAAAAATTAAAAAGGCATTTAATTTGGTGCTTATTTCCCTATTTACCCTCCACTGTTTTGCTGGCCTTTTTCCACCAACTCCATTCATACCAAAATGATATTACCATTACCTTTTCACCATTTGGAACACACTCTTATTCACTTTGCTTTTTGGTTAGGCCATGCACGTCAAAAATCGACCTCTATAACTTCACTCTACTAATATTTACCTCCTCTTTTCTCTTAATGTGACTGTCTTCAGCCTTTCTGTAAAAAAAAATCTATTTTGTATAATAGATTTTGTATTGCTTTTATTTTTGTCTTTGCTCAACTTTCTACCAATCTTTTGTGAATTATTATAATCCTGTTTCACATCACTTGGTGCATCTTTCTGCAGTAAACTTTTCCATTTAACTCTCATATTTTCAATCGCCTATTTTCATTGAAAAATATAGCTTTGCTTTTTCTTCCCTTTTTCACCAACTTAAACACCACACAGGTGTTCTACAGTTTTAATTATCTTGTCTCTAATATGTAACCATTTTGCACCTTGTGACGGTAACGCGTTGGTGTTCGGCTGTTTAAGGCTAGGGGTATGGCCTCGTCACATAGTTATAAAAAAAAATAGAAAAACTGGAACTTCGTCTGTGGTAAGGTAAGGAGAAGACACACAAAACACAAGTAAAACTTTAACAATGAAATTTTAATTACGTTAAATAAATCAAAACATGAAAATATGGACAAACAAATATGTATAATAAAATCAATGAATCAAAATAATAAGAATACTTAAATGACACAATGAAAGTTACGTTAAGGCAAAATAATAAGAAGTGCAACACAAAAGTTAAGTGGGAGGTGCTGGAATATTGGCTTAAAGCCACCACCTCTCTCAGTACACGCTAACGTCTAGCTGGGAGGAGTGCTGGCTACGAAAGCACGGAACATTCTGAGGACTGATGTTGGGGCGACCCCAGACATCAGGTAGTATTGGGGGGGCGAGGCAGGTGCAGCCAGACCGGCGACCAATCAGCGGAGCCGTAGCGATCAACGGGTAGTTTGGTGGTTGGAGTTCGAACAGGTGGCTGGTTGCATACGTTTTGCTCACCCTGGCAAGCCTTGCTGGTGTTGTTGGACATTTCTTCCATAGTCTTTTTATATAATTGTGAAGACGTAATTATGGAGGGAAGAGCAGGCTCAATCTCTTGAAGGAGATTATCGTCACAACTTAAATTCAAATTTTCCCTAATATTATCTTATAGTTTACGTAATCTTTCTTAAAACTTTTACACTTTCTGTTGTCTCTTAACTTCCTCACGCTGACACATTGTGTACTTTCTCGGATCGAAACACCGACCTCAACCCCACAAACATTCCTATCATATCTTGCATATTTTTTGCACTGTTTTTACATCTTTTATTAACACTTTTTTTTTTTTTCTCTTTACATTTCATCGCCTACCCTTTGCCACCATATATACCGTATGTCTTGGCGAATAAGATGACAATGAAAGTGACAGAAATGGGCCACTTTCCTAACACACAACCTCTAAGAAATCTATATTTCCCATTTATACCTGACACACCCAATTTATCAATGTTGTCTCTTATTACAAACACAACTAAAAAAATTCACGTTTTTAATTTATCTAAAATGTATCTTGTTTATATATCAAGGTTAGTGTAGTCAAGGCATGACAAAAGAAGTTAATTACCCTTTCAGATGATGTTTTGGTGCGTATGATGGACGATAGAACAGCAGAACCAGTTCGTACTCTACTTGGACATTCTGGACCAATATATGCCTGCTGCTTCAGTCCTGACCGTAACTTGCTTCTCACAGGTGGAGAAGATGGCACAAGTAAGTTTTCTGGGGAAAGCCCCTTGTGGTTCCCTAAAGCTACAATATACTGACATAGTACCATCTACTTGGTCACATCAGCCAATGAGTTAAATAGACCTACCAGAGACCAGCACCATAACCAGGCCCCTCACAAAGGAACAGGGAGCAGTAAAATTTAATTTTGCCTCCTCACTGGAAAGGCAACGAGAAAGTCAGCGAGTCAAAATAAACCACTACTGGCTTCAATAGTGACAAGTCTCAAAACCCACAGAAAGATATCCAGTTATGTAAACAAAGAATTGAAATCGCTCAAAACTAGTGCAGACACGTTCACCCCCACCTACCTTGCTCATTTCGGGGGAGGATGGGGGAAGGCAGCTTACCATCACCCGGTGTCTTCCCCCCCCTCCCCTCAGTTGTATGCAGATGTAGTGCATACTGGGTCACTTATCAAAGAGCACCGTCTGAATATCATGGGTTCCTGGCTGTTAAATACCCTCTCAGCAAGCATTAAAAATATTTCTGGAACAAAGGTGGATGTTATCATCCACCTTTGTTAATGGATGATAACATCCACCTTTGGTGGATGTTATAATCCAAGGGGGGTTACCTTGAGGTTACCTTGAGGTGCTTCCGGGGCTTAGCGTCCCCGCGGCCCGGTCGTCGACCAGGCCTCCTGGTTGCTGGACTGATCAACCAGGCTGTTGGACGCCTGTTGGGGGGGGGGGATATTTTTTCTTGACTTCATTTCAATGAATGCCAAACAATGTTTTTTTAAAACATACAAGTAAATTAATGAATTAAAACTACCTAATTCATTGTCAATAACTTCAACTTCAATTATCTCTAAAACTAGAGTTTCAACTTTGAGTCGGCTTAAAAAAATCCAGTTTCTGGCCGATTCTCGCCATTTTTATATGTAGTGTGCACAGCTACAATCCTCTTAAAATGGATTTTTCATAAACCCTAAACGTTGAGTTTTACATTTTTTTTTTTTTTTTCTAAATTTGACGCACATTTCAAATGGCACATTGACAATTTTTTTTACGGTAAATTAAACTGAAAACCTGTATTCTAAATCTATGAAAATGAAGATCATATGCTATTCTGGGAGCATAATAACACCAAATGAACAATTGGTGATATTTTATATTTTTGCAGCTGATTTGAAGATCTAAAGTTTTCAATATTCAGTTTTGTAATTGCAGGGTATTTTTTATTTTTATTTTTCAAGTAACGTTTGGGATCATTTAGACAAAGTTGCAGGATTTGCTAGTAGATTATGCACAAAAAATTGTAAATCATTTTAGCAAGTTTGAGAAATTTAATTTATGGTGCTCTCAGGTTCTGTCGAATATGTATGCCATGCGTAGTTTAAGGGTTAAGCACAGTTAAAAAAAATCAAAGGTTCAATATTATTTTGAGTTTGACGTGAAAAATAAATAACATTTTATGATTAATACAGGTAGTAAACAAAAAATGGGTGAAGTTTAAAATTTCAAATCATGCCATTTTAGATTAGGTCTTTAATGATACAATCAGGATCTTGGAGTCTATAATAATTTACTAATAAAGTACTGTACTTGTAAAAAGTAAAGTAATATACAGTACTCTATATTTATGTAGTTTTTCTATTTTTTTTTTGCTTTGCTTTTCCGTGATATTTTCTGCTTCTTCATGAAAATTTGTTTGTAACGAGTTTTGTTGCATTATATGTTTATACTGTACTGTATGTAAAATTTTCAGTCCGTTTATGGAGTATGCAAACGTGGACGTGTCTAGTTGTGTACAAAGGACATGTCTTTGCTGTATGGGATGTACGATTCTCACCTCATGGTTACTACTTTGCCTCTGGTGGACATGATCGAACAGGTAGATTATGGGCAACAGATCACCATCAGCCTCTAAGAATATTTGCGGGACATTTCTCGGACGTCGATGTGAGTTGATTAAGCAATTAATTGTTAAATTATTAGCAGAAATTAATATAATCTGTAAATTTTTGTTTGATCTAGACAAGATTTTGTTGAAAATTACAACTTTGGTTGCTATTTAGGCTGGCAGAATGTGCTGCAAACAAAGAAATTGCTCTTGGCAGTATATATAATGAAATATAAGTTGATTGTTATATATTTTTTTTTCTGCATTTTGTAGCAATAGGGTTCATAAAAGTTTACTTGTTCAATTTGTCAATTTTAACTTTGACAATGAAGCTTTAGGAACGCTTACTCTTGACTCTCGCCTGATGTCTTGGTGAAGCTTTTATCTCCTTGCACAGTATTGTGAAATATGTACAATTGTTGAAACTATCTGTAAACTGGATGAAAATTTGATTTGAACAGATGAAAGCTTTTTAGAGTTGTGAAATGACTATCTCTCTAGTGTGGAGGGATAATTTGCATAGGAGCAGCATTTTCTCCCATACTGTTTATAATTTGTTTGAAAACTGTTTTTTCAACAGGTTGTTCAGTTCCACCCAAATAGCAATTATGTAGCGTCTGGGTCCAGTGATCGCAGTATTCGAGTTTGGGATTGTTTAAATGGAAATTGTACAAGAGTTTTGACCGGTCATAAGGTAAGTGACATTCATAACCAATAATTTTTAGAAATGGGAATATACAGTGAGATGCAAAATGTTTAAATTTAGATTGTACATAATATGATTCTTGGCAAATGATTCCCCCTTTCCCAAAGAATTGCTGTCATCATATCCTCAGGAAGGTTGAACCAGTAAGGCAGGATACTTTGGATTTGCAGTAATCTGGAATACATATTAAAGTATCATTTACCATCTTAAAATTTAAGTACTGTACACTGTGTGTGTGTGTGTGTGTGTGTGTGTGTGTATATATCTATGTATGTATATACATGTAACCTTGTGGATTTTCACCGAACACTTGAGTATTTTCTTCTACCACCCCTATTTTTGTATTATTATTTTTATGCAATATGATTTATTTACTTTATTTATTCTTAATGTCTTAAAAAATGTTTATACTTTTCCCCGTTTTTGTTCAGGATGTAATTGATACCTTGGCATTTTCTCCGTGTGGGCGTTTCTTGGCATCTGCTGGCGGAGACAAGCGGGTTTTGGTATGGGACTTGGCTCATGGCCACCTTATTGCAGAGATGGCATCACACACATCAACAGTCTATACCATAGCATTCTCAAGAGATTGCAATATTCTTGCCTCGGGTAAGTTTATCTTTTATTGCTCTAATTTGAAAGTACAGTACAGTACTTTATTATATGTAAAGGCTTAGTACGTTCAAAATAAGGAATCGTGTAATTTGAAACGTAAAGCTTCTAGCTTTGTGTCCCACATTGAGGTCACTAGAGAATTGGTGGCCTTCAGATAAATTTTACGCAGCACCTATATTTGCAAAAGTGGTACTGTATAATATTTTAGGTCACAGGCAAAAAGTTCTGGGTTGAATTTCCTTTGCAGGCTATTTGGGCAAATTTTCTTTACATGAACAAGCGCACAAGGCGAGTCTTAGTTGTAGTTAACCACTGTACCGGGCCCACTGTTATATCATGGGGAAAAAGTGGGTGTGCCACCCTACATGTGACGCTTGTTAGTATCTCGTAAGATTCCAGACACCGGCTGGTACACAGGGCTCATAGTGTTAGCCATACACCCTCGACTTGTGGGCACCTAATGCCCTTCTCATTATTGTCTTAACTGCATTGTCCCACTTGGTCATTCAACTGACTTTCTTGTCCCGATTTTTAATAGTCTTGGTATCCTAATGTACCCTCAATGTCATTTGTTCCTCAGTAAAATCCTTGGTGAATATGATACCATTTATGTTGCTTGCCTTGTCCTTTTGTTCTTGTATTGGCATCCCAAGTTTTTAGTGCCTTTTGAGTATCTAGCAACACTGATGGTGCTACATACTCTTCCAGTTAGAGGATGTAGTAAAGTCTGAATCTGTTCCCAGCTATAAACGTTTATGTGACAGAGCAAAAGGGTTGAGAAGCATTGCACCCGACGGCCAATATTTGAAAGGTGCAGCTCGTTCCAGACAAAAACAAATGGATAAACTCGCCAAATAAAAGAAACTTGGCTTAAAGGGTACCTTATTTATTTTTCCCATAATAGTGTATTTTCAAGAGTACTTGGGACTTTGTGGTAATATCCCAGTCTTTTGCACAAAAATTAATATTTTGAAGCTATATTAGTTGTAAGAGTTGGTGCATAAGAAATGTGCAAAATTAGTTGGTATTTGGAATATACAATTGGTAATTCAATACGAAACTGATTGTGCTAAAACAAGACCTGCTTACTAGCAGGAATTGGCTACTTTTCGAGTAAAATGTTTTAACATTTTTAACAGGTGGCATGGACAATTGTGTCAAGCTGTGGGATTTCAGTCGCGTTCTTGAAGATAATCATGAAGATGACATAAATGTGTCCAACAATCCAGATATAAAACGATGCAGTGAATCTCTTCTTCTCGGCACATTTCCAACAAAAAATACTCCAGTTCTTGCAACACACTTTACCAGAAGAAATGTGCTGTTGGCAGCTGGGCCATTTGATGGGTAGTGTTTATATAGTGTATTTAGTTTATTAATAATTTAAAATTCTTCAATATAGGTATTTTTATTGAAATCCTTTGTAGAACATTTTTTAGTCAATTGCAATCAAAATCCACAAAATTGTTTTAATGCTGTACAAGATATTGTGAAATAATGCTTTATGACCTTAATATGTTTAGAGAAGACTTCAATATTATGGGCAAGAAAGCGTTCACTGAACAAATTGAATTTATGCAGTTTTATTATGGTGGGCTATAGTGATAATTTTTAATATTTACTAAGCTTTCAAAACGTATTGCAGTACAGTATATAGCCAGCAAGCTGCTACATAGTCGAGGACCGGGCCGCTGGGGACGCTAAGCCCCGAAACCATCTCAAGGTATGGTACAATCTGTCAATGACAGAACAGAGTGGACAGTCGGCCCATTCATTACACCATATTACTGCAGCTGTGCCACATGCCTCTTGAGAAGAGCGAGCAGTACGGTAACACTTCGTAGAGTAGTGAGGCTCTGTAATTGCATATTTTTTTTAATATTGTATATACAGTACAGTACAGTACTGTATTAAAAAAACTAAGGATCTTCTTTTTGTATTTTTTCACCTGAAATTTAATTGAATTAATATAGTATAAAAAATTAACATTTTTGGTCTAGTATGAAGTTACATTTGCTTGATTTTCATTATCTGGCAAGAAAAAATATTTTAGCAAGACAATTTAATAAAATTATGCTTTTTTCAAAACACTTTAACTTCCTATTAAAAATGTGGTGAAATATATACACTATATACATTTATCCCAGGGCCAACATATTTAGTAACACGGTGAAAATAGCTTGAGCTACCTCATCCCTTTGTGTCTCTTTTACCTCAATGAACTTATTTCAATTTCAACATATTTAGTGGTCTTGGCAGGGCCAGGAAGCCAGAGGTTTGTCAAATGCATCCCCTCTCCCCATAATATACAATAAACAAAGGGTATTTAGTGACAATGTATCAGACTAGAGAAATGTTACCAGTGAAGTAGTACAGGGTTCAGTTCTTGCACCAGTAATGGTCATTGTCTATAGAACGATCTACCAGAAGGTATACAGTAGTCTATGAACAGTTTACTGTTGATGCAGATACTATACAGACGATAAGAAACTTAGACGATTGTTATTCCCTCCCAGAAGACCTGGACAAAAGTGTATGGAGTAACACTTTGCAAATGGAATTTAATGTGAAATTTATTCACATCATGGAAAGTAGAATAGGCCACACACAACCTACAAATTATAAGAAAAAGCTTTAAGAATTATGATTTTAAAAGAGCAAGGCAGTGGATTTGGATAGAGAACCATGTCCTGTGGACCACATGAATACTGTGTGAGGAGCACATTCTCCACTTTCCAACATTAAAATCTCTCTTAAATACACGGATGGGAAAATGTTAAAGAAATTTTTCATGACCTTTGAGAGACCAAAATTGGAACATGCAGTGGCTGTATATCGTGCCCGTATCTCAAGAAGCACATCAACAAACTGGGAAAAGGCGGAAAGACTTGAAATAAAATGGTTTTAAGAACAGAGACTAGCCTCTCTTCGTAGCTCTTAAGGCGTTATACAAACAAACCTAGAAGAGAGCGAGTTGATATTTTCACTATATACAAAATATAGACATCTGGAATCAACAAAGTCCACTACATGCAAAATACAGGAATCTACAAAATTGACAGAAGAATTCTTGAAGGACGGGGAATGAAGATGGGGTACATTTCGATCTTTCGGTTATGACCAAGTCCACAGTCCCACTTGGGAATCGGGGACAACCAGGACACCCACCAAAGGCAAGTAGTAATTATACCATACCCAAGTCTAACTATGACTATGGTGCCATGACTAGAAACGTGACCCACAAAGATGCAATGTAGGGGAAGCAGCTCCACCTGTGACCTTGGGAAAGAACTCGGAAAACCCACAGATCGTGGGACCAGAAACTGGCAAATAGGGTCAGACGTCTCCCACACAGCCCCATCAAAGTGAACTGCAAAAGTGCCGGCACAAAGACCAACAAGCAGAGCCACCTTTCCATAAATAATTGTGGCATTGAGCAGAAAAGGAACCAGCCAGAAGAGGCAAAAGCCCAGGAATCAGATTCCATCAGAAGCCTACCCCAACCAACAGCAGGTGAGAGGCTCCAGCCCTACCAGTCTGCCTTTGTCTAGAGAAGCCTGAACCCACCTGCAAAAATACCTGTAGGGACAAAAAGCAGTCACTGCAGCTGAAATAACAGTAGAAATGGTTTTCTCAGTTAGGAGAGGTGAAAAGAGCAGAGGCAGAAAAAAGGGTTAAGGATCAGCCCAAATCTAAAGACTAGGCCAGCACACATGGGCCAAGTAAAAAGAAGAGCCTGCACTGCCTCCCAAAGGAGGTAGGGAATAGGAAACAACTTGGGCAGCGCTGCTGAAGCCAGAACTGCAGGCAGCAAGATGGCCATACCGAGGACTGAAACAAGAACATCCAGGCCATCATGGAGCTTTATACAGCATACCTGTGGTATGCTGTATAAACCTATGCCGTAGGCCCCCCCCCAGTGCATCTGACAAACGAAAACAGAATGCCCCCAACTACAAGGTTTTGCAGATGAGTCAAAGACTTGTGTACTATCCCAGGGGGCAGGCTCTCCACCCGTGGCCTGGCCTCTTGGGGAAGAACTCTCAAACACCAGAGCAGGTAACTCGGGGCATGCTGGGTCAATGCTAAAGGAGCACCTAGGGAGGAAAAACCTTAGGCACATGTAATCCCAAGTGCAGGTAAAACCAAGTTCACTCAACAGTGTGATGTCAAAACCTGTTCATGAAGCAAAATCCCAAAAACTAGAAATGATACAATAGAGAAAAAATCCCCACAGAATGGAGTTAAAAAGATGGCCAGCACTTATCTTAGAGAAGAAGCAGAATGTGTATGACTGACAGGTTAGTGAAGGCCAAAAAATGACCCTCACATGTGAGCAGTAAGGCTGAATGCAGTTTGGGACTCTAGCTTGGTGCATGCATGTGCTAGGATAATTGTTTCATACTCAGTTTTGTATGAACATTTTCTTTTTTAATGATTCTTTTGCAGTGTCTGTAAAGTAAAAGATAACACAACCACCATGATATCCCTCAGCCAGATCACAAGGCTAAACTACTATGGACTTCCTTAGATAGAAAATAACTTTACAATCTAGCATGATTACTTTGAATTTTCCTGTGATAATTTGTAGCATTGAATAATCAGTTCTAAATAATTTTGTCACCAATACTACATTTAAGGCCTTTTTTCTGAGTAAACACATTAAATGTTTATGAAGGCTTCATGAGCACACCACCACCACTCTGCATCAAGCAACACTTGCCACACAACCAACACTTGTCCACCTATCATGAACCCGGCCACAACTTTAGCAAACTAATGCATGCAGCTAATCTATCTTTTTATTGTACTGAACAATTGACATCAAATTAGAATATATTTGATTGATCACACAAAACGAGTGTTGTAGCAATTGGTCCTTTATGTAATCCTTTAGCAGTTCATACCAACACAGCTTTCATTACACCATATTAAAAATCAAACCTACACAAAAATAATGGCTTCAAATGGGGAGAATGTTGAACAGAAATGACATCATACTATGATACTTGGTTACTTGGGATTCCAAGATGTATGTACATTAGGAAATAAAAAATTTTACCGGTCGGCCGAACAGACAGCACGCTGGACTTGTGGTCCTGGGTTCGATCCCAGGCGCCGGCGAGAAACAATGGGCAGAGTTTCTTTCACCCTATGCCCCTGTTACCTAGCAGTAAATAGGTACCTGGGTGTTAGTCAGCTGTCACGGGCTGCTTCCTGGGGGTGGAGGCCTGGTCGAGGACCGGGCCGCGGGGACACTAAAGCCCCGAAATCATCAAGATAACCTCAAGATCTCATCTCAAGAAGATAACCTTAACAATACTGTACAGTGCATTATTAATTATTACAAAACTGTTTTGAGTTGTCAAAGGCTGTCCTGTGAAAACTTTTGTAATTAAACCTGAAAAAAAACATTCTGCTGCATCATTCCTTGCTTACACTCGACATGCATTTTACAAAACCATAAAACAGGTATCGTGAGAAATATATAAATAGAATACCCTCTACAGTACTTACTGTCAAAGCACTTAAGATTTAAGATGCCAAAAACTTTTTTAATATAGTTTCTGATGTGATTTACCAAACGTAAAAATTAGATGGTGCAATAAGACGTCACTGGCCAGCTGTAAGGAAGAACTGTCAAAAGTAATGTTAATAAAAAAAAAATGTATTGGAGCCAGTGTAAACACAATCTTTACTTTCTTATAAGAAATAATGGTCAAAACTGCATCTTAAAATATCTTTACTGCTTCCAGAACAGTTATTGCACTAGTGAAGAATACATTTTAGTCCCATGTCCTCACTTTACAAAATATCACTTTAGATTACTGTAAAATGACCAGCTCCTGTTTTATTTACAGTGACAAACTACAATCATTTCTAGATAAATAAAACGTATTTATTAATTTAATAATTTTATTATTTATAATAGGTACTTTAACTGTACAAGATTGCTGTCTGACTTTGGAGTTTTCAGTGTACACACAAAAATGATCAGTTGGGCCTGGCTTGACAATGGTAATTATCCCAAGTGGATGCTACACACAACTCAAGCACAAGGACTGAACAATCCCAGGCACAACTGAGCAGAGCAAATATGACATGCCAATCAAGTTTGACCCTTACAGCATATCAATAAGGATAACAGTTTCAATAAAAGGAAAATAAAGCTCAAACTTAACAGGTAAGGTTCACAGTTGCTTGTGTGGTATATTAAATGCCTCGCAATGGTCGTGCCATGGTAACATGAACTACAATCTGACCATCTTCAGCCAGAGGAGCATGCTTTTTTTTTTTCTCTCAAGAAGCTGCTAAAATTATATACTTCAAATAGCACTGTATATGATGAAAATTATAACTACATATCTAATACAATACTGTACTGAGGGCTCTTAAAAATTATCCCGATGGTAAAAACACGACTGCAATGGTTTTTTATTTGTTTTTTTGGTTAGTTTTTTTGATCGGCACACCACAGATGGGCACTTTCATTCTTACAGCACATAGTTAATTGGCCATTAGCATCATCAAGTACCAGGATGAAAAAAAAGGGCACAAGAGGCTATTAGATTAGATTTGGGGCAACAAAACAAAAAACTAGAATTCAGAGTTGCAGCAGAACTAACTTTTGCACCAATTACAAGTTTATACAACTTCTCCCACTGAATTAAAACAATGCATAAATCACAAAGCAACATGTCCAAAAAGATATTCAAACGTTGTGTGGCATCAACAACAAACTATTGTCTGCTACCTTTGTCCAGCTGGTTACCCAAATTCAACCTTGCCTCCTTTCAAAGTTGAAAAAAAAGTATATATATATGTATATATATATAAATAAAAAAAAAATATACAAGTGACAAATTTTTTCTTACTTTATAAAAAAGAAACTTAAATAGTTAATATACATTATTATCACATGGCCAATCATGGTCAAGCATAAGATGTGACTATACTTTGTAGGATGGCATATTGTGAACAAAAATGAATAACATGCTCACAGTTCCATGTATGACCATGTTAGCTAGAAAATCAACGCTTAGACTGTGGCGAATCCTCACAATATGTTGTCCATGTTAGATTGATGGTAGAAGTTGTGGGTTGTGAACCCTGATACAGAGGACATGCAGTCAATATACTGTACAACACTTAACTACCAGTTCCATATATTACTGATAAGCTGTATTAACATGACATTCTTCGACTCCTTCCACTTTGGTGAGCAGATATCAATTGTTGAGGCATAATGTCCCTCACTATGACTTAGTAGGAAGGCAAGAAACACCACTTAAACCACGTCGTCAACCAATGGTGTCTATGGAGTTTTCTTAAAAATGTCTAACATTTATACTTGCAAGTTGGGGTTGGGGAATTAGCTACAGTTGATAAATAATGGGAATGACCTTACAATGTGCAAATGATACCAATTAATAAATGAAAATCAAAGTAAAAGTATTACAACACATTTCAATGATGAGTTCTTATAACATGAGGTCCTGCGGTCAAGCAGCCCGAGATAAACCTCGTGTGATTCTAATATGCACAAATAAACAATACACTTTGATGATGGGGATTTTACATAGAAAAAATCATCACACAGTCAACAATGAGTACCGTTATGGTTATGGTTTTGAATCTCAAAACCTGACACAGATGAAGTAACTGAGAAATGACTAAGTTTCCAAAATTAGCTGAATTTTTGTTAAAGTTGAGACCCATGCATAAATTTGAACCCAGGAATGTTGCAATCTTCAAGTCCAATGGGGAAAAGTGAGCTACCAGCAGCTGGGTATCATAACTTACACTAGCATCACATTGTTCCACCTGAAATAGAAGAAATCCTAGTCACTGCTATATGAAAAAGTAAATATTTGCAGCTATGCAAATTCAAAACAGGACAATACAAAAACCAAAGGAGAAAATTGGGCTATATTTATAAAATATACAATCAGAATATGATAACTCACAGCAACCCATCTGGCCTCTTACCAAAGAAACCGATTTATCTTTGGCCAGTTCGACAGAGCATTATCAATGTAATAAGCTACCGCTTGCACTCTTCACCATTCCTTGCCACAGGTATCTAAAACTCTTCATATATTACCTATTAAATTTGTATGTGCAGTTTCTTCAAATTGTATCCCTTTACACACACACACACACACACACACACACACACACACAAAAGCTGTCTCAATCAATTCCCTAATATCACTCTTGCCTTTTCCTTCCTGTATCAGTTCAACTAACTCTTTAATAACCTTTATCGTTTTTAAACCACTTTTCATATTTTTGCCCCACCCAAGAACTACAATCATGTTTTTTCACTCCTTTTATTTGCATAGTGCACACTCAAAATGAAAATGCTGTAGTCTATCCTGTACTTTGTTTGATATCCCTTATCTTTGGCTGAGCTTACTGACTTTATGCCTTCCACTACAGTGTTCATATGCATTTTCAGGGTTCAAGTGGTGTGTATGCTGACCACGTATGTCAGCATCAAGACATAGGAACACTGAAGAAAGTCTGCAAACATTTGGGTGTGCAAACATTTGATTATGCAACCATCACAGGCCTCTGGAGACACAGTGGTCTTGATATAAACTTGGAAAGGCATCAGTGTCTGTAAGAGTAACGTGTCACCCAGTACTGTTATACCCTGATGATGACACGGCAGGATATGCATGTGTATTCAATGTCATTACTGATAATTAATTACTGATAATTAGTTGTCAATGATAATTGACAACTTTCTCTTAACTGATTGTTCCTGCTGATTGAATTGACAGGCTGCATGCTTGACTAATAACTATCTGACTACTACTGATTTGAGATGACTGACCATTCATGATGGATATAAAATTACCGATTACTGCTTTGACTGCTGAACTTTGATATGAACACCCGAGGGAAATGAACGACATGCCAAATTTTGTAAGATGTGATGAGAGTACAACAAAATTTATACCAAGTCTGAACTGAAAAATTAAAAGCTGAATTGGTTCAATGGAAATTGTGAAAAGGTCCAAGAACAAAAGATGAAAAATGGAATCAGTAAAGGAAGAGACAAAACCTTCAAACATACCAGCAATACAAAGAAGCAAGAAACAACTACACAGCAGTGAGAAGAGAAGCAGAAATGAAGTGTGATCTAGAAGAGAATGAAGCAAATGAAGCAGCTTAAAAATCTGATTTCAGGAGAGGACACTGTGGGGGAGAACTTCAGAGTTCTTTAATGAATTTGATTAGAAAGACTTGTTGCTAGGCAAGACAGTATATTGAGATATATATATCAAGTTTAGTGAAACATATAATGAAGGCATAAAAAAATTTAGTCCAAAAAGAGATGCAGAACTCAAATACTTCAATAGAAATTGCTAGAGGGCCAGAGACCAAAAGGAACAAAAACTAAAATATATGAAGAGGCCAAACCCTCAAACATACCATATGACAAAGCAACATGAAACAAATACAAGGCGGTGAGAAGAGAGGTGGAAACATATTTTGAAAAAAGGTATAGTGGACAAATGTAAAACGGAATCAAGCCTATTCTACAAATTCATTAAAAACAAATTGCAGGTAATGGATAAAATTCAGAGGTTTAAAATGGGAAACAGATTCACAGAGATTGAAAAGAAAACATGTGAAAAATAAATGAACAATTCCAAAATGTTTTTTGTGCAAAATCAGATTTTTCAGAGAATCCAACAATACTAATTTCAAAGAATAAGTGAATACATGGAGATGTCTCAAGATGAAATGGAAAAAATGCTCAAAGACCTAAATAGAAATAAAACAGTTAACCCAGATGGAATTTTACTTTGGGTTTTGAGAATATGTGCATCTGAGCTGAGCATTCCACTTCAATTTATTTTTCAGTCATCTTAATGTACAGGAATCTTAGCAGATACTGTATATGGAAAAGGCAAACAATAGTTCCAATCTACAAAAATGTTAGCAGAGAAGACCCTATTAACCCCCTAGACAGTGGTTATCGTCAATTGTCGATTCAATGGGCAATGCGGTTATCATATGACGATTTAACACATTATTACTGTATTTGGAGTTTACATGTACGATGCAAATATGGATATAATAGGGCTATGTGGATGTAATGGAGTTTACTCTGACCCACAAAAAAAATTCTACCACCATTTTATGGTACAAATGCAGTTATGAATGTTACTAGGGGATTTAAACAATTATTGTCTGGGTTTTAAATGTATGATGCAAATATGGATATAAAAGATCTATGTGGATGTAAATAAAGAAAAAACAAGGGATAAAACAATCGGTGAAACATCGGACGATAAAACAGGAAGCATCGAAAAATTTGAGCACCAGGCACTGACAAGTGCCTGACGCAACCTTGCAGAGCGCCTCTACCCAGTGAAACGATATATACTCACTCAATTTCATGATTTCTTATATTCTGCATACAAATGAATAATTCAATAAAAATAATTTTTTGGAATCTTATATTTTTTTTTGCATTGGCAGGTATGATCATTTCTCCATAGCTGGTGTCAAAGGGGAAATTAAGAGACTTGTATCATTGACATTGACAAGTGTAGTACTCAAAACACTAGAAAAAATTATTTCAACCAGATTGGTAGAACACCGTGAGAGAAATCATGTAATAACAGACAGGTTGGCTCTTGAACAGGAAGATCCTGTGTAACAAATTTAGTTTCTATGATAGAGCAAGAGAGATTTTACAGGAAAGAGATGGTTGGGTTTATCTGGACCTAAAAAAAGGCTTCTGACAATGTTGCACATAAGAGGTTGCCCAGGAAATGGGTACATACATTATTGAAGAAGTGATGGTAAGACTTCTGACCTGGTACAAAGAGAATCTGAGAAAAATGAAGGTGGTAATCAGAGAATGTATCTGATTGGAGAAATGTTTCTTATAGTTTCACAGGGCTTACTTCTAGCACCAGTAATGTTCATTGTCTATATAACAAGCTACTAGAAGGAATACATTATTAAATGAACATGTTCACTTATGATGCCAAGCTACAGGGAAAAAATAAACAGACGATTGCCATGCCCTTCAAAATAACCTGAACAAAAGTGGATGGAGCAACACTTGGCAAATGGAATTGAATGTGAATAACTGCCACATTATGGAAAGTGTAATAGTTGAAAATATGCCACACACAATCTACAAATTATGTGAAAAGACATTAAGGAACACAGATAAAGATCCAGGGGTGGTTCTGGATGATAAACCGTCACCAGAGGACAACATAAAGAACATTGTGTGAGGCAATTATGCTACGCATTCAAATGTCAGAATAGATTTTAAATACACGAACGGTAAAATAAAAAAAAATTAAAATCAACATTTTTTAGACCAAAATTGGAACATGCAGTGATTGTATGGTGCCCATATCTCAAGAAACATACCAACAAACTGGAAAAAGTGCTAAGACATGTACTAAATGGCCTCTGGGACTGAAAAACAAGAGCGATTAGGAGAGGCTAGCATGATTACCTTGAATTTTCCTGTGATAACAATTTGTAGCATTGACTCATCAGTTCTAAATAATTGTCACCAATATTACATTTAAGGCCTTTTTTCTGAGTAAACGCTTTAAATGTTTATAAAGGCTTCATGAGCACACCACCACTCCTCTGCATCAAGCAACACTTGCCACACAACCAACACTTGTCCACCTATCATGAACCCGGCCACAACTCTATCTTGAGGTTATCTTGAGATGATTTCGGGGCTTTAGTGTCCCCGCGGCCCGGTCCTCGACCAGGCCTCCACCCCCAGGAAGCAGCCCGTGACAGCTGACTAACACCCAGGTACCTATTTTACTGCTTTACTGCAAATTAGAATATGTTTGAACTAGTAGTGAATTCTTAAAGTGTGGTTTGTTCTTGTAGACTCCCACTGTACATGTCTGTTTTCATTAATTAAAGCTGCCACTAAAAATACTGAACAATTACATTCATTAATTTTCTCCTGGTGCAAGAGAAAAGCAATAATGTACATCGACAAAAATAATATCTCTATACCAATTTTTTTTTTGTGAGGGTTCAACAATCATTGTTGAAAATTATAAATTCTACCGAGTGCACATGTTAAGTATTTAGCTGAAATTACATCTCAGGCTGCTTACTTATGAGTGACTACAGGGAAGTGAAGGCTAGCTCTTAATGCCCTGATCCATAGCCATTTATACCTGGTGTGCTAATTCTCTCAACATTAAAGTTATCATTTTTTCTTAAAAGTTGTGGATAGAGTTGGCTACAATAATCTCTTCCATTCTGCTATATGCACTTGGAATAATCTTCCTGTATGACATCACAGTATATCAGATATTTGTCATTCTAATTCTAACCTCTACTCAGACCAAAACATCAAACATTAAGACACCTTAGAAATTAAGGAAACAAAGTTGCCAAAAAAACATTAGAAAGTTCACTTTTGCAAACAGAATGCTAGATGGTTGGAACAAGTTCAGTGTGGTGATGGTGGAGGCCAAAACCGTCAGTAGTTTCAAAGCGTTATACGACAAAGAACTGGAAGACGGGACACCACGAGCGTAGCTCTCATCCAGTAACTACACTTACATAATTAAGTAAACACACACATTTGTCAGCATTTTCTTTACCTGTAAAAAAGGTGATCACTTGCAACAGCCAGCAGTTCCCTGTGCTGGCTGATTATTAGACAGGCTGACATCACCCCTAGGAGAACCACTGGCATTACTCTCACTCTTTGGCAGTTTCTTAGCTGAAAAATACAAATTTAGTGATATTTAATATAGAATTTTAAGAAATGAAATATTTAGATCTTATACATTTAGACAACGATGCTATAAAAAGTATTCTAGTATAAATCACCACCTTAAGGGGTTATGGAAAACTTCAGATTTAAAAATATTTTAGACATGTACATTACTGAAAACAATTAGGCAAATATTGGACCTGCATTGCATGAATCACAAGCTTTCTGCAACAATGTTCTTATGTTCTTACTTTATTATATTACCAAATATATAAACATGGAAACTCTCTACAAGTTCAAATAAGTCTGGAATCAATTGGTCAGGGCTTTCAAGGTTGCATTATAATTAGTAAAATAACTAACATTGTAGAATGTTGAAATTACAAATTTTATCAATAACCTCTACTATGTAGTCTTAATGAAACACAAGTGGCCCACATTTGATACAAACTAATAGATACAAAACAAAGATTTGGCTTAAGAAAACCAACACCTTGTAAGAAAAGATTAGAGTGAAGAATGAGAGTTACACTGCCTTAGTTTTGATTTCATTATAACAATACAGTACTAGATATTCAGTATGGTATGTGCATTTAACAAAAAATTGGAAAGTGGAAAAACCAGCATCGAGTGTAATGAAAATATGCCTACTGGTAGAACCCCAGTGGCTCTATGAAGCCATCTCGCTGAGATTGCTTCTAGCTACTAGGTCATATCAGTCGTGGGAGTTCTGTTTTGTCAACTAAGGACCAGAGCCAAACCTGGTTCCATTCACAGAACTGAAGAGGACTGTAGGGTGCTGCACAAAGCCCTTAACAAACTTCAGGAGTTGGCAGATAAATGGCTGCTGGAAATTAATCTAAATAAGTGCAAATTCTGGGAAATTCCTCTGATGGCTCCCTGAAGCTAACCATGGCGAAGGAAAACAGGGATTTACCAGAGAGGAGAAAAAACAGCACATACCGAAGTGAAGGAGAAAGATGGAAAACAGCCCAAAGCAAAAGAAACATGACAATGGGCCAGGATATTATCAAACACAGAACCACAATGACCCTGTAAGATTGCCAAACCGCCGAGCCGAAACATCGGCCCAAGACGTGGTGGAGAAAACCACAAGAGCAGCATATTTGTGAACATCATAGGTCCAGGGTGTAGGCTGTAGGCTGGCATGACTTAACATTATGGGTAACCTAGGTAGTGGAAACCTTTGAAACATGATTGCCCCAAAAAGCATCTGCCAAGGCAGATTTAGTGGCATGCAAGTAATGGTGAAGAGCCACCACAGGATAACAAATGATGCACCTTTTGCTAAACAAATCATCAATAACCACAAGACTCCTCCAGAAGCCCACCAACTCATTCTTCCCCAGAAAAGGATATGGCTGCAAATGGAGAAACTGTCAGGGCCAAAAGAGCAAAACCCCCATCTCTTGAAAGGAGCATGAAGCTCCCTAACTGAACAGCCAGAGGAATGAGCAAATAAAATGACTGCTTTGAAAAAGATATCCAGGACTGAAGGGAAACCATGTAGTGCAGAGAAGAACACATTTGAGCAACCACAATGGTTTAGGGGGTAGCATGAGCAGGCCAGAGATGAATAATTGCCAGAGACATCTTGTGGAATACAAGCAACAGTGACTGCATTGAAGCCAAATGATAAGAGGCAAATGTGTCAGGCCTGAGAAGCCTATCATGAAACAGCCACCAGAAAAAGAACACAACAACCTTGACAGAGACTGAAGAAAAACAACGGAAGGATAAGAAAAGGTGAAATGCACACCAAATCACCTCACAGTGCCGCCTCAGAGGTGGAACACCAATAACCCCGCCACCTGACTGCTATACATACAAACAATGAAAGACAAGCGTGGGAAAGTCCTGGAGAAGATCGAGAGCAAGGTAGGTTGCAGGGAAAAACATCTGTGCTTTGACACTGGGCTTGTAGTGCCAGAAACCAAGGCTAAGCCAGCCACCAAGGAGCCACAAGGACCACCAACACCAAATACACCTCCAGACTGGCAAGAAGCTGCAGCAACAACTGCAAATATAAACACCTGATAAACCAGAAATTATCTGATGTGGGTATCTAATACAAAAACTTATCTAATGGCAAATTAAATTATTGATAAACAACAAAGTAAAACTCACCTATTGCCAAGAAAATATCGTTAACATTCATAGCAGTCTTAGCCGAGGTTTCCATGAAGAGCAGAGAATTCTCTTCTGCGTATGTTTGAGCCTCCTCGTATTCCACCATCCTTTTATTAGCTAAATCTGCTTTGTTGCCTGCTAAGGCAATGACAATGTTGGGAGATGCCTGTCGCTGGAGTTCCTTTACCCAAGTTTTAGCTCGGCCAAATGTGTCCTATGAATAAAAGCCAGTTGGCAGTACAGTATTTCAGATTCAAATCCACTGAAATAGACCTTTAAAGAGCAAATTTAGTAAACTAGAAATTAAAGCTAAACATTCAATTCCTTTTTTGAACTGTCAAGTAAACAAATGGACAAATCTAGAAGAATGGACAGAAAGACTAGCAGAGGTATTAATAGGTTATCTTGAGACGATTTTGGGGCTTTTTAGTGTCCCCGCGGCCCGGTCCTCGACCAGGCCTCCACCCCCAGGAAGCAGCCCGTGACAGCTGACTAACACCCAGGTACCTATTTTACTGCTATGTAACAGGGGCATAGGGTGAAAGAAACTCTGCCCATTGTTTTTCGCCGGTGCCTGGGATCGAACCCAGGACCACAGGATCACAAGTCCAGTGTGCTGTTCGCTCGGCCGACCGGCTCCTCCATACCAAATAGGTATCCATACCAAATCAAAAGATGGAGAAATGACAACGTTGCAGTCCGTCCCGGACCATTATCAACTCTCACGTGACTTGATAATGGTCCGGGACGGACTGAAACATCGTCATTTCTCCATTTTCTGGTGTGTGGTTTGGTCATCTATCTTCAGCCATGTTACTGTGACATCCTTTGCATACCAAATCACTATATGGATTTAATTAGATAATTACAGACCGTGTTTAGTTTTGTTGGAAAACTAAAGTTTAGAGAATGAGATTAGTGCAATAGTAAGTACATGAGTTACAGAATAATTGTGATGGGCTATCAATGTTAAAGTAGGAATATACTTAAAATATGATAATGTATATCGTGTTCCAGGGTAACGTAATTATGAACGGTAACTGAAAACATATTTAAATGATGAACAGTACTAATAATATATATAAGAATAAGGATACAAAAGTATACATGTATAGGCTAAGTGGTGAAATTATAGGAAAAATAAAAGTTTTGAACATATTGTACATACTGTGTTTGTGGAGAAAAACATTAAAATACAAATATATGTATAACAAGAGCACTAATAGAGATATCTGGAGATTTGCCTGACCACATTATAATCTTGTGCAAAATAACTAAAGTGGTAAAAAGTGATTGTTCCTGAAGAGGATACAAAAGGTCAAAGCATTATAGTTGAGGTAAGCAAGAGAGAACTGGTAGACAAGTATAAAAACAGAACCGACAGTGATCTGGGGGCAAGAGAACAGTAAACGTGGAATGTAAACAATGTATGTTTCATAAAGACTGCCAAGTCAGTCAGTGGAGGTTACATAACTGAGGCAGAATGAGATGAGCTGCTTTGTAAATTACCAGTGTAGTTACAGGACGAGAGCTATGCTAATGGTGTCTCGTCTTCCCAGGACTGTTGTGTGATGTTGTGAAACTACTGTTGACCAGACCACACACTAGAAGGTGAAGGGACGACGACGTTTCGGTCTGTCCTGAACCATTCTCAAGTCGAATGCGTGACAATTGACTTGAGAATGGTCCAGGACGGACCAAAATGCCGTCGTCCCTTCACCTTCTAGTGTGTGGTCTTGTCAACATACTTTACCCACGTTATTGTGACTCATCGCCTGCTTTTGAAACTACTGATAGTTTTGGACTAACACCTCCTCACTTAACTTGTCCCAACCATCTTCTACTCTACAAAAGTGAGCTTTCTAATTTTTTCCAGCAGCATTGTTTCCTTCATTTGAACCAATGTCCTCTTGTTATTGAAGTTGCAGTTTTGAACAAATTTTCTGTCAACTTTATAGATTACTGTTACTATTTTGTATGTAGTGATCATATTGCCTCTTTCTCCCATATTCTAACCTCTCATCTAAGCTCTTGTTTTTTACTTCCAGAAACCATATAATTGTGTCTTTGCACCTTTTCCAATTTAATGATGTTCTTCTTGAGATACGAGTACCAAATAACTGCTGCATATTCCAATTATGGTCCCACTAAGGTCGTAAAAAATGTCTAATATTTCATCATCCATATATTTAAAAGCGATTCTCAGGTTGGAAAGCATAGCATACGCACACAATGTTCTTTATGTGATACTTGGGTTTTCTATCCAGAACCACTCCTAAATCTCTCTATAAGAATCCTTTAAAGGTTTTTCACATAATTTGTAGGTTGTGTGTGTGGCCTATTTCATATTCTATTTCATATTCCATAATGTGGCACTTATGCCTGCTAAGTTCCGTTTGCCAAGTGTTGCTGCATACATTTATTTTCTCCAGGTCTTCTTGTAAGGCATGACAATTGTGTGATGAGGAAATTGCCAAAGAATGGCAGACAAAAACAAAAAAAAGTAGATTGTGGAAACAAAGAGGGGACATGAAGATGGTAAGTGTAAATGAGAAACATTCAACAAAATACAAAAAAGTTCTTTTTAGAAAAAAGTCTGGCAGCGGGCCAGACTGGAGTAAACAAGTGTTAAAAATGAGCATTGGAGAATATTAACTGGTGAAGCAAATACTTGGAAAGTTTGATGGATTTAAGTGACAGAATGAGGCCTTGATGTGAACATGATTGGATTTGCTGGTGTGAGAAAAGTGCAAGGTAAGAAAATTATCTGGATAAAGTGCTAAGCCAGTACTATATGACCATATAGTACATACTACCTGGAAGGGATACGAGGACTAGAAGCTGCGATAGGACGATAGGATAGGTTCTCATCCACTTGGACCACTGGGGATCAAATTCCCCAAATCACAACAGTTGCCCAATTTCTGAGAACTGTATCTATTTACTAATATGTGAACAGAGGCATCAGGTGTACTAAAACACCACAATATGTTCTCACATGTCTAGCTCTGCCCAGGAACTAACTATAACTAACCTTGGGTCAAACTAATTGAGAACCATTTGCACTAAAAACTGGAAGAACATAGCAAGTGTGAGAAAAAAAAGTGTGAACAGCACACAGAGAATATGAAAGACACTTGGGAGGTATTTATACATTTCTTACTTATATATATATTACTGTATACTGTATATATTTATACAGTATATGCAAGAGTTCTTACATTCTTGTAAAGCCACTAACATGTATAGCATTTTGAACAAGTCCTTAATCTTAATTGTCTGTGGAATACAAACCACCAGATCATTTAACAACCAGGTACCCATTCACTGCCGGTGATCAGAGGAATACAATTAAGGATTGGTGCCTAGTCAATCCTCCCGAGCCAGGATATGAACCCAGGCCAAATTGCTTGCGAAGCATGGGGTGAATGTACTACCACTGCGCCATAGGGACTGCCGAGGTTGTGATGACATAAATGTGTGTACTATACATGACAAACTCGCTCATTCACTCTCTCTCAAAAAAGCATTTTCAGTGTGGTGTTGCTGTTGATTTCCTGCAGTGTGGCATGGTTTGTTATGCTAGGGCAGGAAATGGAATAATAAGGATATGTATTTCTGTTTAAGCAGAAAACCAAATTAGCTCTTAAGCAGGATTGTTAACGTGACCCTAAATGTTTCAGAAAAAAATTGAACCATATGCCAATGTGAAAAACCAATTACCAACTGCACAATTTTCACTGTTTAATACAAATAATTCTTAACATGATTTGCTAATTTTCAAATACTGTATATAATTTCACAAACATTTTGCATGATGAACTTATGAATAATAATCATAATTATAATAAATCATAATACCAGTAATCACTCAATCATCATTAGTCACATCATGATCATAATCACTCACCATCACTGATACCTTGTTTAATTAACTTACTCAAAATAGACAAATACGCTCTACAATAAAACAAACATCTTTCTCCACTCTTCCACATAATATAATATACTATATACAGTATAATACCCTACTTAACGTACCTGATTTGTAATATCATAGACGACAATGGCTGCCTGAGCACCACGATAATACATAGGAGCTAGACTATGGTACCTTTCTTGTCCAGCCGTGTCCCATATTTCAAATTTTACAGTAGTGTCATCCAAGCATACTGTTTGTGTCAAGAAGGCCGCTGTAACAAGTCAGACACACACTGAGTAACATGGCACAAGAGAAATCCTTAGCACAATTAAAATAAATACTGCATTAATTATTCATCTTGTGATGGTGAGTGTGACACCACCTCGGGTAAAATAGCACTTGTCAAAGATTATATTTCTTCATCTCATTACATTATGGCATACAATGAACAGACCAGTCCTAGGAATGCCAATCTAAAATGGACTGTCTCCCCAATTCTTGTTCAGATTTAATATGACATTCCCTCATTAAGACAAAAATACACAAATGCATATATAAACTTACCACCAATAGTAGATTCTTGGTATTCATGGAATTGACCCTTAACAAATCTTAAAACAAGAGAAGACTTCCCAACTGCCGATTCCCCCAGTAACACCAGTTTAAATTGACAGATCTTGCCCTGGCCGCCACCACTAGGCCTCTGTGCACCTCCTCTCTGTGCCATTCTCACTTATCTGGTGAGGGAAAACAAAACTTAAGTACAGTACAGTAATGAAAACTTGGTAGTCAATTTACAACACTTTAAACTATAAATCCACATTCCATATCTTGAGTTACTTTTACCCAGCTCTGTCAATAGCTGTGTTGTATACTGCATAGGAGTATACAGTATAGGACAAGGGGTGGAGAGAGATGGGGGAGAGAGATGGGGATGGGAGATTGAAGAAGTGGGAGGGGGGGGAAGGGAGATAGGAAGTGAAGGAAATAGGAAGAGAGATACGAGAGAGGGGAGTGGGGAAGGGAGGAGAGACCCCAGGCACAGCCAGGTACCCTCCTAGTAATTATATTAAAAAAAGCCATAAAATACAGTATATAAAGCCACATTGTTTACACCAAAGTGTTGCCACATTTTCCTGACCTTTCACAAATTTTGAGCAAGTTTTGTCGAGTTTGAATAGTCTGTGCCAACGTTGGCGATCTGAGCCCCCAAAAATATATATTTCATGTCTTATTTGTCATTACTGAAGTGATTGATGCAATTCTGCCCGAAACGCTTTGCGTAATAGTGGCTTTAGGCATTGTATGTACTAGCTCTACCTATAAGTCAACCAATCTTTGTAAAAATTTCTTGTATGTATGTACCTTACCTAAATAAACATTTATTTATTTATTTATTTATTTATTAAAGATTTACTACACCTAATAGCCATGAGTGTAGTCATAAGGAGATTTTGTAAGGAGGTTTGCGTATCCCTCTCACATGATTAGAAACCATCAAAGTGCATGCATGATTCACCTGGAATACATGAACTTACTAGTCACAACTGTAAAAATAAAACTGGCAAGGGCAGCCAACTAACTTTCTCAATGTACAGCATTTAGAAATACAATTTTATGCAACAATACATGCATTAATTAAACATGAAACTTCATGACAAATGTATACATAACCTAACCAATTTTTTTAAATGTTTGAATAATGCCAGTTTAATTAATTAATAAAAATAATTAAAACTTAAAAAACGACAACAAAAATAATAATAATAATAACAATAGCAGCAGCTTTTCATTAACTTAAATTTTCATGAATTTTATACTTTCACCTACTTTCGTTGTCCAAACATTTGCCTACTGACTGGGTTAGGCCCATGCTATAAAAGAATAACACAATTCGACTACCATTATTCTTGTACAATGGTTACGGTAATTATTGGGATAAAGATTCATCCAACACGTATAACACCATTAAGGGAGAAACAGTATATAAAAATTATTCAATTATCAGTGTTCAAAGGGTTTCCCATCATGATATAAATACTTGCTGCAAGGTGAATACAGCAACTTCAAGCACTTTACAGCATGTAACAGTTACAGTACTCCAAACTATGGCACCAAAGGCCACACATACACTCTGCCACGAGGATTTTATGTGGCCTGCAGCAACTTGGAAAATTATATATAAACAACAGAATTAATTATTTCCCTTAATTTTTTTCTCAACCGCATGGACGGCCAGTTGAAATGTCCAGTTCCACCAGTCCCATTGATCTTGGGCAAAACTTCATGATTTGTTGGTTACAACTGAAATTTCAAATTGCCAACCCCAGGTAAATATGAGTTTTTGTTTCTTAAAAAGTAAGTGTCCAGCTGCTTTTCATTGTGTGTCAGGAACCTGTGTTTACTAAACAAGTAATTGTCAAAAGAAGGCACCAAACCGGGAAAGGCTATGGAGCATCATCAAATGTGCGGAATAATCAGAGGGCGCTAAATATCACCAAGGATGCCAATACGAGAACAAAAACGCACAAGGCGAACGATATCAAAATGTATCCAATTCACCAAGAATTCTATCGAGGGACAAATGACAGGGAGGGACGGTCGGAAAAACAAAGACACACGCTCGTCCTGGAAGATGGTACATTCAACAAGGATATGTACAACTATAAGAGGGACAATGCAATTTGGACAATAAGGAGCAGGGCGGCGCTCCATTAAGTGACCGCGAGTTAAGTGCGTATGGCCAATACGCAACCTTATTAGAGCCGTTTCCCACCGCCGGTTACGATGGTAGAAGGAAGGTCACGGGGGCACACTACCCTTAAAAGTACATAATTTGTTACTAACAACAGAGGACCAACAACCCTGCCAACAGGCAAGGATGAAGGAATGAATAACCAGCTAAAAGTCTGAATACGGAAGACTTTTACGGGATATGGGACAAGAGCGGATAGCTTCCCTGCAGCAGCATCCGCACACATTTATAGAATCGCCAATATGGCTGGAAACCTAACAAAATTCTACAGATTTAAATTTACTGGAGATACGAAACAGCCAATGTTGAATCTCGACGACCACCAGATGGACAGGATTGAAGGACCCGAAAGCCATGAGGGCACTATGAGAGTCAACTACAACCACAAAAGAGAACTGACAATGAGAAAGCAGGAGACGAAGAGCATAGAGTAGCATAAAGTTCAGCTGTGAAGATGCTAGTCTCCGGAGGAAGGCGACACACATAAGTGCGGTCAGGAAAAACAACCGAGTAGCCCACACCATCCGAAGACTTAGACCCATCGGTGAAGATGGAAGAGGAACCGGAATGCGAAGAAAAGTGCTCAAGGAAAAGGCGGTTCAGAACCGTAGGAGGGGTAAAAGCTTTAATGATGCGGGTCAAGGACGTACAAAACTTCGGAAGGGGGGACTCTCCACGGGGGCAAGGAAGGAACAATACGAGGGGAAATATTAGAAATATGAACTGAAAGAATCTTGTAGGCGATAAAACCGGATAGTAAGAGGGAGGCGATGAAGAGGAACAAGAACAACAGGAGGGGTAAAAGTCAAAGCACAATAGAGGTGTAGCAAGGACCGCGCAAGACAGTGAAGACAGTAGCGATCATGGTGGTTCTGGAGAGATAGGAAGCCAGTGTCAACATACAAAATGAGGGCGGGAGTCGAACGAAAGGCACCAGAGCTGAGGCGCAACCCAGTATGGTGCAAAGCATCAAGACGGCGAAGAGTAGGAGGAGATGCAGACGAGTAAGCACTGTTTACTAAGCAGTTAGGAAAAATTAATACAGTATTGGTATATTTTTATTTTGGCATTATCCCTGATGCTTATTATGGAGTTGTGCAGACAATTATTTGTGTTATACTTTTATTAATGGCTACAATTATATTTCAAATATCTTATTTGTTTTACTGATTTGATTCTTGAGATGTACATTTTCCTTACTGAGTGACACAAAATTGTGCAAATTCTCATCTCAGGTAAACATTTACAAAATTTCAGCAAATAATAGTAATAAAACAGAGCATTTTCTAAGGTTTGACATCTTTTCTTATTGTATACCATTTCCCAGTGTAAGCACAGTATCCTTTCTTTGTAATTGTCACATTTCTCTTTCGTTCTCAATCACATCATGCCTATTACCCCCCCCCCAAAAAAAAAAAAAATTAAAACATTTATAAAACTGATTTTTATTTCTTTGGCCTGCAAAAATGTGTAAAATAAGATGTGACCCTCATACTGAAAAGTTGGGAAACCCGTGTGAATGCAGCTTAACCATCCCCCATCTAGGTTAAATTTGATGACCATAGAAACATTTGTCTTATGATTCTCATATCCATACATAGAACCATGGAAAACTGACAATTATATACAATAACTATTCAGCTTCATTTTAGTCTTATTATGTTATAGAGTACACAGTGTACGCAGAAAGCTCCTGGCATTTTTGTACTTTCATTCTATGAACAGGTGCACGTACATTGCTATACTGTTATTTTGGTGCCAGTATTTGATTATTGGTGCCAAGTCTGGAAACAGGTGACTCGCCTTAAAATCAGCCTTCACTAAGCAGTTTTGCTTTTAACACCAAAATTATAGCTGTGTGATTGTTGGTTTACCCATACACTAGTTAACTTTCAAATGATGCCTCAAGAGATGATATTATATACAATGCCTATATACCATGCTCTGATTAAGCGACAAAAAAAAAAAACTCATTTGAATTACTTGATACTGTATTGAAATGTGGTACCTCACATATTTTGTCTTTTACTATGTACTGTATTTGAGCCTAGAAAGTAGTAGTAGTATTTAGTAATTATGTTAAGGTATATTTTACTCATTTTAACAAGTAAAGCCAAATAATAATGAGCTTCTGGAGGTCTCTGGAATGCAACTCTATATTTTCCAATGCAAATACTGTGTATAATTATACTAGATGGGATACATGCCAGTGTTCATGATTTCTCATATGGGACAACCAGCAGACCCCTCCATATATTTTATAATAATTAATGTTATGAAGAGCAACTCCTGCCTGGACTGGGGAAGCCTTGATGGTTATTGTTCTGCCACTTGCCTACCTGAGAGCTGATGTGGCGATGTCACATTTGAAAACTCCCAGATTAGGTGTTCTATTTAAGACATTCAATAATTGCATTGCACGAGTACCTTGTGTATAACATTGATAAACACAATGCAAGAGTTGTCTTGTGTATTTTATACTTGCTAGTGTTGTTTTGGGATTGTATAACTTGGAGAAAAGTTCTAAATACATTTGACAACCCTGCATCATACAAGCTGGGCAGTTTTGCAACATTAGCAGAAGGATTGTGGACTCCTGCTAATGAGGATTTTAGCAAGGACAGCTGCACCACGACTGATCATTTTGGTAAAGTTCCTTAGTTTTTTTTGGTTAGGTAGTGAGCATTATGTCAGGGACTGACACATTGTTGTACAGTATTAAGAAGGGAGTCATAAATTAATTGAATAACATTTGATAAGTTATTTTAATTAAACATTAAGTGGTGATTTACATGACTTAAAGGGAGCAGGTTGCCAAGTAGTATTTATCTGTACTTTGTCTCTTATAACCAATACTGGGTCTTGAGTTCTCGGTGCTTTTTGCCTAGACATTCACGACTGTACATCTTGAAATCATCATCAGGAGACGTGATGAGGATTCGAACCCATGTTCTGGGTACTCCCAAGCATAGGTTCAAATCC